GGATGAGCAGCGAGATGATCTTTATAGCAGATCTGTATGAATTCCATAGATCGTGAATGACATCACTCACAGATTCCTTAACAAGTTTCATCCAGCATGCATGCAGCAAGAGCAGATGATAAGATGTTCCATATGTTAATATGTGTCATAACTTCAACCCAAAGAGGGTGATTGATTATCTTAATGGAGCCAAAAAGAACGCAGCGAGGCATGTTGGTGATTGAATTATCATGTGGTAATGTTTTATTTCTTATAATTTAAGCAATAACCTTTGGCTAATGTGTTCTTTTATGCAACCTGTTTATGCAACATATAAAATGAAGAATTTATGCGTTGGGTGAAATCGGTTTAACCCTCCTGGAACATTTGGACTGTAATGTAATAAAAGAAGTGGATGTTGGCTTGATATTTTGGCCATTTTCATCCTATTTTTTTAATGTAGCAGTGACTCTCTTTTAATGAGAGGAAGGAGAAAGGTGTAAGCTAAACTAGGTGATCAGATGACATTGGCTCCATCCCATCATATTTGCTAAAGCCAACTATCTTATTGTATTGTTTCATATTTAATCAATCATATCATTTTGTAGTGCATAGTCTCGTACTCCAGATTTAGCACAAAGTAACACTGGATAATATCATAATAACCACATTTTATCTTATGAGTCAGCCTTTTTTCTCCAATGATAGTCATTCCTCTGTGACAACTTAATACCTGCCGAGTGCTGATCTTAAGTTTCTTGCCATATTTTGACACAAAAAGTAAGCTTCTCCAATTTGGAATGGAAAGTTTGTTAATTTTAGCTCCAGTTGCTTTCCCAAGATCCACAAAACCAAACTATTGCTCTAGCCATGGAGAAAACTTAATCCCTGCTCGAACAAAAAAAACAGCAAGATGGAGACATGCAGACTCTTGGTAAGCTTGGATATGTTGACCCGTTTTGCTCCCGAGTGAAAAAAAAAAAGTGAATTGTTGCAGTGCAAAGACAAACAACTCTGAGCCGTCTTTCCGGCTCCAAACACCTGACCACTAACAACACATGGCTGTTCTCCATTTCTCCTCCAGGCTGTGGTGTGGCAGTGTGAGAAGCGGAAGAAGAGCAGAGTAGGTGCTTGTAGAGGTGAAGAAAGGTGAGGTTGTGCACTGATAGGAGAAGATGTATGGAGGCCGCCAGGGTTTAGATAGTCATCTGGAGAGGTCAGCGGGATTCTTTCCACTACACAGTGGGTCGAGTCCACGCTCTTAACCTCTGATCCCCATAGCCTCCAACTTAAATGACCTCTTCCTCATTGAAAACTCTGTTTGTCGGGTTGATACAGCCTTTATGAGTCTATTAGACTTAGTTGTGTTTGTGGTAAACTGTTTGTTTAGAATTTGATTCATGATCAAATTTCTCTGGCCTGAAATCTCTGTGACTTCAACTAAAGTAGGTCACAAATCCTTAGCGCAGTCAGCCAACTCATGTGGAATGGATTTACTATGTGGATATACTACTCATACACTCTGACACCACTTCCCGTAGAGAAAACAACAAGCTCAGGGGGGAATTGGAGGGACATTGACTATTGGTATTGAAAGACACGCAAACACCAACAATGAATTGCCAAGATATCTACCAATGACGACAATGCCAGCACAAAGAAATCATTGTAGTGAGTTTGGGATCTTTGAATCTCCTGCAGCGAGTTAACCCTTTTAGGAGAGTCTCGTTGGACTTCAGGAGACACCAACCGAAACATTATGAAATAATAATGAATTTTAACATCCCAGCATGGTCCTGGCTTTTAGGGCTGTATTTGTTATGTGATGCCTGTACTGTTTTAGTTCCCTCGGACCCTCAAAGTCATTGACATTCTTCGGCTCCTTTGTAACTCAGTCTCACTTCAGTACCTCCTCATGGCCACCTACAGAGTGAGCGTATCCTGAGTGGGTTAGAAGATAAAAGCTTAATGCCTCCTTGCGACTTCAGTTCAGAGTCTGTAGAGTCAGAGGTATTCTCAAAACTGTGATTTTGAAAGAAACAAATGAAGTAACAGACATACTCTCAAAGAAGCAAAATGCTAAATAGGTGTCAAGTGAAAACCAATAGGTCTGAGAGTCTCTGGGTAGGTTGCGAGGCCATCGTTCTATTTTTAATCGTCTCTGAGATGCCGACAGTCTGCTGCGACTCTAAACCGAGTCGGCTTTCAGCATGTCACCTTCATGTCGAAATAACTTGATATGGAGGGAATGCTATATTTTTGTTAATACATGCAAGGCTTCTCCACTCACATCATCAGTATTTGGGAACGCATTCTTTTTGGACAAAACCTTGAATACTGTTGCATGTTCACACATGATGTCAATGTGCTGATTCATACAGAAAACTACATGATTTTGTTTTTAAACTGACAGTTGTTAAACTACTTCTATGTGAAATCTGTGCTAATACAGAAGAATCAAACTCTTGCCTGAGAAACACTAATAATATGCACATAATGCACAATATGCATCAGTGAAATTACTGTGAGTGGATAACCATCCTGTTATTGTCTCGTTTTCATTGACGAATTGCAGCACAGTGGACTGTTATCTATTTATGACCATCTGCAGCGTATCTCTCTTTATAATAAAAAATATGGGAGTAATGTGAATTATGAATAGCAAAAAGAGACTAAATATGCCAGACTTTTCTATGTTATTTCATTTTGATAGCTGGTTTCTAGCAGCTCTCTAAGCCTAGTGATTATAATCTAATATAGAGTGATCTGTCAGTGATTTAGCCCATACAGAGTGAAGTACAGTGTTCACATAGATGCCCTGTGTGTGTAAACAAGTTGCCCAAGCGCTACAGTGCTGGGTAGGTATGCAAATAAATACTCCCCCTCAGTCTGAATCAGAGCTGTACTGTCCGTTCTCTGCCCCAACAAATGACCCTCTGTCTCAGAGCCTCATTCAGATTTTGACAGTTGGGTTGTAGTCATTTTTCAAACTGCGGTAAATAAGGCACAGGGCCTCTGTAGGTGAGGTCTATCAGTACCACAAAGTACTCTTTTGCTGGACAGAGATATCAGTGCATCATACATATGTCAGTATTGACAGGAACCATGTTTATTAAAATATCAAATACTGATAATATTTTTGTGCAAATGCAACATCAGAGTTTTTGCCTCTTCAGGTTGTTAATCAATTGAGCCGTCATCCACCAGCACCAACACTACTGCAATAATATCGTTCATCCCTATTATTCACATCTTGTGGGCATGTTTTCACTGCTGTGGGTCTTAAAAGCTCTTCCCTCATGCAATGCCTTTGTCTCTGGATATAAAACTGCATGTTGTCCGAGGTATCCATCTGTTGTTAGTGCATGACCGATGAGTCATGTTATGACAAACACCCTCATATTTACCACAATCCCGGCCAACCACAGAGCTCACCTGTCTCTAGAAGTGAGCCGCTAAAACTATCCCCCTGGAAAATGACTCATTGTTTGTTGTAAACACAGTGAATGAAGTCAGGTTTATGAGGGGCTTCCCCAGTGCGCTCACATCAGGGAGACATTTGTTTTGATCCTGGTTTGTAACCACCTCAATGAGACATGAAAGGGTCTGATCTATGCTCCAATGCCCTCTACCCCGTTAAACTATTTTGTCAACTATGATGTTGACATGTCCCTCTAAATGCAAGTTACTCTGAACTGTCATTGACCGGACAGCCGAAGGTCAAACTCCCAAAACAACCCACTTGTAGAAGCACACAAGCACCTTGTTTGTGCTGCTGTGCAACAAAAACCTGCTCTGATGAGGAAACCTACAATAAACAAAGAGACAAAAAGGACTGGAAAGACTTGAGACGCCCTCAAAGGTAAGCAGTGCGCCTATAACGGAAACAAAACGAATCTTTTCTTTCTGCCTGCTGCACACCTTTGAGGCCGGCCTTTCTTGTAGCCCACCTTAGGAAAACATCCGTCCCCCCACACGAAGCTGAACCTTGTGTTTCCCTGTCTTTAATCTCAGTGAAAAGAGCTTTTAACAAGGCTGAGGAGAATGAGTAGATCTGACAAACAGAACAAAGACAGAGAGGAACTGGGGGAGATAGTAGCAGAGTAGAAAGCTCTGTAATTTATCACCTGTTACCCTTGGGCAGCCCTGCACTTCAAACCCTGAGCCTGATGTGTGTATATGTATGCAGGTATGGAAAGGTGATGAATGAATCGGCAAAGAAAGCAGACATTCCTTCATCCTATTATCCTCAAAAGACTACTTCCAGCAGTTTGTGGTCGTCTGCATTTATTCACTCTCTTACCCCAGATCCACAAATTTTGACATTACATATATATGGTCACCTTGTTATGAGGATTTGATTATTATAAATTAAGCAACTAAAAGTAAGAAATTAGGCACAATAAATATAAAACCAAAAATGCCATATCATATAAGTTAGGTTGTGTTATGCAATGTAGGCGTTCCAGCATCTTTTAAGTTGATGTCCCTTGAAAGTTCAGTAAAGGTTATCTTAGTCTGCCTCCCAGTGGCATGCAGTTGCTGTTGCAGTTCTGCACCAGTAAGCATGTGTAATGCTAGACTACAATAAAATTCGCTTAATATACAATCTGAAACATTTTCGGATTTAAATCTACCTTGACTGACGATGACTAATATTTAACAAAGAAAGAAAGATGATAAAATGATCGATTCTCACCAAATGTTGCATTCGATGTCTGCAGGGAACAGTTTTCTCAGTACAGCGAACAATTTATTTCTGTAAAAAGGTACAAAACGAAACAAACCCATTAATACTGCACACAAAGAAATTGTATTATCTAAGGCGTTTTTTGGTACATAAAGGTGAGTGATTACGACAATCATAGGACTACGTGTAGAAGTTTGTTATGAAAAGATTAGATGTAAGATTTTAAAGTTTGTCTTTTCATGCAATTGTATTTTCCTACATGGCGATCCGTACTTGAAGGTAGCGCGGCGGATGACGCAGCACGCAGCAGCCGTGTTTGGTTGTGGTAGGTGTTGTGCCGTAGAATGCATCCCTGCCGTAGAGTACACCCCTGACGGGAGCGCTATTGAAAGTACACAACAAGGCAAAATAATCCAAGTTTTCCTTACAATTGGATGGATTTAAAAGCGTGTGCCTTTAATGATTTCATCCAGGCTATTCAGATAAACCGAAAACAATAGCCCTCTGATTCGGAATATTTGCTGTCCCGGAAATATAATGTTCTCTACCTTGAACATCTCTATATGTGCATTTTTGAGACACATAAAAACAGACCGAAAGTTTGCTGCTTCATTTAACATGTTGTTATGATCCAATATTCGTACTTTTTAAAAATATGAGCTCATTTTCTTCCATTTTAAGATGCTAATGAGTGGATGGGACGCAGGGGTGCACTCTACGGCAGGGGTGCATTTTACGGCAGAACACCGGAGCAAGAAAAAGAAGCTAGGAAGGGATCAAGGAAACCTCTAGCATCGTAGATAAACACCCTGAAGAGGTGTGAACTCACTCAGCGAGCTCACAGCTGTCACAATACCAGGAGGACAGTAAAAAAAGGCCCCAAAGAGACGTCGATACAGCGAGGGTCAACATGTCTGAGACATACGGTACGTTTGAGCTGACTGTAATTTCATGCTTTGCTAGCTGATGGTAGGATGAGACGAGCTGGCTAGTTAGCAAGCTACATCTTTTAGCTTCTTCTAGCTGCCACCTCATCATGTCTGTAATTATAAATAGTCATGATTAATGTTCGTTATTGTCGTTTAATTTAAAATAACGGGTATGGTTCAAGTGACAAGTCTGTATTAAGCTGACACCTTTGTCCAACGGTGGTGGCGGAAACACTGCTTCCTCAAACGGTCACTGAGCAGACAGATCTCCAGGTAAAGTTGACCAAACTTAGGGCTCGAAGCTCCAGCACTGTGCCATGTCATGAGGTGTGTGTTTGCAGACGTGGAGGTAACCTGATCGCTGCGTCGGTGACCTTGTAATCTGTTATAAAGCTGCATGCAGACATAGGTGTTGGATGTTTGTATCAAAGAGGTAGAGCTATCAACCACAAGGCCTGCATGAGGAAGTTAAATAACTGTGGCTAAAAAAACACCCAGAGATTACCTGTGTGTGGAGCAGCAGATGTCAGGTGCACGTCTTCCTATTTTGTCTTCAACTGTGCTGACACTAGATGCCTGTCTATGTGTGTGTATGGGCATGATTAACAACCACAGGGATGTTAGGAGTATTCCTGAGACATTTATTAAACATGACTCCACCTGATAGTATCACTTGGCCTGACACTGTAGATCCAGTTGTTTGAAATGGCAAACCATCAGACACTCTTTTCCTCCCTCTCTCTCTCCATCTGTTTGCCCTGTCTCTATCATCCCTCGCATGAAACTTCATCCCAGTGGGCAGTGTTTGTGTACAAGTGCCAGAGATAATGGTAGCAGTAATAGCCTTATATTGATTACCGTCTCAGCCTCCTGTGCTGTCTCCTCTCCTTGTGGGCCTCTGGTGGAGCTGGAAGAGAGCATTATGAAAACAATAAACACACGAGCAGGTTAAATGATTGCGAAGGGAATGAACAGCACTTTCATTCATTTCTCATTGGCGGTACAGGCGAGAAGTCTTTCAGTATTCCATCAAATCTCACAAATAATCTTTAATCTTAAGCAATTTAAATACTGAAAATAAGGGCCCAACCAATATGGATTTTTTTGGCTGATGCCGATACCGATTATTAGGGGGGAAACAAATCCGATTACCGATAAATCGGCCGATTTTTTAAAAATATTTCTTATGAAGTATAAAAATAGCTCGATCACGTAATGTGTACTGTTGTTTATTCTACGCTACTGGCACGGCTAACAGTGTAGCAAGGCTAATAGCAGATGGCTAACTCTAACTTTAGCTTGCATAGTACATGGTGCTTCACCGTTAACTCGGCGTGACTGAGACCAGCGCAGCGAGGAACATGGTGAAGTGGGTTGAACTGAAACTTGTTGACTTATTGTGTATTTCACAAACTGGTTTATTTACCATTGAGGCGGGCCACTCTCCTCCGTGCGTCCCTGAGCTGCCTGCGTCAGATCCGTCACTCTGCTGTGTTGTGAGGTAGTTAGTGGATGAAGATTGTCATTAAGTCGCTGCGCCATCTACTGGATAAGTCAGGGGATCTTTCAAATGGCGGGAAATATTCGAAGTGAAACCGAATCTTATTCTCTGCATTTTATTTCTGAAAATATCGGCGAAAATCTGCAAGTTTTGGCCGATTACCGATTAGTCTCAAACGGGCTAAAATTGACCGATTTCATCGGCGGGCTCTACTGAAAATGTCCGTTCTTTGTATTGAAAAGTCGCATAGACGCTTAATAAACACTTAATTTTTTTGAACAAACTGGTGAAAAAGGCTGGCTCTGTAGTTGGATTCAAGCTGGACTCAGTGGAGGATGTGATGGAGAGATCTACACTGAGGAAGGTGGAGACTATTCTAAAGAACATGGATCACCCACATCACAACACCTTAATGGACCAAAAGGCCAATGGTGGTGGACGGCTCCTCAGCCATCCGACTTTACAACTCTTCTGTAAATAGTAGATGACTTTTAGAGATATGACAAATGAGACGACATACAATTGAATTTCCCTTTGGGGATCAAAAAAGTTCTTCTTATTCTTATTCTAAATATTTTGTTTTAAACTCCTGTCAACCCATTCTGCATTCATTTACAAACACATTTGAGCTTAGTAAGTCAAACAAATAGATGAAGTGTGATTCCTCTGTGCTCTTTGACAGTAGATCAGAGGACACACCAGTCACAAACCCTGTGTAGATCCGGGCTCTGAGCGTGTTAAATGTTGTCACAGTGTAAGCGCATGTAGATAACAGTGTTAGGTTGTTCCCTCGGGTTATTTAAAGTTGATGTGTAAAGAATACGAATGCCTGAAAGGCTGCTGTATAGAGGGAAGCACTGCATTCCTCCCCTCCCTGATGCTCTGACATATTGACAGCTTGATTGTTGTATGCAGATCTCACAGGGGAATATGGGATGTCTGAGAAAATGCTGAAAAGCTCAGGCAAGCTTTTAAAGGGGGAGCTGTTAGCTTTTGATTTAGTCTCTTTGTTGCTGTCATGACCATTGACAACTTATGGTTGAAATGTAACGCTATTGTTGCAGAGGGAGACTGTTAGTGCTCATAGGCTTGTCAGCTGTGTTTCTGTTGTTCTCTTACCGTGAATTTGACCCCTAGCTTGTGTCGCCTGAGAAAGCAAAGCCTTCTACAAAGCGTCAAACCATCTGGCAGTGACTATGCTGTGTGTGTCCGCAGATGAAGGTGGCCGCAAGAGCAGAGGCGTAATAATTTTAAATGTCACACAGGGACGTGAAGATTGACCCAATTTAAACCCTTTTCCCATTAACTGCTGTTTCCGTTGACCTTGTGAGCAGCAGAATACTCGCAAATCTTTACCTGGCTGGCAATCACAGCAGTCATGACCAATCATTAGCCAGGCCAGCACTCCTGACTGCAGAGCCAGCGCTTAAGCTTTAACTGGAACTGCACACCGTCTTCAAACTCCAACCGAAGCAGGCTCCCCGGAGGAAAGGTGCAGTTTGCAATCATTACTCTTTCTCTGCCTCCATCACTCTCAGGTTTCCTGTTATTCATTCACTCTCTTGGTATTTCAAACACCCACTCACCCATGATTCTAAGACACGAGCTGCAGAACACCTGGTACACACGTAAAGGCCTTCTGCACTATCTTTGGTCACATAAAGCTGTACGGTGAACTTGCACGCCAGGATTTAATCGAGCTTTAAAACATGTGAATGGTTTGGGTTGTTCTCTTCAGAGCGAGATCCCACTCTCCACAACAACATCTGTATAAGCAGCTGGCTGTGGTTATTCAATCCCTGTGCAAAACAGCTAACCTAACCCAAATTCAATAACTCTATAGCTTTGGCTTTGCTCAAGAGCCGGTAATAGTGTCGTGTTTCACCTGAGACAAACAGGCATATCATAAGCAGCAGGTTATGGTGATTACATGTTACGCTTTGTGATTAGTAAGCTAATTTGGGGCTGATTGAGACAGAGAAAGTAGGAGTGAAATAGGATTAAGAGGAAATCTAAGGATTGTCTCACGGGGAGACAGAGCAGCAGGTTCAGATTCTCCTCTTGACATTGGTGTTGCATTAATCTCTCTACCTTCTCTGTTCTGCTCTACTTTCAGACTTCCTGTTTAAGTTCTTGGTGATTGGCAGCGCTGGGACGGGGAAATCCTGCCTCCTACACCAGTTCATTGAAAACAAGTGTAAGTGTACCCTCTTTGAAGCCCATTAGCCACAGCAGGTTCGCAGCGAACATAATTATATTATTTCACAGACAGAAAGAAATCGAAGTGGGTGTGAAATTAGAGTTGAAAAAGAAACTGTCTCACTCTACTGCAATGTCCGACTGAAACAGATGGAGATATTTTGTATTTGCTTAGATTCTTCACAGGTTAGAAATGGTAAATACAGAGCCAGTAAAATATCATGTCATCACATTGATGCCACCCATCACTTCCTAAAGATGTATTATGAAGCTGAAAGGTGGGGGTCACTTATTTAAAAAAGCTGACTCAGTTGCCCATCCCGATGTCCATCCTGGAGTCCAAGCGCTGAATCAACCCTCATGGACTCTGATGGTATCAGGTTTACTGTACATGAGTCTTTAAGGGCTGGAGGTTGTACAAAAATGAGGAAGGGGACACACCTCCTCAACATCACACACTGCATGGTAACGAAATGCTTCATATAATAAGAAAATCATCTAAACATGATGATGAACAGCGGAAATTCTTAAAATACATGCAGTAACTCACACGTTAATTCAATTCATGCCCGCTTTGTTTAAATTCAGTCGTCTTCTGTCGGATTTAAGTGAACATTGCTTCAATAAACGGACATTTGTCAACTTGGCCACACCCCTAACCAGGCCTAATGATGATGGGTTAGTCATACTCTGTACCATAGAGACCCATGTTAGTGTATGTACCAGGATGTAAATGTGTAACGCTCTGCTGGGGCCTCACAGGGATTTTTTTTTCTTTTTTTTTTTTGGCTTATGGTTTTTGCATACCCTGCACTGACTTCCGCTTTCAACACTGGAGGCTGCAACTTACAATGACTTTACAGTTCTGTGGCTGAAGCCTGAGAAAATCCATAGTTCATGTTAGAGATTGAAAAATGCTGTCTGGTTTGTAGAAACAATCTATAAGATATAAAAGGAAAGTGCAGTGCTCTAAAAAGTCGTTCCTCTAAAGTTACAATAAACTTCAATACAAATTAGGTTCAGCCCAGACTTTGTGTATCAAACAACGATCCACTAAAACACCCCAAATGATAAAGACCTCTGGTTCATTCGTCACCCATCTGTAAGTGTGACAGTGAAGATTATTGCAGGACTTTTTTATTTAAAGATTAACAATGAAGGAGTAATCAGTTAGTCAGTAAGGAAGCCAGTCAGCTTGCGAAAACTTTGATATTTGCTAGTACAGGTGTAAAAACCCAATTTGTCTTTCGAGACTTATGTTGAAACATCGTTGAAACTCAAGAGGACACCCTCACACGCTTGTATCAATTTAATTAAAGGCATGTTAGGTCCCTGCGCTGTCGCTGGAGAAGAAAAGGAGGGCAAGCTGACTGTGTAAATCTCATCTGAACTACCTCCAGTCTCTCATGTGGAAATAAGCTGTTTGAAGATAATGACTTGGGTATTTTAGAGAAGCACAACACACCTACATATTTCAGATTAGAGTAGCAGTCTGGAGAAATGTTGGAAGTGTTTTCTCTCTTGTGTCAGTGCACACCTGCTTGGTGAATGGAAAGGCTTTACTTCGCGAGTACAAAAATCCATCTGCCTAAGTTAGCTTTTGTGCTCCGTGGTTATCTCATCCTTGTTTCGCTTTCTCTCCTGTGTGTCCATGTTGCAGTTAAACAAGACTCCAACCACACCATCGGCGTGGAGTTCGGCTCCAGAGTGGTCAACGTCGGCGGGAAGACGGTCAAACTGCAGATCTGGGACACTGCTGGGCAGGAGCGATTCCGGTAAAAGAAAAAACTTAGGGTTAGGAAAACATGGCACACAGAGTTTATAGGAATAACCGAGCACACATGCTGTCCTTGGGCAACATCCAGCTTCAAACAGTAACCCCCCAAACAGATGCCACACCTTTGAGCGGCTCCAGCAGAGGAAATCTGTGCTTGACTGAGGATAAACTCCCAACACAAGGGGCATATTCTCTTCGAATTCACCTGGCAGATTTCATCAGCTGATGTTGACATGGTGAATGATCTGTTTCAATCAAGTTTTCCGCTCTCTCTTCACAGTTCGGTTACACGCAGCTACTACAGGGGAGCAGCTGGGGCGCTTCTGGTCTATGATATAACCAGGTAGAGTAATCCTTGCACTCAAGGCCCTTATGCTTTTGCTGAACTCAGACCTTTAGTTGTTGCAAATTGAAGCCTATAAATGATGGCAGATGTACAGACATTATTTAAACTGTATTTTTAGGGCAAAAACTGCAAAAAAAAAAAACGCATTTCGAACTGTTAAAATTGGATCTAGCTGGACTTGACATTGAACTGTACCGATCTGTGAGGCTGAAGTGTAAATGGCTTTCACATTTAATCTGTCTTTATTTTTATGAGCACCTTTTATTGTTTCATTCAGTCAGAGAAAAAAGAAAAAAGTCCAATATGTTTCTAACACATCCATAAATTCAGCATTTTAATACCTTTATACAGTGAGATCTAGACGCTTGGATTTCATCAGCTGTTGGTTGCGAAAAAGTGATTGTGAAATCAAGATGGAGTGAAAGTAGTTATGCAGAGAGACAGAAATTTAATACAGTTAGTGTTTGTGAGAATCTATGGGCTTTTGTCGAGTGCAGAGTGACAGGCGCTGTAATGTAGAGGCATCCTCTGGCAGGCAGCAGCAGCAGCAGCAGAGAGAGGGAAGCAGAAGTCCATCACAGAAAGTGTCACCTGAGGGGAAAACAAACAGGGAGAGGGGGGAAGGAGAAAACTGCAGCCGGATAGAGCGCGAGAGGGAGGAGATGGAAAACAACAGAGTGAGCGTGGAGATGGAGACATTAATCACTTTTCACAGGTGAAAAGGTTAGCAGGAAGACAGACAGGAGAGTAGCAGGAGAAAGAGTGTGAGCCTGATTGCAGCCGAGCCGCTCGGTCCCATCAGCGTGTGGATGTGGAGTGACGTCATTCTCTGGCTGTGTGTGAAAGCAGCTGTTAAACATTATTCTGCCGACCCACACCCTACTGCTCACCACTCTCTTGTTGCCATGGACATCAGGGTCCTATTTGGACACCTAGCGTTGGCTTCATACAATGATCAGCCTTTGCTGCAGAAGGATTATTATTAATTTGATGATTTGTTATGCAGGTATGACGTGCCGCATGTACCTGCGAGTAGAAAACAGAAACACTTTGTACCATCTGTACTATAGTTGGTGACGATTTCCAAAAGCATTTTCCAAAAGTACTTTCACAGTCATCACCGTCAGGTTCAGGGGACAGTATTTGCAAGCCTATCTGACCCTGGAGACTATGCAAAATAATAATCTGCCCCCAACAAGGAACCAGCTATTGTGCTCACGAGTCTGTCTGTCTGTTTTGTTCTGTGTTCCAGTCGAGAAACATATAACGCTCTCACCAACTGGCTGACAGATGCACGGACTCTGGCGAGCCCTAACATTGTTATTATCCTGTGTGGCAACAAGAAAGACCTTGATGCAGACAGAGAGGTGACTTTCCTGGAGGCGTCCCGCTTCGCTCAGGAGAATGGTAACTGATTTGAGACGTGCATTATCCCCGTGTCTTCGTTTTCTTTCAACCATTGGTCTGCTTTCTCCTCTTTTTCCTCCACCTTGAATTTGTACTTTTTTTTTTTTTTCAAATGTAGAGCTAATGTTCTTGGAGACCAGTGCTCTGACAGGGGAGAATGTAGAGGAGGGTTTCCTAAAGTGCGCTCGCACCATCCTCAACAAGATCGATTCAGGTACTCCTCCCTGTTTCTTTGTTAAAGAGGTGTGTTGAAGCTGTCTGTCTGTGTCTGTGAGTGTATGCAAATTTACCTGACAGTGTTTCCCTGCCCCTGCTGACAGTGTTTCTTTACACCTCCTTTCAAAGGTGAGTTGGACCCAGAGAGGATGGGTTCAGGTATCCAGTATGGCGACGCTTCGTTGAGGCAGCTGCGACAGCCGAGAGGCACCACCACACAGAATAAGCAGCAGTGTAATTGCTAGGGATTTGGGGGCCACACCCCTGTCTCTGCCATCAGGCCCACACAGACAGGACGCCCCCTACAGGTTAGTGGCATTAGACTTCAGTAGGATATAAGAAGAAATAAGCAATTTACCGTAAACTAAGTTAAATTCTTCTTTTGTTTCAGCTCCAGGTGTTTTTGGGTGTGTGGGATGCTTCCCTCTGCAGTCTCATACACCTTGGATCACCTGGAGGAGTGGTCCTGGAGATCACCGCAACCCTGTTGCCCCTGCGTCTGGGTAGGGAGACCCCTCAGTGTGAAGAGGAACTTTCTTCTTTTAAAAAAACGTTCCTCTGTAACTTACCAGACGAGGAGGATGTTGAGGGTTGTGCGTATGGGCTGTCCTGCTGTTGTTTTGTTTTTTTGTGCTTTGTCATCCTGGTTTTTAGTTATCCTGACATGCTTTCCATGTTTGCACATCATCGTTTGCAAGTAAACTATTTTCCGCATATTCACCATTTTTAAGCGATCAGAGCCCGGACGTGTCCCTTTATGAGTAAACAAAGCCAACAGTCACTGATTGTTGTCTAGACCTGCTGTAGATATACTATAAGCCAGAATCAATGCAAGTCTATGTGAAGATTTCTGAAGTTGATGTCCAGGTAACTTCTCCTGATCCGAACAGAAACTGTTAGTCCAGGAGTCAAGTTCATGTATTTAGGACTCGCAGGCTCAAATGTAGAGCGCTGTTTTTTTTTCCACCCACAAAAAAAATGTGTCGCATCAACTCATCTGACCTTTGGGTTAGCATTTAAAAGCACTATTAAGACATAGCGTGTTGGCCTTAGTAATATGCTCAATGTTGTGGATCTACAGTATATTATTCCAAGTCACCATGTCTCTGAACTGTCCAGTCACTCCATTTTTTTACCCCCCAAAAAATGAGCCTAAAGGTCTGGTTTAAAGCACAAAAAAGGCGATTTTGCTGTTATATTTAACTTCAAAGTTCCCAAAGTCTGTAGAGGATCATTCTCAGATTCAGCCCACAGTGAAGTCTCTTCTGTGTCTCTGGTCCTATCTCGGTGGAAGGTAGAGAAATAACTGTGAATGTTTGCAAAACTTACATTGTTTTTTCCTCTTGCTGGGCTTTTTCTTACATATTCAGGTCCTCCCTGTAATCCGTGCAGCACATACTGTAGGAGAGACGTCACAGGAAACCACAGTTAGTTTTGCCCCTGTGCCATGTTTTGGGAACTTTCTCTCAGCCCACGCAGTTCCCTCATACAGCTTTGACACTGTTTAATCATGAAAGGTTGTAAGAGCACAGCGAGTCAGGATTCTGTTTTAAAGCTTTATTCGCTCCCCTTTTCACGGCTGCTGAGATTACTGAGCCGACCCAGATGTTTTCTCCTCAGAACAGACTGATGCCCCAGAGAGAAACAGGGGATTTCCACTCAAACATGGTTTCCTCTTGGTGTGTAACACCAACAGCGTGGTTTGTGGTGCTGCTGGGGGAGAATGAGGTAGCAAATTAATCACTTATAAAAACAACATCTACTCCCTCTTTTCTGTCTAAACCACTGAGAGCAGGTTGTTCTGACCAGCTGAGAGGAGATTCAAACAAACTGCACACTGACTTTTTTTTTCTCACATCTTTAACTCAAGTTTTTGCTCCTCTCTTTCCAGACAAACCATATGTGTTTAAAGCTCAATTAAGCTACGGCAGGAAAAACACAGTGAGTTGTGCAAACATGATAAAGTATAGGATATGAAGAGACAGATTGTCAAAATAATGTAGAATTCACATACTGATTTTCAGATACTGGCATTGTGTGATAGTTTGTCTCCTGCAAGTGCACTTTTACTTTTGAGTTTTTCATGTTTGTTTTTGTTGATATGCTGCAACTATAGAAATGTACATTTTATTTTACTTGAACAGTATACTGTAATAAAGATTTTAATTGTAGATGTTATCATTCTTACTAAAGAACAACTGAGCTTTTTTCATTTAATTTCCTTGTTTGTGCTGCCATGAGGCCAGACCGCTGTACTGCTGATAACCTCCTGCTGTATGAGCTTTCATCCTTTTATTGCCCACTGCCGGTGTTGAGGCAGCAATGACAGGAGGTCCACTTCCTGAGCTGCAGGAGGCTTCTTGCAGGCGGTTGAATACTGTTGAATCAAAGCTCCTTCAGTGAGCTCGCATTCACCTGTACATTACCTGTGACATTATTCATGACAGCCATACATTTCCTCATTTCTTCCTGTCTGGATCAATCACATTATGAAGGCAATCTAACTCAGTTGTTGCTTAGTAACTAATGTTATATAATCAAAATAAATTCTACTGTACATCTAAGTAACCTGTACTGTAAATAAGATTTGTCTACTGTCTATTGAGGGTGAGTGTTGCTCATTGATTGTAATGATTATGCAATTACCAGTAAACTGCTTGTTTTTTCATTGAGACCTTCCTGTTTGTTGCATGTTTACATTTGTCTGTAGGCGACATTTACCAGGCGCACCGTTTCCTGGCGATGGGTAAAGCTCACTTCTTCCCCCGCTCTTCTGTGGGCAGCAAAATGTAACGCATCAGTTTCACAGACAGCGGGCTTAACAGACCCTGAAATTTCACAATAGGAACCATGAGCATGATTCATTTGCCTCATCTTCCATTCCTCAGTGGAATCATTTCTCTCGCGGGCAGTCAGGGTGAGGTTAGGATATCAGAGGACCTGTATGATGAAGAGTTAATGCCCTCTGTGTCCAATTTCCTGGATTTATGTTCTCAGGTCGATGGAGCAACGACAAGAGTGGTTTAACGTTGCTGGAGTGGATATATGGACTGATTTATTGATCTGAAACAGGCTGTCAAGATGACCTCATAACCGATTGGAGGAGTTTATGTTTAACCACTAGGTGGTGCTAAGATATTAGAAGTTTGTCTACTCCCCATTTTAAAACTAATACATCACATTTTCATCATGAAATTCTTGTGATTACTTCCATTTTATTGAAGATGTTTAACAGTACTTCAACTTTAGGACACATCCAGTGCCCAAGTTTCATAGTTCAGTTAATTATCAATAAGAGAAAGACAGGGTGGCTTTTTTTAATCACTTAATACTTTTTATTTACATGTAATGGGATGTATTGTGGTTAAATGAATCTGAGACAGTAACATCCAAATTCACCTTTCATCAACAAATGCACAGGTGGACAATATGGGAAGCAAAACATGTTTCACAAATGCCAAATCATTAAAAAACCAAATACAAAAGTTCAACAACAGTAACATTTGGAACCACCTTCGACACCTTTCCGACTCGTTAGAATATGAATATGACCGATTATGTCAAAGATTAACGTCCAGCAAAGTGAAATGAAAGAAAGAAAGTGGATTAAAGGTGTTAGGGTTTGAGTTTAAAGTTTGTACGCACTGCTGAAGAACTTGATTGTTACTAAACAATACTGCTCAGACAAAAGATCGTCAATGAGAATCACTCTCTGGAATGGATGTTATTTTGACAACATTCAACACACGCAAAATACACTGTATTTACACACACACCATACGGAGCAGAGTCCACAGTACACAACTTCATTTGGATTAATCTTTTTCTGTCTGAGTGTACTTAGGATTTAAGTGTTCTATGTGTGACCAACAAGCACCATTTAATGTAACAGTTTCCACTATATGATGTGGATTATTTGCATTGAAAACAATTAAAACGCCAAGAGAGCAGCTGTAATCTCCACTGTTTATCACCGACAGCTGTGAGCGCGTCTGACGGTACAGGTTGGCATAACACGGCGTCAGAATGGCACTCAACCCGAGTACACTCCATTCAATTATGAACCTGCCATGCTGGGTCAATTGCTGTGAAGGGCTTTCGAGCTGTAGTTTGCTTGTACTCTGATCCAGATATTAAATGAGCAGAAGGCGTGACAGGTCTAATACCGCATCACAGGGGAGGTCTTTCTTGACAGGGATTTAAAGAGATGGCTGCAAAGCTGCTGTAAGCGCTCAAAGCTCGTGGATCATTATACGTGGTCTCTCGTTACACACGGTGCTTGTTAGTTACAGTAGTGCTGTAAAATGAAAGTTTGAAGATATAAGAGAGCTGGAGAGAGAGCAGTGCTACTGATGTTTCCACACTGTTCAGAGACAGATGTAAAGATGTACTGGTTACTACATGAGCCGTTCTGCAGCCTCGAGCTTTGTGGAAAGTGAGTTGCAACTCAGGTGGAATATGAAATGTTAGCATGTTGAAATGTACAGCCTTCAAGTACGACAATTATATAGAGACTGTTAATGACGAACAAACTCATTAAATTTCCATATCATATATCCATATGTAAACAATACTTCTATTTCTAAAAACCCAGCCTCCTGAGGTCCTGTACAGAGCCAGGTCTGCTCTGTGAGGGAGGGGAAACAACTGGGGGTCCTCTCCAAAGAGAAGGGAAATATGAGCGGGAGGGTTTAAGCGCCAGGGCGACAGATAGGTTGGCAGGTAGGTCAGATGGTTTTTCGCTTCACTACTCGAGTGACTGCAGCATGAGGAGCTGCTTGAGGACCTTGGTCTGACTGGTCTCCCTGATCTCTCCGGCCAGGAACATCTCATCCACGACTGTGTACACCTTCAAGTGAGAGGAAACAAAGGAGAGGTTCTCAAACTTCCAATTTGACGATTATTGTTTAATCTTCTTACATTGACTTTATTTTGCTGTTGTTGCAAACTTTATAGCAGTGTGAGTATTCAATATCAAAACTGGCGAATTGGAACGATGTAAAACTTTTCTATTAGCTATTCCTTCTTATAAAAAGTGCTAAACTGTCACCTCTACTTCTTATTTACAGCTATGCCTTACTGATATTTTCACAAAAAAGTGAAGCCTGAAAGGAGGGCACCTGACCCCCGCAAGAAAGAAAACTTTGTGATGAAAGGAAATGAGAGGATTGTAGCAGGTCTATATTACAATGGAGCATAACTACCGCAGACCAGTGCATCATTAAAGGGTCAGGCTTCCTGTAAGACTACACGACACAATGCTAAGTCATGATCTGGTCTGCGGTCACCATTAGTCATTCTTTCCACCTGTCTGTATCATCAAAATCCCAAAATAACTCATGAGCAAATACAACAAGTGTCTAACTTTAGCTCACTTGTGTCAACATCACAGACGTGGAGGGATGAATCAGTGTTTCTTCTCAGACACCTGAGAGAAGTGGGCGAACTGAGCTTGTGAAATAGTTTCGCCCTGAGAGCAGTCATGGGAGGGCAGTTGTAATGAAACAGGAAGTTCCAAACAAGGTGGTTAAAATTTTGGTTCCTGGTCATTTTCAGACATCAAACTTGGGTGGGGTTTTGTTGGAGGGATGTATTTGTTTTTGAAGTATACATATATTGACTGCCAACGTTTAAAAAGCAATATCAATTGAAATGAAATTAAGTTTTTATCTTATGTTTTTGTACTTCTCCGTTTCTTCTGGCTGATTAAAATGCATAAAATAAAATCACATAACGCCGTCCTGAGGCAAAAATAGAATGAAAAGTTCTTACCTTGTAAAAGTTGAATACAAGGTCCAATTCACACACGTTGTGGAAATACTCATTCAGCACCTTTAAAAAAAGAGAGGAACAATATGAAATTCAAATTACAGCCAGCAGATAACCAAATCTATTCCTTTGAGAGGACACAAAGATGTATGGTAATTGTACGTCTTGATGTGGTGCACGACAGCAGAAATAAACTGGAACTGCAGCAGCTGCAGGATCATCTTAACAACCATGTAATAAGCTGATTTCCACTACAAGGCTATTCATCTTAAAATGCCAAATTAAAATTAATGTGCTTCTCCTCTCATCTTGTTTCCACACGAGACCGTTTACAGCAGCAGTATAGTGACATTTACAACGGCAGAATTACTGACCCTTTGTCAAGGATTTGCTCCAGTGAATATTGAAACAAGCGCCATGTTGGCCTGGCCTTGTAACTTAGATTGACTTAAACTAATAGGAGTTTTAAGTCTTTGACTACAGAGAATAGTCTGCTTTTAACTAATCATCTCCTTTTGAAAATAAGGTAACAAACAAGCAGCAATTAACAAGCACTCCTTCATGGTCAAACATTACATGAAATGACCTTTACTCCTGAAGACTAATTGAAATAAAATGACTCTGTTATTCGCTAAAAAGTGAACTTCAACTTCACAGGTTCTATTAAAACTTTTTGATAAATAAAGCTCAAAATGTAAACGAAAATGTATTATATTGAATTAATGAAGACGCGCCACCACATAGTTCAACCATTAGAAGTAAAATCTATTGTTGTCTTATGTCTCTGCTATATCCAATTTTTTACTGACTGGTTAACAGTATCTATTCAAATGTCCTTACAGAGATGGTGCTTAAAGCTGCTATCAGATTCTGCTGGTAATTAGTTATCAATTTGTGACTGATTACTGATATAAAGACGTACTTCCAGCATATTCCACTGATAAAAGTCAATAAAAACATATCTCAGACTTGACGGATGGAAAATTTGTGTTATTTTCATATGAACTTCGTGTGGTATGTTTTGGAATCCGTGCTTAACTACTAGACTATCATGCTGACTCATTTATTTTCTCAGCGACAATCTGCTGACCTAAATTCTTTTGAAGAGAGAACCTGACCTAATACTTGATGATGTGATTGAGACACCATTGTGAAGACATACAAGAAGTGTTGAGAATATCTTATTAGTAATGTTACCCATAAGCAGGAACACTGAATAACCACTAATCTCTTCCAACAAATGTTTGGCAGCAGTCTGAACTTTTCACGTGAAGTTTCAGCACTGGAGGGGAATTTTTGAAGGAAATCATTGACAGACATTCCCAAAAACACTCAGACCGTGAAAAGTAAATCATCCCAGCTCACTTACTGACTCCATATATCATGTGCTCTGTGTGTGTGTGTGAGTTACCTCTACAAAGTTGTGTATTCCCTCGAGGTATGCCAAGTTGTTATCAGTCACATCCACACAAATGCAGAAGTATAGACCAGCGTATCGCCTGTAAATGATCTTGAAGTTCCTGAACTGAGGATCAAACACAAATGAGGCCTCATTACAGCTTTCTTTTGCATATTATCACAACAAGTTTCAATCAATCAATCAATCAATAAATCAAAGTTTATTTATACAGCACCGTTCATACAAATGAAATTTCAGCTCCAAGTGCTTTACATTAGGACAAGAAAAAAAGTTATTAAAATAGACTAATACAGACAATGAAATATAAACTTGAATTTATTAATAAAATTAGGTAAAAAGTGACTACTACAATAAATAAATTAAATAGTAATTAAAATAATGCTTTCAGAGGCACTGTAGCTTTTATTCTTTTACTGTTTGTATTTTATTTTACTGTTTTTAATTTTTGTTTTCATTATTATCTATCTATTTATTTACTTCTTTTATTTATCCCATGTACAGCACTTTGTTTGACTGCTGTCTTTTTAAGGTGCTTTATAAATAACTGAAGGACAGCCAGTGCAAAGTATGGCGACCATTTATCGGCAAGCCGATTAAATCGGCCAATTTTAGCCCGTTTGAGACTAATTGGTAATCGGCCAAAACCCGCCAATTTTCGCCGATATGTGCTATTCATGTGCTGTGTTGGTCTCGGTCACACTGAGTAAATGGTGAAGCACCATGTAATATGCAAGCTAAAGTTAAAGTTAGCCATCTGCTATTAGCCTTGCTACACTGTTAGCGTGCCAGTAACGTAGAATAAACAACAGTAGAATAAACAACAGCACACATTACGTGATCAAGCTACTTCTCTTACTGAGGCAGCTGCATGTCTCCAGAAGAGACCAGGCCGGAACTGTGTAACAGAGGCACCGATCGGCGCGGGTGGTGGTGTTAATAGGTAATCAGACTTTTTTCCCCTCTAATAATCGTTATCGGCATCGGCCCCAGAAAATCCAAATCGGTCGGGCCCTAGTGCAAACACCCCTGGTCCTAGTCAATACTCTAACAGCAGAGTGTTGGATCAGCTGTAGCTGGTTTATTGTGCTTTTGGGTAGACCAGAGAGGAGAGCACTACAGTAGTAGAGCCTGCTGGTTATAAAAGCATGACTTACTCTCTCTGTCTGGCTTAGAGAGAGAAACAGTCATACTTTTGCAATGTTTTTAAGGTGGTAAAGGTTTTAGTGACCCCCCTAGCATAAGTTTTGAAGTTCAGAGATTTTGTGCTTCTTGGCTGGGGTTAGGTCCTATTTTGTGGAGTTTGGAGGTCAGTTTCTCTCTCTGAGCCTTTGAAACAGTTACTAAAACCTCAACTATAACACAACTGCATGGTGGGAAAAAAAACGGACAGAGCAAGACTTTGTTGTCTGTACTTAGCCGACTTCTTTTGAATTCAACGAACTTGTTTTCAGGATACAACAGCTTGACAAATCTGTTTGCATAAACATGACAGACTCTGATCCCATACCTCCACAAAGTTGGTGTGCTTTGCATCTCTGACAGTTACCACAGCGTGCACTTCCTCAATCAACTTCTGCTTCTCATCATCATCAAACTGCATGTACCACTTGGCCAGTCGTGTCTTCCCAGCCCGGTTCTGGATGAGGATGAAGCGAATCTACGAGGGAAAAAAAATAAACAAATGAATAAATCAGATGTCATTGCTGAACTCGTTACTTGATCAACCTTTCATCATGATGAACTATGATCAGGACATTTGTTCACGGAACCACACCCGTTTGTTTTGCAACATAATCAGACCAGAACTTTGCTAAAAATGTTTTATGAATTAATAATATATGTGCCAAACGTTACTGGATTTATAATGCTGGTAGTGGTTAAATATCATGACTTCATAACTGCGGCCTTGTCTGCTATGACAGCTTAGCTAACGTTATCTACTATCTGAATGGAGAGGTTATCCTGCTACAAGCTAACAGTGAAACGTTACAACTAACACAGTCATAATTTACAATGTCAACTTTTAAATACACTTACCATTTTCGTCTTCTAAATATGCGCCTCGGTGCCTCTGAAATATTGCTTTCCTTATCTCTTATACCTCGATTTTACACAAATACATTAGTAATTTCTTCGACCGCCCGTCCGCTATCTCCCCCGAGCAAACCGGAAACGAGAGCCTGTTTCTAAGTCGCATTGGATGTTGGGAAATGTAGTTTTGTTGGCATTTGCGGAGCGTTGGTTTGGGGTCATTTTTCACTACAAGAACCAAAATCCTTTGGTAGCGCCCGTTGCGATGGATCACATGAGAAGCGAAAGGGCAATAACTATGATTTTTAATCGACAAAAAATGTTTTAAATGAGAATACTTATTTATAAATGACTAATCACTTGTCTCATAATTTGGTAATAACACTATCAAATCATAGAGGCCATTTCACTGTCTGAAATAAGTTTGAATTTGACTACTTTTTGAAACATAATGATTTCCATACTCCTCAAAAGAATGGTCATGTCAAGAGTTAATATTTTATCATTTTTCCGTAGCCCTTTATTACATTTTGTATCATGTTTAATACATACTTTTATGATAGGTCTATCAAATCAATATGATCAACAAACTACTTTAAAAAATCACCTCAATACATTTCGATAAATGATAGAAGTGTCCTTTTGTGGTTTATCAATTTCCAAAAACATCTAATGTATCAAACAAGATCAATAAAATATTTGTTAAATTTTAAGGACATTTTGATTTTTGATTTTATTATTATTTTTTTTTTTTTGGTTTTCAGTAGTAAGTGAAATAAACATTTCAGCTCCAAAAAAATAGAATTTTCTGGCCATAATTTGTGGTTTTAGGCATTAAACTGCGTAGGCCTATGCATGTCTGTCTGTATAAATGTGTGTATGAGACACACCTTTGAATAAGTTGCACATGGGATACAATTTCTAAATCTCAGCCTTTTATGTGTCCACCCTCTTGAGGTTACATCAACTGTGGTTGTTTTCTGCAGAGTCAGGGCGCAGAGTTTGTTTACTGGTCTGATTGGGCAGCCAGTTCACCGCAGAACATTGCCCAGACGGCTCGGACAGCATGCCTCTCTTTCTCTGAGCTTTCTGGGTGTTTGGGGAGTCAGAGGGGGATGGGGGAGCAGTGATTGTCAGGGATTGCACAACAGTGAAAGAAGGAATGTGCCTGCCTTTGGGACCCAAAAATATTTCAGCTGCAAATACAGAGTAGGCTGAGGTGGACAGGGAAAAGAAATAAAAAGAAAAGGAAAACTGACCAGTGAGTAAATGTCAAACATAGACTTTTCTTTTACAGCTCTGTTTGGATACTGGCGTGTCCAGGGTAATAAAAGCAAGGAAAATGTGGTAATCTTTATAACACTGTTGTGTGTGTATATATAGCAAACATAACCTTAACGCGTCATAATTTAACAGTCAAACGAAGCACAGTTGTATAACAGGGCTGGTGCATGCCTACGATAACAGTGTCAGGACATCTAAACCACTGGCAGATTATTCATCAGAAACTTTGACCCCTGCTAATCTTGCTCTGTATGATTGGGGTCATGTAAATATTGCTGCAAACACAGACTCTAATGTGATTGGACAAAAGCTTGACTTATTCAAACAGAGGGCAGTGCACCTTGAACTCTGCCAGACTGTCAGTTTAATGGTGGACCACATTTCAAACTGTCATAGCACACAATGTACTCCTATACATGACCTTTTTTAAACTTATACAGCAAAAACAGAGCTGTTAATGACCGCTCCGAAACTTTGGACATGTTGCCTGTTTTGACTTGAAGTAGCAGTTATCTTTTGGCCGTATAGCCCTTAATTTTCCAACTAACTTTAAAATGAAAGGATATGGTTTTACACTCTGTTAAAGAATATGTTTCCATATCGCAAGAAGTTTAGGTTCACAGATTAGATTAGCATGTTCATGGAAGGAAGATCATGGAAGGACTGACAAGGAAAAAGAGGAGGATTCCAGGAGAAGCTCCCGGAGAAAGACACCAAACATCTGTTGGAGAAGTTAGTGCACACAGTTGTCTCGTACAACATTGTAAGTATTTCTCTAAGAATTTGGAAGTATTTTAACCAATTCATCTCAGGGTCTTTAACTCAGCAGCTCTTTTACCAAGTGAATGACTGAAGGCACAACACACTATCAGGTCTAACCTTTGAGAAGATTGATTTTTTTCTCAGGAGAGGTATTACATATCTTTCCTTTGTGCAACTCGATAATGTTCAAAAAAAGATTTTGTAAGACAAATTTGCCTCCCTTATGAAGATACAGAACATGAAAACCTCTATGGATGACAAATTTTTGAGATTGCTTAGGGAGACAGGGATCTGCTATGAAAAGAAGCAGTGTGTGAGGCATGGGGCCAAGAGGGCTGGGATCAAACTAAAGTCAAGGAATTACAGTCATGATGGCATGACTACAGACTTTTTTTTTTCTTCAGAAAGCATTACACTGGCACAGTGTGGAATACACAACAACAGTCTGGGATCATGGATGAATAAAAAGGAAGTGGAGTGAGATACTGTGATTTAATATTGCACAAAAAACATCTGCCACGCCTGTGTCATATTCTGAAAGTATGAAACCAAAATGGGGATATTTCATTCCCCTGAATAAATGATTTTTACTCAATCACAAATGTATTTAAAGCAGAGCCAGAGAACAACATACTCTATATGGTGATATATTTGTGAAAATTAGAGCAATCTCTGATTTGTCTCTGCCGCATACACCTCTATCTCAAAAACACTTCTTTCCCCTCATAACTTTGTGGTTTCATGATTTACCATACAGAGGCAAAGATATCTTAGAGTGTTACTTCATTAAAATGATATGTATCGATGCTGTGTAATCCTTGTTTAAGCAGAAAGACTTATTAATATTGACCAGAATGAGAATTTCTTTGGCTTTATCTATTAATTAAACAATACAATTTTCACATTAATAAATTACAACAGTGGCGCATAAATCAACAAAAATAATTACATATAAGTGCAGTAAAAGTGTGTTTTAAGAAGCAGGCTGACTGAGAGGAGGATTCCAGGAGAAGCTCCTGGACTGAGGACTTAACATATACCAATGAAACCCTAATAAAGAAAATGCTTGTGAAAAAGAAACATGTGCTGCACATAAAAGTGTATTATTGAAATGGATTTTGCTTAAACCACCAACTGTTTCTGACTGGCACACGGTCAAATTTGGCATTAGATGGCTAGTGGTCTGGGGAGGCTCTGTTGTCTGTATTGCTTCTATTATTGTATATATGCGTAAGGTTTCAACATTCTGATACTCTACTTGTTTATGCAGGACTGTGCTGTGATTAAGTTGAAATTTGGTTTTGTTTTGAGGATTGGGTGTTAATGGAAAAAAAAAAGTATTCACTGTTTGATAAAAATGTGATGCTTCATGTTCAATAAAAACCCACCTTTTTAAAATTGCTTTTAACATGTGACTATTTTACTTATTTATATTTCTTTATCCTATCTTATTGCTATATTCCAATTGTGTGCTATATGTAAAGTGTCTTTGAGTACCTTGAAAAGCGCTATACAAATAAAATGAACTATTATTAATTATCATTATTATTAAAAATATTTTCCACAAAAAAAAAAAGAAACTGGAAGAGATTTTTGTCTGACCAAAAAAAGTTCCTTACAGTAGCTTTAAAACTGATTAACCGGAGTAGCTTCCTTGATTGAATCTACTGTATACTGTTATGTTAGATGTAAATTTTATAAAACACTATTTCACATCTGGTCCAATCATTACAGCTTTACTTCTAATAGATATTTGCATAGATTCATTTTATAATATATACTTTCAGGTCTAAACAAATGTAAACAGATTTATTTAAAGTAAAGTAAAGCAAATCTTGTCTATAAAAATATAATTTTTTTGTTTATAGTATGCACTCAGTTTGTGGGAAGTTTATTGTGTCATTATTTAAGGTCAAAGTTACTTTTTAAATGCTATAGGAATGAACGGGGTCAATGTGCAACACTCCTCAATGGTAGTGTGCTTGTGTTGTAATTGTGTCCATGAACCGCTGGGCGAGTCTCTCTCTCGCTCTCTCTCTCTCTCTCTGTCTCTCTCTGTATGTGCGTGTGTGTGTATGTGTGTGTGAATAGGAGGGGAGATGCTGGATTCGGGAGAAGGTCCGCCATTATTGGGAAGCTGAAAAAAATAGACTTAAACACACCGTCACACATTTCGCTTGTACGGGGCTCAGCGTTGGAAAGGCAAACACACAGCGGGTCGGGACGCGCTGTTGGACACTGAAAAGTGTCGTTTTGGTTAATGAAGGCTGAGCCTGTTTGTCGTGTTTTTCTACGGACTCTTTTATTTTTGACATAACAAAGGAAATAATTATTGGTCAAAACAACGTGGTGGCTGAACCAAGAAGGAAAAACACACCGAAACAGGACGCCTCCCCCTTTTCTCCCCTCGTCCAGTCGTGGTGAAAAGACCAGGAGTTTGAACAGCATTTTGTCTTTTTTTCCTAGACGTGAATTTAGTTGCTTTTTTCCCCCCTCCTCACCTTTCTCAACAGAAAGATAAGCATGTCGTTAGTGAAAACTTCAGGCTGGTGAAAAAAATGAGCTCGTAATGCTGTGAGCAGAGGACAGAGAGCGTGTTTGCTGAAACAAAAGCGGAAAAATAATCGATGTGAGTGCTGCTGCGAAGTGTTTTCGTCTGTTTTTTGAAAGTCTTTCACCGGCTGTGGGTCGCAGAGCGAGGAAGAAAGGAGTGGACGTAAGCTGGATAGAGGAGGAATGCTATGGTATGTTTGCCTGTACTCTTCTTTTACACAACATAACACATGTGAATCGACAATTAAGTGAGCCGAGCCAGGCTGGAAAGACATCCAAAGGCGTTAGCTGCTCGGGCTAATTCGAAGTGCTGCGAATAACAAGAAACTGGGAGTCAACCACTGTCCCCTGAGTGCTGGTGTGGTTTAAAGCCCTTTCCTGTAAAAATACTGATATTTCTTCTTATGATTCATGACTGTGGAAAGATTAACCCGGTCTCTATGCAGGTTGCAGTTGCCTGTGCGTGTTAAAATGAGAAGTTTGCATAGAAGAGAGAAAGAAGGTCATAAAAATGGATCTTATCCAAACATTAAATTGGCTTGTACAACAACACCTGGAATGTGTTGGTCTTGTCTAACACGAATAAATGCTTCTTTTCAAGGACCTCAATGACTTTCAAAATATTATTTTCAAGGTGGAACTGTCAGGGTTTGATGCTGTGTCTGTGCTGATCAACCCCAGGTCAAAATGAAAAATTAGATGATTTCTAAATGAGGTTTGGTGTAGTTTATGTTCATCAGTACAGCATGTGTTGGGGCATGTTTAGCATTTTCTTAGCCCTGATCAGATTTAGGTCAGAATGTGAGCTCTAGCACATAAGAAACTTGAGTCTGGAGTAATTATTTCCTCTCTCATTAAATGCCCCACTAACATCAAAGCTTCATGTACAGGGCTTCCTGGTGACACAGCCAGCTAATGTGCGTACGCCCTGCCAGGAGGTGACAGGATGTACAGTGAATGTATCGCCATTTTTCCACCAATTAAATATCTCAGGTGGGGTTTTTTACCTTCCCCTCTGAATGTTGCATCTCTGTCCCTCCACGCCAGATGATTAAGCTCAGATTATGATCGTAAGGGTGGTATTAACACAATTAAGTCTGATTTTAATCTGTTTTTGTGCCAGAAGTAGTCACCGGTGTGTCATGGCTTACTGCCACTGCAAAGTGGTCATCACCCTGCCAGCCACTCCCTTTTCGTCAGAGTCCTCTCAGTGAACTTCAGTCCTTTTATTTTGAACTGTATTTTTTCCCTCCTGTCTCTTGGTTAAAGATTTTAGACGGATGGCGAGAGATTTCACAGAGTGAGAGAAGTGTCAGAATGTCTGAGCGGAGTTTCAGTATCTTGGCACAAAGGTGCGCAGCATGCACTGTACTGCTGCTGTCACTGCAAGAGAGAGGGGGACATTTTCAAAACAGTAACTTAGCAATTTGATCAAAGTTCAGCAGTGTTATCTTGTATGTTTTACAGTTTTCTCAAGAAAATAAGCTGACTGCTAGCACTGCATTTGCAGACAGGCCTTTTTATCAATAGTTATATAAAAACTATATCACGACCAGTGTTGGTCTCCTAAAATGAGGTCTGTATGGTTGATTACACCAGTCAGTGCACCAGTATGATTGTCCTTATTATATATCAGTCTCCTGATGTGTTTTGATAAATCTTTTAATATCATTTATCATTTCTAACACACTGACATCTCATGAGTCTTCGGTATCAGCCAATACTTAACATCTGAATTTGTATTTGGAGGAAAAATGGTATCCGTACATCTCTAATTTCAGCGCAATCAAACTTAAGTCAAGAGCTGGCTATAGAAGATGTAAGCACACTGACACACACATGCACACACTTTTCCTGGTAAGACGGTCTCTTTGCTCTCAGGTAGGAGTATTAGCAGCTGTCAGCACTTCTGTTCTCTGCTTGATTGGGCCCTTTGCTGTGCAGTCACACTTCTCCAGGAAGCCTCCTTCTTCCCCCTAATAGCCGTGCCATTTGCCCATGTAGGCAGCAGGCCGGCTACCAGCATACCCACTCACCCCTGTCTGCCTGCCTATCTGTCTGTCTGTCTGTTAGTCTGTTTGTGTGCCTGTGGGCTGTGGATGTGGTTGTGAGTCCCTGGGCTAGAACATGTTCCTAGGATTAGAGGAGGGCAGGCTTTGTCTGTCAGGATGTAGGCCAGAGATGCGGCTTCAAGCTTTGATGAGGGTACTGGAACAGAGATTCTGTCCCATATTATGTGGACGGATAAACACAGAGCTTGGCACACGTCCTGACGGAGCGGTGGAGGAGATATCAGCCACTCGTATCACGTCAGATTCTAATAGCAAGCACTTGACTTCCCAGTAATCAAATGAGGGAGGTTATTGGAGAGTACTTGAGCTCTTTACTGTGAAAAATACCCCAAATCAGCGGGCCAAGCTGTGAGCAGGTTATTTTAATAAGCAACAATCATCAGTGTCATGCTGCAGTTTAAAAACTTACCCCACACCGCATTGTTTTAATGTCAACCCAGTCCTTTACTTCAACAACCCTCCGTTCTGCCGAATCAAACAGTGACCTCTCACCCTCACATTTTTCAGATTTCACAGCTAGCACACCTATTAAGCCGGGACGACTGAAAATGTGCCGATCGCAGGGTCTCTCTCTTTCCTTGATTTACAGGAGAGGTTTGCTTGTGAGCCAGTGTGTAGCCTGTGTTTGATGGAGAAAAGAGCTAATTATAGCGGGCAGCTTTGGAGTTTGGTGGACCAGATTACAGTCACTCTCCTCTCAATGGCGGCCTTGTTCTAGTGGCCGATTATTAGGCAGAGAGAAGTGCATTCTGGGATGATTGTATCTGAATTTCCATTAGAAAGTGTGCCTGCCTCAGTTGAACTGAGGTTCCCTTCTCTCTCCCCACTGTTCCAGCTCTCTTGCTCATTACAGATTTGCAGATGGGGACAGCCAGATATAAAGGCCTCTGTAGTGTGGCCTGTTCTGTTTTAGAGCCAGTTTAAGTCTGTGTCCTGAATGGCCGAATTATGTCTGAGAGAACTGACCCCGAGTCAGCAAACGGGGGCTTTTCCTAGTTCTTATTGAAGGGAGTTTATACTGAGAAAAATATCCTGGTACTTCTGTGCATGAGCTCCTCTTTGTAACAAATGGTTCACCCAACCATTGCTATAGAAATCGATCATTTTTAAGGATTGCGTTTGCTGTATATCCCAATTGGATGTCTTTATGGTATTGCTTTTCCAATACTAATGCATTCTAAATGTATAACACCAGTGAATAGATATGATTTATTGCCTGAATGGTGGTCATAGGGGGTTGTTAAGACGATTTTAACTGGTCTTCAAAAAAAAAAAGGGTGAAACTGTTTGGAAGCCTGGTGGCCATGGAGATGAAGGACCAGGATGTAAGCCACAGAGGAATGGTGACCTCTGGACGTGAGCGGCCCTGTTTTGCTTTTCTAGCTCCAATTACACAACAAGAGAGACCAGGGTAATGGGGCTGTGGTAATTTGAAAGGACTGTAGAGAGGGAACATGAGGGGAGAACCAGCAAGAGAGTGGCATAACAAAGTTGGTAGTCAGTTAGAGAAGGGGAAAAAAAAATGCAGGAACTGGAGAAGGTAAAGTAAAGCGAGAGCAAACTGCTGCCAGTTTGTGCTTCAGGCTGTGTTCCTGGTATGTGCCCTTCCAGCTTTGTGCTCAGGGATCAACCAATCAATGACAGCCATAAGTAACCCTGCTGCTTGGCTATTGGCCACAGCTGAATTCCATGACTCAGCATGTCCGTAGATAAGATGTTATGATTGAGTCACTGCCAGTGAAATGAGGCCACAGCCCGGAGTTCAATAGGTTGGACTTTGGCTGCTCACAAAAAGCTTGTACCACCCACTTACAAAGGCAGGATAGTCCAACAAGTTCTCCCAACTTTTTCAGATTTTGTAAGGGGCTAGATAAAAAAGGAAAAAAATTGTCATATAAAATGCAAGCTCTTGTTAAAATTCTCAATGAGCTCTGATTGGTTTCCGGTGATTCAAAGACTGTAGACACTGGAAACTTCTCACCCTGGAAGACAAAGACAGACTGCCCTGAAATCCACCTACACACATATTAAAGGATAACGTTTGGCATGTTTGCACTTTGTGGCCACATTTCTCACATTAACCTCAGACTTATTTTCTTTTTTGTCCAAACCTGTCGCTTTGACCTACATTCTCAAAGTTCCAGCCTTTATTGCCTGAATTCGGCCCAACTCAGGAGGAAAAGTCACCGTGTATCATTGTTTGACTTCTTTTCCCTGGAGATTCTCCCGTATGGCGCCCATGGGTTTCCTGTAGGAAGTCCACCTATGATGGCTGGTTGTGTCAGGGGGGAAACGGGAGGCCTGAAGAGGTGGTCTGGAAGGAGGAAAGGAGGAGAGCTGTGGGTCAGTAATGGCAGTAACAGAGTCTGTATATTGTATCTATATTAATATTATTTAGCTCCCTGATTTCTCGTTCCCTTTCGTCTTATTATTGCTCTCATAAAAGACGCCGGGTACGAAGAGTGACTGCTGCTTGAGTCGTGCTACATTCCACTTGTTGGATGGACCGATGGAAAGCTCAGTCCTCAAGCTCCTGGCACATCTGATAGTACAATAACAAAGCATCCTCACCTCAGCCTCTCCTCTCGCTTTAAATTGCTTCGTGAAGACTGTAATAGAAAGAATATGAAGTGTGACTAACTGAGCTATTAGCTTTTCATTTTTACACATTAGCAATAATACGATTATGTGTCTTGTAGGCTTGCTGTGTTAGCAAGTGTTAGAGGTTTTATACAACACCCAGGCATACGCAGACTTAATTACTTGTCCGCCATTGTTTTTAAGGATGCTGGCAGTGCTTGGCAGATGTGCTGCAATTTATGTTCTGAAAATGCCAGCGAGTTCCCCCAGAGCAATGTAAACAGGCATTGCAGCAACAAGGAGAAGACAGAGAAGGTATTAGAAAGGATTGCTGTATCACATGCCTTTAGGCAGATTTAAAACAGACCATACTTTAAGAAAGACGAGCAAAAAACAACAACCCATCTATAAAAACAGCAGGAAGGTAAACATTTGACTTCTAACCACCGAGACCAGCCCTGTTTTCTCCCTCTGAGGAAGCTCATTATCAGTCTGGTGTGAATTATGACATTGTGGAGGGCAGTGGCAAAAGTGTGTCAACTGTGGACGGCAGTGTTGTCTCCCAGCTGACAGTAAACTCTGCTGACATCACCTCACTCAGACGTCCTATATATCATCAGCTAACATGTTGTACACTGTCATATATCCTCGATCATCAATAACGAGTTGTCACAACTTATTAGCCTTGCTCTGCCATCCTCAGTTTCAAGGATATTTGGCACCAGGTGCTTCAGTAATTTTCTCTCGGTGCAGAGTCGTGGAAACGAAAGGAACCTTGGATTTCATCTTAGTCCTTCCTAATGTGTCACCAAATTATGACAACTTTAGGTATCACATGTGTATTATTACTTATAGTCAGTGCATAATAGTGCTGCTGAAACCAGATGTTTAGTTTGCGTGTTGTCTGTTTACCATGCTGTCTCTGGCATGCTGTTCCTGTCCATTGTCCTGACATCTTTATTAGTGTGTTTGTGCACCTGCAGCCTTCAGACAGAGAAGAGAAGGCTGGAAAATAAGAGGCAGAAGGGTGTTCTCCATTTACCGTCTATTTTAATTAAAGCTGGCAAGTGTATTCACATATTGACAAGCATGAGAGAAGAAAGAAGGGGAACAGAAGTATGGAGGAGGAGATAGGGGACTGCAGACCCAAACAACTGGACCTCTTTGAAGTATCCCCTTGACCCTAGTTCTTCTGACTTTTCTCAAACTCTTCCTAAGCTCTATCGATACCTCTTATTTTCTCTCTGCTTCTTCTCTCCTTTTTGTCGTTTTTACAAGGTGGCAGAATATTTCAGTTCCCATGGCCCTCACTTTACATCCCCTCAATTTTTCTGCCCTCACAGCACAGTGCAGCGTTATTGTCAGATGTGGTTAAGGACACAGGAAGGGCACCACCTTGTCAGTAGATGTTTGTCTCAGATGCCACTTCAGGGGGATCTGGCCACCACTGCGGTGGCCTTTGGCATCTCCCCGGTGAACATTTGCTGACACGGTCTCTCCTGCACGGACAAGGACAAACAGAACTCTGTATTTCTGACAAGCAACATTTTTTATGATGTTTGATTAGGAATTCTTAACTTGGAGCATGCCCCGGGCATTTTAACACCCGCAAATCATTATGTGGCTCTTGTTGTGTTGGAGCATGGTTGATGCCACTCAACTTTCAGAGTTTGTAAGTTGGCATTTAAAGGTGGGGTAGGCAGGGATCCGTTAAAAAAAGCATCTTTTTTTGTGGTGTATTTACAAAAAAGCTTTTAATATAGGCCAATAGCTATTAGTTATTTATGACATTTGGGAATATCACGATATCGCTTTGTTTTGCCTGTGTAGTCAACATGTTAAAATTTCTGAGCGGCCTGCTCATTCTGCCTGTATACAAAGCTGTTCTCCGCCTCCCCCAACCTGATTGGATGTGAGGCAGATGCTGCTCCTTCGTGTTGTGAGGCACACACCATGAATAACGTTCACGAGCCCAAACAAAAGTTAGCGTGCTACAATATCAGACGGAAACCAACCAGAACGTAAGAAGATTGTCTGAAAGCTCCTCTGACCATGACTGCCAACACAAGCAAGAAAACCGAGTAAATATCGGAGACTCTGGCGGAATAACGGGCGGTTAAAAAGGAGGTAGACTGGACAAGAGCTAAAAAACCGGGTCAACATAAAACCTAGTTGTATCTATCCTAGTTGTAGAAGTCCTGCAAACATTGTGTTTGCTGGTAGTCTGTTGGCATCCACAGTAGCACCAAGCATTGTAGCATTGTAGTTCTTTCCTTCATGGTATTGTTTGATTAGAAGGAACAGCTCTGTTTTACTTGAGTGTTTCTATGGTAACCAGTAGTGGCTATTCCAAACTATATGGAGCAAACCAGGAAACACGCAGACCATGTGAATGTGGGTTTGCCAATCAAATCTTTGTAGCAATACATTAGTCAAAGTTGTAAATGGAAGATCAGTAAATATTGAATTGCGACCCCAAAATAGTGTGATAACATCAAATCAGGAGGTAAGTGTAACACCCCAGCTCTTCTGTAAGCAGACAATGTGACCAACTGACCCGCCCTCACCCCCAGCAGACAGTCAGATTGGTTCATGCCGCTGGGCAGCTTTTGACAGTGGACATCATATCCTGTTTAAGGTGAGAAGATAAGGTGTCTCTTCATGACCATTTGTTATCTCAGGCAACGAGCCTCCAACACCTCCGCATCCCTTATCTGGCCCAGTCCCAGCTTCTGGCCCCGACTTGAGCTCACGCAGGGTCAGGGCTGATGAGTAAGCACTGCTCAGCCTGCAGATGGCCGGGCCTGCTGTTATCGATCGCAGCGCCACTGCCTGTCATCCAGCCACCACTTAGCTAATGATGTCCATAGTATTGTCTCACAGCTGGGAAAACGGCCATAAAACAGAGAGCAGCGGATTGGAGGGGAAGACGGATTTTTACAGATAGAAGAGGCACACCCAGAGCAGTCTGAGCCAAGTCAGACAGCGTTTTGCTGTCCTAGCATGGATGAAGTGTCATTCTTATAACTCTGTCATTGTTCCTGTTGTCTGTCTTGGTCTTGTATTGAAGAAAGACACCACGGTTCCTGACAGCCCGCAAGTCTCTGTGTCAGCTCGGTTCCTACCTTGTTACTCTGATTGTAACTGTTGTTAGGCAAACAACACTCTTGATTGTGCTGAATAAATAATCTCAGTGATGAATCACCTTGACTGCTTCAATCTTCAGGCAGTTAGAGGAAGGCAGCTCTGAATGCTGTTAAAATGTCTACTGTGCCATTTTTGGGGATTGTAAATGGATTTAGTCCTGGGTTGAGGTTTCAGTGGGGTGATGTGGGTCATTTCTCTTTTCAGTGCCATAATTTCCCAGGATGCAGTGGGGGCCCCAAGGTCCATAGCTCTTATGTCAGAGTTCATTTCCTGTTGTAGTGTTCCAGCAGCTCCTGAGGATCCACCATTTTGTAACATTCCTGATGAGGACGGGAGAGATGTGTCTAAATAAACCCAGACTTTACTCACAACTGTGGCTTTCACTTGTTATTTACATTAACGCAGGATAGGCTGACTTAACAAATGTTACACAGGATCAAGTAAACATGAAATTTCTCGCAATAGTCTTTGCTGATGTCTGTATTTCCAATAATACTCATAATTCAACATTTCTGCTTCTGAATCACAAACCCCAAATCTGACTCTGCATGAATTCCTCCGCTGCCTTGCTGACTCCCATGTATGTTTTAAGTCCTGAAGATAAAAGTAAGAGAAACATGGGCCAAGAATGTAAACATTTCGAGGAGTTGTTTTTGGTTTTGAGGGTTGTTAACAGAGAACACGGCTCGTATTAGTCACAGTCATCGGACAGAGGAGAGAATGCAGCAGACCTCTTTGCCCAATGAGGGAAAAGGTCGTAGGGAATGCAGTTTGTCAGGTCAGGACGAGCTGGGCTTGTTGTGGCTTAAATCCTTGTGACTGCAGGAAAGAAAATGAGGCAGAAAGAGGTGAGCCTCAAGTGGACTCATATTTGGTTAAACATGCATTTCAAGCCAGACCACTTCTGTGTGTGTATGTACGGTCTGTCTGCGTATGTGGAATTTTGGATGTAGATTTTTGGTTGTGTAAGGACCCTATATCTACTGTTACCAAAACTGATCGTAAGAATAAGGTGTAAATTGACTAATCTCCTTTTGAAAGTAATGATAATTTGATTTCTAACAGTGAAGAGGCTATGCAGAGGTCTACATGCTCAAAACTGATGCAACTGAGGCTCTAAGAATCCTACATTTCCCATCATGCAACTCAGTGATACACATGGCCACTTAAAGCTCCTATGAGAAACTTTTGGCTAATGTTGATCATGTTGATTGTCGCACCACCTCTTGAAAAAGCTGTCTTTGCTCACTTTGTCCTATGCAGTTGCTGTTTCTTGCCAAAAATGCCCCCCCACTCTCTTAATCATCAGTTTTATCACTCAATGTGAACCTTAGCTGTGAAAAAGTCTGTATTAGCGACATGCAGTTAATCACTTGGTCTGACACCTACCCCTTATCTCTGGTTTAAGGCATTAAAATAACTTTTTAGGTCATAATGAGATGTGCATTTTAATTTCTGTTTGTTTGATGACTAGCTAAAGATTCCTCACAGGAGCTTTAAGTGTTTTTCAGATTTGAAAACCTCCAAACAAAACCACAAAGACACTTTTGAAATATAAAGGAGGAGTTTTAAAAGCTAGCAGTCCCCCTTATTACTGTAAAATTGAGCTTTTTTTTGGTCAAAAATGTGTTGATACACTTATTCAAAGTTAAAATGGAACAATTAATGTACAAAAGTAGACTTTGCTTGAGTCTTCCTGTTGACATTAAATCAAAAACACTCAGTTCTTGGAATCATTAAGTGTCCTTATACAAAGTCTTTCCCATCAGAATGGACACTGTCCCTCATACTTGTCTGGTGCTCCCTGCCAGTGTTTGTACATGCTGGCTGTTTTGTTTTCAGTCATGCAGTTACTCCTAAAAGGCAAAGTAGTTAATCACTAATGACCCAGGATGACTAATGGCATAATCATCCCACAGTGATTGTGGTAAATGCTGATTAAGATTGTCTTTTGTTCAGCCTTGTTGATCTTATCTGCTCAGTGACAGAGACATTAATTCACAAATAACCCTGAACAATCAGGACAGACATTAAACGAGATCAGAGGCAGCATAGTTTTGAGATTAAACCTGCCCTGTGACCTAGATTCCTCGGATCATACAGTAGATTATGACATGTTTGGCTACCTTTCTGCCCTTGGATTCGAGTTAAAGTATGCTGAAATGATTTCCCAGAGAAACAAAGTGCTTCTCAACCATCAACTAAAGTCCCCTCAGGTTAGTTTTCACCAGCGATGGTAGGAGTGCAATTAAAGTCCAGATAGTGGAGCTAGTTTAGAGCTAGTGGCAAGAGGATCCACACCGAGGTCGTGGCCTTTTTCTAACCAAAACACTTAACTTACTAATAAACGTTTAAGATCCCTGAGGGTGGTACTGTCCACAGCAGAGCAGATTCTTGTGTTTGTTTGAAGCTGACACTCGTGATCATGGAAAGTTCAGTGACTCTCGTGTTTTTGTTTTCTCTCGCTATCCTCCTCTGCTCTGCTTATTTGATAAATAACTCTGCAGGAGCCACAAAAGAGAGCTGTCAGTCATGACGCTGCATCCCCTCTTTTTAGCTTCTCCGGCTCAAGAGAAATAGAACTAACTGCTAAAACAGAAAGCATGTTTAAGAAAAAATAAATTAGTTTTTTTAGTTTGACCAATGATCTTTCTATGCCAGTAGAGGAGGCGGGGTTTAAGACCAAAACTGTAGCTCATCATTAGGGGGAGCTTTAAAAGTTTTGGTTTCTCTTGGACCAGCTGTTACTCCGTCCATTGTTTTGTATGGTCTATGTTTCCTACATATTTAACTGTTTCCTTTTTAAACAAGAAACTTTGAGGGACTTGACACCTGTTGATCAGCGGTCACACAAGCCAAGTTGACTTGAATAGTAAAAACGCAATGACGATCCACAACTGCTGGCTAACTTGTGATCAAACTCAATGCAGCAAGAAAAGTGAAAACAGGTGGAATCATACAAGGACAGCTCATCCAGTTATTGCCTTTTATTTCAGTAGTTTTCTTAAGATCTAAACTTGAATGCCAGATAATCATAATTTGCACCCCCAGAGTTGCTCAAGCACAAAACAAACACAGGAGTAGGCCGAACTCACCTCATTACCGTGGGCAAAGGCAGCATGGTTTTCACTGGAAAACGAGCTTTGAAATCTCAAGATAACAAGATAAAGACTTTGAGATCTCCATAAGAGAACAACCAGAAAACAGAGTAAATAAAACATATGAGTCTGCTTCAGGCTACTGCAGAAGGAAACCTGCACCGAGAGTATTTTACATTTTATGCTATGCGGTCAAATAATCTGGATTGTTACATTGTTAATGTGGCTGAAAACAGCAGGCTTTCTGTCAAAAACACGTCACATCTACAGACAAAGATACTCATGATTCATGTGTCTATTCTAGTACATATGATTGAACAGAGTTTCCCACGATGATTGTAATCCTGTGAATGATCATCGCCCTGTTAGTAGAGAGTGATAATTACATGCCTGTATTAGTTTCTGCAGGAATCAAGATTAATTATAGAGTTTCTGATGCCGCCATTATCTCCACCACCTGTTGTTTATATACTGTCAAGAGTCGGAAACTGAAGGGGCTCGAGGAAAGAAGATCAGGAGGAGAAAGGAACATATCAGAGCCATCAGCTGAGGTGTTTCCATAAACATGTCAGGTCATCTGAGTCATGCAGGTTTGATTGCAGGGTACCAACTTGTTTGTTTGCTGTTCGTTAAAAACCGACCAAACAAGTGCTGCAGACTAGTTTAACCTGCCCTTGAACTGCAGCCCGAGGCATCACACACAAGCGCGCTGACTGGCAGACCTTAAGCAAACCCTGTTTTGACATACTCAGATAATACTGAGACTCCTATCCACTCTATATCTGCTTTTGCTCCCCAACCATGTAAATATATCCCCACTCTGTGTCCTTATTCTCTGTTTGGCCGTAGAGGATCAGATTCTTGGAAATTGTGCAACTCTCAAAATTTCCACGTGCAGCTTTTGACCACAGAACAGAGCTTACATCTCCGGCCTTGCCTTTTTCCTTCGCTTCCTTTCCTTGCTCCTTCAAGGGGTCAGAGTTTACAGGAGACATGGGTGGGTGGTGTGAGCCATCTCCTTTTGGGGATTGGGGATTTGGAGGAGGAGGGGGTGCTCCTCAGGGTCTTGTGAGGTTGGGCAGCAGCCCCAAAGAGGAAGACAGGAAGCGGTGATGGCAGAGAGAGAGAGAGAGAGGGAAGGAACAGCTTGCTGTTGTTGTACTTTGTTTGTTTTCTCACATGTCAGTGCTAAAGTGGGAGACATAGGATGTTGATGGTTTGGACTTTTTTGCCAAGAAGAGCGTGTATGTTTGTTTTTAAGCCTCTAGAACCATCTGCTTCACCACAAGGTCAGCAGATTAAAACTTAAACTGTGATTGAGCACAATTTTGTAGAATTTCAGGGGGGTTTCTACATACTTACCAAGAATAAAATAGGATTAAATTGGGTTGTTTTTCCACGGTTGACTCTTTCAAAGTGTCTATAATGTTCGCCGTCATGTGTGAAACCCTTGTGCAAAGGTTGTAAGAGCTGTGAGAGCGTGTAGGGCGTTGCTCGTGGTGCTCCCCAATGATGTACGGTCGCAAACAGCTTCCAGTGCTTGCACAGCTGGGGTACACTTGACGGACCTCTGCAGTGAACATAGAAAGGGAGGTCTGGGGTGGAGGCAGACAGAGAGAGAGAGAGAGAGGGGGAGAGAGTGGCTGGACCAATACAACAGAGGAATGCAGTCAGGGACTTCAGGGCAGGATACTAACTGTGAAAAAAAGTACAAGCAAGTGCAGAGAAAACACGAGTAGAAAACTGATTATAAATGACAAATCCCCAGCTCTTGCAACCAAACAGTGTTAGCTTCTGTATCCCGAGGCTGGGAAAATGCAACATTAATGATTCCAACCCAATCTCCTGCGTGTACTTTTGCGCACATGTGTGTCGGCTGTGTTTTTGTTTGTGGCCTCTCCTAAATTCAGCAGACAGAAACAGGAAATTTTGCCCCTCCCCTCCCTCCGTCCTCTCTTCATCCTCTGCCCTGCGCTTGCTGCCCTGCTCTGATTGGCCGGGAGGGAAAAGCAAGGGATGAGGTTTTGTCGTCTAATCTGGCAGCGGATCGCCACTGATGGGCCTCTGTAGAATGGCTTTAGTAAATTACTGTTCCAGGGAAGGGCAAATCCCTTCTATCAGATAGCAGCTCTCTCTTCATCTCTCCCTCCATCCCAGGGCCCGCACTCTCTTTCTCCTCACTACATCAGTCAGGCTTTGACTTTATCTCTTCATCACTACCTTCCTCTCCTCCTCGACTTTTTTCCCGTCTTCATTGTCCCTTCATTTTCCGTTTTTTTCACCCCTCATTTTAATACCTCACGTTGTGTGCCTATTTGTGTGTGCAGCAGACCTGATTTACTCCGCCCAGGGGCCTCACACCTGGAGTGAATGAGACGGCTCATGTTGGAGCGAAAGAGAGAAAGAGAGAGAAAGAGAGAGAGAGACGCTCTGTGGATTTTGCTCCAAGGCTACTCATCGACATCAACACATTACAGACTTGTTCGTGTGTGTGTGTGTGTGTGTGTGTGTGTGTGTGTGTGTGTGTGTGTGTGTGTGTGTGTGTGAACAGTCTCCTCTATCCCCTGCTGTGTTTGTGCATGTTAACAAGAACGACCAGTTCTGAGGGCAGCCATCTTGCCTTGCCCAGTCTGAAACTCATGCAAGAAAAAAAACACCTCCTGCTACTGGATGTTTAAGGATTAGAGGGAATTGTTTTTTAATTTTGCATACCTGTGTGACAAAAGGCACAACTTAAGAAGGAAAGAGGATTAAGGAGTTGGAGATACTGCAAAAACAGGAGTGTTTTTGTCTACCTGTGACCAACTGTGTGTTTGTGATCTCGCCTGAGGTGGGGAATGTTGCACGGCATGGAGCCAAACTTCCAGTGACCTCCTTCACAATCACGTTGAACAACATTGTTGCCCGAGTCGGCAGTGACATATGGCGTCCAGGCCTGTCTTGTGTCACATAAAGCTGCCATCGGTTGCTGCAGAAGATGCTCTGATAATTAACAGGTGGTGCCTGGAAAGAGGTGGAGAGACCACACACACACATATTTCATTTAAAGTGCTGCCTCACCAAACCCGATTTACAGTTACCCAACCCAGGAGAAATATCCGTTGAATAAACGCCGTTGTTGTCGTTTGATAACAAGTTCATGCGCGTGTACAGTCATATCCCAGTTTGTGTGTCGAGCTGGTTTTGGCGAGTTTCCTGCTATGATTACAAGGAACATTTGGTTATCATCTGCGGATAACCAAACCTGTCTGCTCGTCTTAATTCTAAGATATCTCAACCAATCTGTTTTGATACACAAGTCTGATTTGTTAAGAAGGGAAGTGCCGCAACCACCATTCTGCTGGATCACCACTCTAACGGAGGATTAGAGTAGAAATGCAGTTTAACGTCACATTAAAGACACTAGACTTAATTCAGGAGTGTTAAGACGGCATTGTTCTGAGACTAAGTATCATTCTTTTAAATTATTATTGGCAGTAATGACGATTATTTTCTCCATCAATGCGGCAACTTTTAGGTCAAGACAACGCTTTAACGTCTGCGCTGATGAAGTTTTTAAGACCCTGGATAAAGCACTTTGATTTTTTTACTCTAAGCATAACAACAGTCTAAAACTTAACCTGTTCTTAATATCGAAAGGCCCGATTTATTAAGATCTTCTTGACAAATTGCACGTTTGTGACTCAGTGTTAAGATCTGTGTTGGTGTGTGGTGGTATTTAAATTAGGGTTTCAACTCGTTTATGCTGTGGAGAGTTTGGACAGGAAGCAGACTAACAGCAGCTGCCAGATCAGATCCAGACCAATCAGAGCTATTAGTTAAGGACACTTAAGCGTGACCTGAAAGATATCTGAATCTTACTTAAAGGAACGTAACATGAGAGATTACAAGTGAGGAGGTAAAACTGGCACCTCTGCAGAATCACAACATCGTGCACAAACTAAAAACAGTCCACCACAGCTCTCGAGGATGGATTATTATCTATTGTGCAGGAGGTGTAGCCTATGACCTTTTGTGGCACAAGTGTACTCAGGCCACTGTCACGCGCACCAGAAAGCTGGTCAGCCCTGTATCTGCTCTGAAAATGGTCATAAATACTCAGCAAGAGGATGTAAAAGAAGCGCCGAGGTCTCCTCATCCAGAAGGAGTTCTGCTCTTTTTCATTGAAATAATGTTTTGTCCTCGTCGCTGATACCGGAGCAGGATTAGTTAGATAAGAGCATAATGGCTGTGAACAGGATTTAATGTCTCACTGCTCTCTGCTTCAACAAAAGAGTTGAACCAGGTTCATGTTTACGTCATTCAAACGTTTTTATGGCGACTCGATTTATACTGGAGCTCTGCAGTTAGCATAATCATATAAGAGGGTTTTCTGAAAACACTTAGATTTATTTGTTTGAACCAGACCAATATATTACTCTACAGTAAGCTGATTTAGAACTATTAGAGATGGATCAATATTAGTGAATTTATGTATTCAGAAATGTGCTGATATAGGGTCTTTCTTTACAGATTTAAGATTCAAAAAACAGTGTTAATACTGTAGGAACTGCCTTCAAACATATAGCAAAGCTTTAAAGCAGAGCAGCCTGGGACAACTGGTAGACAGTGAGGTCAATTGCATGAGAAAGCCTTTGCATAAATAAGCATCTGTGCGAAACCTGCTCCAAATTCACAGTAAAAAAAAAAAAAAGGTTTGTATTCATGCCAGATTAAAATCTCAGTATATGTATCACCTAATTGGTATCGGAGGGATTTTGTTCCTCTAAAATGGTCTGAAAAATTGTGGAAATGCAAAACCTCGAACCCTGATCATTACTTGTTTGCATGTGAACCCACTCAGGAGCCTCTATGCTTACTTCAGCTGTTCCTTTAATCACCTGTAATTATTGATTATCAGCTGGACCGTGCTGGTGTCGGTGTGTTTGGTTATGTTGCTGCCTAGCTGGTGCAGCATTGTAACACTCTGAGAATAAGCAGACCGCCGAGCCTGTTTCTGGCTGGTGTACCAATACAGATTAGAATGACAGGAGGACTCGTGTTTGGTGAGCCCCACCCTTCTTTATCGACTCTCTCCCCAGCAGTCTGAAAGGAAGCATCTGCCTGCCCCTCTGCCTCCCCGCCGCACATGCTCTCTCCCTCTCTCCACAGCCCACACTGCCAGCGCTGCGGCGGCGGCTGCTAGCTATCCAACTCGAGCTGATGTCAGAGCCTCTAATCTCTCTCGCATAAAGGCCATGCAAAGGGAATTTATGTTAGTCTGCCACAGGAAGAAAAGGCGAAGCGGAGAATCGTTTGAGCAGGTTGACAGATAAGGCTCTTGTGCTTTCTGTGTGGTGCTTTTTAAGCCATGTTAAGCTGCTTAATTAGACATAATCTACAGACCCCAGACTGAGGCGGAACTAATGAAGTTAAAAGACTCAAATCCCATCCTACCATCACACTCTCCTCCACTCCACACCATCACTTGTGCCTCCCCGTCTGAGATCACCATGCTCTCCTCTCTCTTGCCTGCTGTCACACACTCTCCTCCTCGCGGCACACGCTGCCCCCTCATCCGCTTTCACATCCTACTCTTTTCTTCATAACACCATCATATGCAGACCCTCTAATCTGTCCCCATGGTTACCCTCAAACCCTGAAGAAAGGTACATTTTCATCCGCTAATGCGTTCGACAATCGTAATAAAAAAATAAATGTATGATGGAGGAGGGTCAAAAGTTCACCAGAAAGTTGAAGAGAAGTGTGATACAGACATCGCTCAAACTTGGACTCATGAGGATTTCTAACATTTTAGTAAAACTATCTGTAATTTTGGTGCTGATGAGTTTTAAGGGCATCTGCAAGTGTTCAGAAACTGAACTATTGCAGATGAACTCATTGAGGTAAGATAAGAAGTAATTTATTGATCCCCAAAGGGAAATTCAATAGTCGCCAACTTCTTCTCTTGCAAGGGTCAGATGACGAAGAGTGCTTCTACCCTCAGTCATCAGCCCATCTGCTTAGTTTAACACCAATTTAACACAGACTTAATCAGCCAAGATTGAAAATATCCACCTGCTTCGATACTTACCAGGTCTGATTTACTAAAACTGTTTAAAAAAGATTTTCTTTTTTGGCCGAGAACAGTATCTTTCAAGAGTCCCTGCTGCTAACCTGGCAGTCTCACAATGAAGACAAGTTTATAAAAAGGCACTCTACCAAGCCAGGAAATAATCCTGAAAACAAAAGCACATTAAAACACTTATTTTTGCCCGTTTGGCAATAAAAGGAAAAGCCCAATTGTTGGCTCTGCTCAAAACTCTGCACTGAGTTGACTGATTTTCTCAGTTAGATTCTTCACAGCTCAGGATCCCCGTCACAAACATAAAATAGTCAGACTCTGAAAAGTTATAATGAATTCAGTTGAAGTTTAATGCTTCACAATTGTGAATTTGGTACCAGTAACAAAAAAGACATGTTTGTGTCAGTTTGTGATAAAACTGGACATTTCTTGCCCTGTCTGTGCTTGTTATCCAGTCCGAGCTTGTGAGAGATGAAATCCTGCACATCTAAGCTCACAGCTCTGTGATAAAGTTCCTCAAGAGCACGACACATAAAACAAAAACAACATAATGAGGGCTTTCTGAGGTCAGGCGCTAACAGCCGCTGCTCTGATCAAAATTCAAAAGGTTGAGGCAGACTGAGAACCCGGGGGAAGTGGTGTGTTATAACATGTAACTTGGCAGAGTCTGCTGTGTTTTAACACATTTCCATCTTTGCAGCCACTCTGCTTCCACACTTTTTCCTCCGCTCCGTTCTTAAACCTTCTCTCTTCCTCGTGGATTAGGAAAAATGTGTTTCTCATGTCGGCACCGCACTTAAACTTCCCTAATCCCAACCACGGAGCGAATCTGTGCCCTGGCTAAGCATGCATACTTTATCTGCAGGTGGATGAGTTATCCCAACTTTATATTTTTTCTTCACTGGATAACAATACTCTTTGTTCATGCACCAGCTTTTGATGTGCCCCCCTGTTGTTGTTTTGGCATGTTTACATATCTCTTCTATCTCTTGCATCTTTCAGGACCAACTTCTTTGTCTTGTTGCGAGTTTTCCCCGAAGCTGAGCAGCAGTTATTTTTCTTCAATAGAGGAGCGCCTGGCACGCTAGCAAGCAAACGCTCATCCTCTGTCCAGGAGGAGATTGCAGCTGACCATTGTTAGGTTTCATCATGCACATGAATGCACCGCCTCACTGGTGATGGCCTGTCAGAGGATCTTTTCACCCCATTATCTCTCTGTTTCTCCTTTATGCCCTCCTCTAAGCACCTCCTTCCTGACTCATCTGCACCTGAAGTTTTTACGGACTTCTCAGCCCGATCTTTTCAGCTGCTTTCTATCGCACATTTGCATTTATTCAGATAAAGAAAATATAGAAACAGACGAATTCTTTGCAATCAAAACTTAATAGACTCTAAATCTTTGCCTGTTTATCCTCTTCAGCATCTTCTCTTTTTTCCCTCTGCTCCTCCGTTTATGGGGAACCTCCTCCTCCTTCCCTCCAGTGCTGCCTGGTATCATGGTGCTGTTGAGTGGATCTGAGGGTTGCTGAATTCTGGTCTTGCTTGATTAGCCAGTGTGTGATGCTGCAGGCAGCTTTGTTTTGTTGCTGAATGGGCTGTTCCACTGAGAGCACACAGGAGCCGACAAGGAGCAGAGGAGGAAGGAGGCGCCGGAGAGGAGAGGAGAAGAAGGGTGGAGTGGAAAAGGAAAAAGCTGGAGAGTGCAAGAAAAAAAAAAAAAAAAGGAGCAAAGGGGGGAAGGAAAAAAAGGAGAGGTGTGCCGAGTAGATAAGTGAAAGGAGAGAAAAGGCTGGAGCAGAAGGGGAGAGCGAAAACGAGGAGACGGTGGTGCAGAGGAGAAAAGAAAAAAGAAATGACCTCTCCTACGGTGGAGAGGGAAGATAACTGCGAGTGTTTAGAAATGCTGAGGTGGACAGAAGCCATATCTTCCCCCAGCACAGCACCTGCTCGTCTGCCTGCCCCCCTCTATTCATTGACCGACTCTCTGTTGTGGCTATTGGTGCACTTATGTGTGTCTTGTCTGCCTTTGAAGGTGTGGGTGCCTTCACATTATTATGCATACAGTAGTTAGTATAGCATTTTTGCAGCCCATTAGATAGCAGCCTGAGATTTTCCTCTGGAAACATGTTAATACTCAAACACGACAAATCCCCAAATCCCTGCACTGCACCACTTTAATACATGCATGCTTTAATAGCTTGTTCCTGTACAATTTGGAAGGAGACCTCAGTGGTAGTTTTTTTCTCTATGTCTGCACACACTGTGACATAGTCGAATCCTGCATACCTATAAGAGCTGTAGGCCAATCCTGCTGTGGGTTAGCTTCAATGTTAGAGGAGAGACATGGAGTGAAAAAGCTAAAAGATATTTAATTGTGATTAAACTGATGGGTGTTATGGCAGTTTTTTTGTAGATACACGCTTTTTCCAGCGCTTTTTAGCCCGTGTTTGTGGTCTGTATAATATTAATCCAGGGTCATGCGTTACAAATCATCCGTCACATTGCAAAATCTCAGTCAGGCAACCTTGGCAGAAATTGCAACAAAACAAACGGGTGTTGATTTATTGAAACGAATCTACTTCAGAGAAAGAAATGACCTCAGCTCCTTTTGGAGATACCAGCGTTAAAGTCAAGACAACAAGCTGCAGCTTTCAGGGTGTAGGTTTCACAGACTTTAACTGTAATATCTGTAAGCTATTAGCCATAGCAGGGTCATTTTATCAACTGACCCAGGAAAACTTATCCTGAACATTTGACTAACACATAGCACATAGCTGAGAATGTAAAACTCCATGGCAACAGATTCTTATGAGCCTCCTTACAGCAGGAATCAACATTAAACCGAATGTTTCAATTCACAGTCGTGCTGTAAATGACATTAAACTCAACGTTTCTGTCAAAGGTACGTTAGACAAGATGAATTGACATCCGACAACTGAAGTTTATGGTTAAAGGTTTTTTGTAGCTTGAGTAATTTAGAGGTGCAACCACCAGCTTTACTACTGTTGCCTGGATTGCAGGACAGGATCATGCCAGAAGTCGTAGCTTGGAATGACGTTACACCCAAGTTGACGGCGTTCCAGTTAACAAGTCGGAAAACCTACAGTTACCCGTTGTTAGCTGCTGTTTACAATTATGAGCTGTTGTTAGCCGTTGTCAGTGGTTCTTAGTTGTTGTTCGTGATACCAGTTGTAAACTGTATTTTACTCTTACAAACACCATAGCACCATGTTGACAGTTAGACGTTGGGCAATACAACATAAACCACTTATTTAATTTCACAAAAACAAAATGGAAGTGCTAATAAAAAATACATTATGAGAGCTTTCACTGTTACTCTTTACTGTTGATGCACTACGCTGCCATCTTGAATTATGACATGTGAAGTCGGGGTGTGTGAGGATCGGTCGACCCTTTGAGTTGGAAATCCAACTTCAGGTGGCATTCCAGATGAATTTCCGACTCGGAGCTTGGAAATTCTGACTTCCAAGTACAACTTACTATCACCTATATGAGATTGCTGGGGCTCAGTAGCTTTTGCCATTGAAATTCATCATCTTTGTTACGGAGCCTTGACCAATAAGAATCAACTTCCAAACACAGCCAGGTAGTAAGTAGTTGCAGGGAACAGCTTAGTGGCCAATCTAAGCTGTATATTCACACAGAAGCCTGTTTAATGGCTCTGAATTATGGTTAGATATAATGTTTCATTTCTGCAGAGGAGGACTTGCTAATCAATAAGCTTTTATGACTGACAAACTGCCCGCATAGTTTTCTTTTTCTTTATACAAAAATTATATAGTGAGGTGTCTGCTACCACAAAATGAGGCTTGACCAAAAGCGGCCATCAGCGCTATCATACTTGTTTTTTTCACCAGCTCACACAATCAGCGCTAATTAGCCCCAGCTGGGTCTCAGTCACCGGCGATATGAGCGGCTCAACTATACACTTGCAAGAATTTGTGAATACACTGTAATTATGTAAGTTATAATTAAAATTGTATCTCTTGGTATTAATACACTCTTTAATTTGGACTGTGGATACCAGATCAACTTATAATGCAGCCCTGACATATTGTCCTTACATGCCCCTTCATAAAAGGTGACAACCAGAGGGTTAGCTTCTTTGACATGTTCGACTACAGATACTTCTTCACCACCAGGATTCTTCTACTTTTGTTTTATACACAAATCCTCTCCCAAAGGAGGAACATCCCATCCTCTGTCTGCTGCCCTCCTCCTGACGGCGAGACGTTATGTTTATCCAGGCGTGGACAGATGGTGGATGATGAGAAAGCCTCGAAAATGTGGGTTATTTATTCATTTCAGAACCAGAAAGACTACTTTCGGTGTTGCCACAGCCTTTCTTTCTAAAATGTTTCCATGTGAGTGTATGTGCGCGATTCTGTGCCGACGTGTAAATTTGTGAAAGCAGCCTGCGTTGTTGATGGAATAAAGCCCACTGTGAGTGTTGACAGTATTGGCTTGTTAGTGCTGATGGGCTGGATGAAGGCTGAGTGCTGTGGGCTCCAATGGGAAGGCAGACCTGCACTCCTTCTCCTTCTTCTTCTTCAGCCTGTGTTTGAATTCTGAAAATCTCTTGATGAATTCAAGGTTGTACACTAAAATGAAAATATGACAACGATAAGCTCTCTTGAGCTCCTTCTTTACAATCCCTGAGCCTCACTTCCTCTTTCACTGCCTTAAACTTACTCTCTCCCTCTCTCTGATTCCTCTTTCCAATAGGCGATTCCTCTTTTCTACCTCCTCTCATTGCTTCCCCCTTTTTTTTCGTATCCCTGTATGTTTCCACTCCTCCCTTTAACAAATGCTCTGTTTGATAGACGACTGGGAGAACACACAGTTGCACGCATTCATTCACACACAAGCGAAAGGCTGAAATAAAGAAGCCCCTTATCTCCCCTACCAGAGACACTTGGTTCATGTGCTTGCATGCAGATGAATAATATATGTGGATACGAGTGCACACACACGCACACACACACACACACACACACACACACACACACACACACACACACACACTCACACACACAGACTCACACACAGAGTCAAGAAATGGGATGGTGTTGGTGATGCTGACATGGGCCGTTGTATGGTGTGTGTTTGTGCTCTTTGTAACACATCTGCATGTGTGTGTGTGTGAGTGTGTTGGCAGTCACTGTGTTGGGGTGCAGAGTCTCAGGGGCCTGAGGAAGAATGGGGGTGTTGTCACTAGTCAGGTCCAGCTGCCTTTGTGTGTCTTTACGCTGCGTGTTCGCCTATTATACCGCAAGAGCTGCGTGTTCAGTGTTGCAGCTCAGAGCGAACGTGGGTGGTTTTTGTGTTAACGTGGCGTGAATGAAACAATTCTTAATGGTGTTAAGATGTTTATGTGATGGAATACGTGTGAGAAAGGTTCCAACACAGGGGGACATTTTAGCACGGATTATAAATAGATGCGTTCTCTTCATTTGCATTGATAATTATGCGAGCACTTGCGCGCGCGTCTTTGGCTCACAGTAAGTTAGAGAACGTCTCCTTTGCCAGCGTGTAGATCTGTCAGCATGTGAGCGGTGGGCTCTGAGAAAATGCTGTCAAAGCACAAACGGAATAATTTGCCTCCAGACACATTCATGATACAGTGACGTGTGTGCATAAATTTCCCTTGCAGTGGACTGGCTGTGTGGTTTTCACATAGTGTGTGATATCACATTAACTCACACTTAAGTGTTGGAGGTCTTTTGTTTCCACTACACATTGATATTAGCCCCACTGGGACCTCTTTCAGGAGACGAGGAGAGTATGCACACTTCACACACACAGACTGTATTACACACACTTGTACGTGGAGACTTGTAGAGAAATTTATATCCTCCTCTGATGAATCAGGGTGTGATTTGTGCTCAGTGAACGTGGAGCAGGAAGTCTTTGGATGTGAGAAGTTGATGTTGAACCCTTTGGGACTATTCTGGGCCCATTTTGACTACAGGGGAGGGGCAGGTGTAATAATTTTTGATAACCCTAAACATATACTGCAACAAATTTTAGAGAATTGACTACAATAGTTAGGAGGGGTTATAAACTCACTGTGCGTCCTTGGCTGTGTGTTCTTTTTATTCATAAGGCCTGCATAATGGACGTACAATCAATTTTATCTCTAATGTGGAGTCTGAAAACGGCACAAACTGCCTCCTTAAACCCTCCAAGCTTTTGTTTGATGGTCATTTTAACGTCCGGCTATCCATCTCAAAAAGCCTTTTGGTTAAGTCTGACAGATTGATGGAGAAATTCTGCTGATGAGAGTATTGGTGTCTTATGTTGCTCTCTGAATCTGAGGAAATGAAAAGAGTCTGTGACACTGCAGGCAATTTTTGTGTACCTCCAAACTGTGCATCAGCAATGTGTTCTGATTTCTGGAAGACAAGGTCGGAGTGTAATGCTCGAGTGAAATGCTAGGTAAATTCAGTTTTTTTTGAGAGGTCTATCAAAGTAGATTCATTCCCTACAGAGATTCATCAGCAAAAAAACAGTTTAGGTTGACCAAGACATTTTTACTCTATGCTGAGTCCTAAAGCCGAAAACATACAAGATCTATATTAAGCGAGTTCTGTATTTGCTCTGTAGACCAGCGAAGGGAATCACATACAGGATGCGTATTTGGAGCGTGGCAGCAGTGTAGTGCAGCCCCGGTCAGCTGGGCTCAGTATAGAGGAGACAACATGCTCACAACAGATTGTTTTTCCTTTCTGTGGTCGATTTGATGCTAATTTGGATATAATTCAGTGACCGTTGAGCCTCTACTATATGTGAAATAGCAACGTGATTTTACAGTTTTGGTTTTTGCAGGTTAACTTATGTTCCTTTATGCTGTGCTGTTACCTTCAGAGAGAGTTAGCAGTTAAAAGTCCTGTTGGGGTCCACAGGGATCAGGGATTGACCATCGGATTGTTTTGTGTTTCTGATAAATCCATAACCAGGAAGTATTTCTCATCGACAGGAACTGATACACAGTCGGGTGTTCGCATATGGTGCTTTATTTCGAAATACTGGATGACATGCACGTTTTTCATGCTTCGTGTTTAGAACGATCTTCTCTGTGTAGATTGATGCGTATTGGAAGCGTAGATCAGAAAAAATAGACTCAGCGCATATCTTTAACAGTGCCATGTTCAATATGCCTATGATACAGAGCTGCGACGGGGCTGAAACGCGTCCTGTATGCAGTACTTAATTAATTAAAATGACAACCTATTTGCTGCGTGATACGCGATGCTGTCGTTACGCGCTCAATACGGATCCTGTATGTTTTTAGCAGGAGAAAAAATGTCTAAATGAGTTAAACTAACAGCGTAGCAACATCCAGAACCACTAATGTGACAAATTGCTCAGTATAAATATGCACACATTCCATCTAATACCCAACAATGCTACGTGATAGGAGATTGTTATTGCACACCATCAGCCTCAGGAAACATTGTTCAACATTTTAATTGAGTAAGGCACAAATGGGTTTTTAAAACAGATGAGTTTACATTGGGGTACTCCATATTGTCTGCCAGGGGGCTTTGGGTTTGAGCTTCGTGCTGAGATTGGAGATTATGAGATGGGATAGACAATATTCTCCGCGCTGAGGGCAGTGCGCTCACATATTGACTGAGGGGGAAAGGAGAGATAACTTTCGCTCACACAAAATACTGAGTTCATAAAGTGAACAGCATCCTTTCAGTGTCCTAGAATGATGGTATCATCGAACCTTGTGCTGAGTCATTGTCATATTGTTGGTTTTAATTAAGACTCGGTGAATAATCCACATCTTCTTCATGACACATAAAGAAACAGGCTGCTTATTGCTTTACCCTGCTAAATCTACTCGCTGTTGATATGCGAGGAAGATGGCGGGAGACACAAATCAAGCTTAACTTCCTTATTCCGATGTTTATTTAGCGAATCATTTAGGGACACATGCAATTATCACAAAAATTACAGTAAGAAGGCTCCGTTTGAGTTGTAGACACAGACATACTCTCACCTCCCGGTGCTTCTCCTGGGATCTTAATGGGAATCTGACTGGAGGTAAACACGTCATTGTGTAGAGCCGCCCGGCAAACAGACAGCCTGACAGAGCGTTTAATGGGAAGATGAAGGGATAGGGTTCAAAAGGCAGCAAAGAAATAGTAGTCGACTTATTCAAATAGCGCAATATTTACCAGTCTGGACTGTCAGATTGTGTTTAAATCGGCCTCTCTGTGTCATTTATCTCCAAATCCTTCTTATTTAATTCCGCTCCTTCATTATCACGCTGCCCTGATGGTGCCAAGAGTTTGATTTAGCATCCACCGTGGGTTGTTGCGACTGAGGCAAGAGGCTCACTTGAAAACCTAAACATCAGAGTGGATTGTGGGACAGGAGCCAGGAGCAGTCTGCTGCTACTGCCCTCCACCACAGCTGTCGTTGCATGCTGGGAACCCATATGTAGGTGTTTGACATCATTGAAAAGTTAGACAATAATTCCCGACTGCTGTCATAAAAGCTTTATAAATACATTAATATTTGTCAGAGAGTTGTGAATACCTTAAGTGACCAGTTGAAGTGTGTGACTCAGCTCGCCTTGTTCCCTCTCTTTCTCTCCGGAGGGCCTTTGAAAGCTTTCTCTTCCTCTCTCCCCCTTTTACTCAGCCGCGGTAGCAACCCTCCAGAGTGCAATAGGAACAAGGCTTTATCTGGCATAATTCGTTTATTCCTTTCTTTCTGACCCCCCCCCCCCCCCTCCCTGCTAGATCTTATCATGTTTAGATGTTTGGTTTTTCCACCCCCAGCTGAGTAGGCAGGCTTTATGAATGAGCCCCCTCAAGGTCACTTGGTCACTGTGCCTGTCAAGGCTTTGCGAATGCAGCTCACGCGTACTTCCTTTATCTCTTGATACCAAGAAAAAAACCTTTAACTTGTTGACTGGCTCACACCTCCCTTCCTCTTCTCTCCCTCTTTCTCTCTCTCTCTCTCTCTCTCTCTCTCTCTCTCTACTCAAATCCCCATGGAGACCGGAGTGAAAGGAAAAAGGAGCAAAAGTGAGCTGAAGAGATCGTAAGAGAAAGAGCGATAAAGACAAAAGAGGAAACCTTAAGTCCTCTGATGTGAGTTGAGTGGACGCTCTGAGTGGCGAGCAAAATAATCCCTCTTTACCTTCACATGACAGTGTCTGTAATGATCTTAGGCTGCGCTTATCAATAGACAGCCTCACATCTGCAGGAGGGGGACAGGTGTGTGTGTCTGTGTACACACAGCCCCCTCCTTTGTCTCAGATCAAGGATTAGAAAGGCTTAAAGATGGTACGCCTTGCTGGGTGTGAGCACTTGTGTGTCTTTGGGGGGTTGGAGTTATCCGAGGTGACGTCAGCACTTAAAGAGACGGCTGTGATATCTGAAAGTCTTTTCAGATGCAGAAGTTGGAGTCACATTAGACCAGTTTGGGGAGTCATTGAAAGTAAAAACACATTGTTTGGGTTGTTTGAGGGGAGAGGAAGGGAATAGCGGAAAGCAGTCTTGGCATCATTGGTGAGAGGAATTTAATGGCGTAAGTGTGTGTTTGTGTCTGTGTATGTGTGTGTGTGTGTGTTTATGGGTGGTAGACGGGGGGGGGGTTAACATTTGGATATGAGCCAAGAGAGCCGCTTTAAAATCCAACCTGGCGTGTTTCCTGGAGCAGAGAACGGTCTGACTCTCGCCCCTTGCCTTTTCCTGAGACATTTTCTTCCTCCGGGCCTGTAGAGGGAACAGGTCAGACACAGCAGAGAAACTAGTTGTAGAAGAATTAATAAAACAGCACTCATGAAACTTTCGAAAATGAGGAGGAGGATGAGGCCAGCAAAGGTCAAGATCGGCTGTTTTTTTTTCTTTTCCTATGGCTGAATCTCTGTTTGTGGTCAGCTTTTGTATGTATCACACATTCAGTGTTGGAGGTAGAACTTAAGACTTTATTAGTCTGGAGCATCTGAGACTCAGTCTGCTTAACAACCAGATCCAAACTTCCAGTGTAGAAAACAGTTTTGACCTGTTGTGGAAAGTTTTATGGAAGGAGACAGAAGATCTTACCTTTACCCTTTATAATTAATTAATTTAAATTGTAAACAGTAGGGGTGTCCCAGTACGATGTTGATATAGGATATTGGTCCGATATCAGCAAAAAATCTAATATCGGATTATATCGGCCTGCATCTAAAATCTCTGATATTAGCACTCCGATACAAGCAGTCCATTCCAGACTCCGCTCCGGCACCTCTATCTAGCAGCGCCAGGATCTAGCATGCAGAGCCCATGTAATTACAACAACAGTGTGTACTAAAGTACTAACAAAGTAGCAAGGAGTGGGAGTGATATCGGCCGTGTAGCAGAATTTTTGTTTGTGCTAATGTCAGTATCGGCACATACTGAAGGCTACAATGTTGGTATTGTATCAGAAGTAAAAAAAAAAAGTTATATCGGGACACCCTCAGTAAAAATATTTGTTTATAGTTTAAATTACTCCTCATACATGTATTTCAAAGGTAGTAAACATGCAGGACTGTATGATTGTGCTGAATTAAAATCTGTAGCAGCAGCATAAATCCACCCGATTGTGTATCACTGTAAAAACAGATGTAAAGGCAAAAGTGTTGAAGCACTTTACAGACTTAACTTGTTTGTAGCTGAATAACAAATGAGACATCAAGTAAGGTTGGCATTAAAGGTTGTACATAAAAAAGGCCGCAGATACAATATGTACCCTGTGCAGTGTTTATCTCACTGTGTCAAAGCCGACTCTCCCACTGAAAGGGAACATTCCTCAGACCGAGATGCAGACAGGACCAGCTGAGCAGCAGACTCCACTAAGTGAACCCCGGCAGGCAGGCAGGCAGGCAGCGCCCGGCCTTGAGCTCTGTTACTTCTGCAGCTGCAGGCGCATCAGCAAACTTTCTGAGCTGTAATGGCTCCTCCAGTGTGTGTCTGGAGGCTGATTTAAAATGGATGACAAAGCAATAACCCCTCTAACCTCTGGACGAGCTGCCCCAGAGCCTGTCAGCTTCCTCCACTCAGGCCGCACAAAAAGCTCCGGGGTGACACTCCCACATGTGCACACACACACAATCTGCTTTAAAAGGTGAAATTCTTACATATGCATCGCCGTTCCTGTTGACAAGCTAACAGGAGATGTGCTTAATTCAAGCCTACTCACCACTCTCCTGTGTCTCTCATTCTTCTCTTCACCTGAATACGCTTCATTTCTCATCATAGGGGAGACAAAGCAGAGGCTATTACAGATAGGGGTTATGAAAACACGCTTTATTTGTTTGGTTTATTATTGCCCCTGCACAAATTGCACTTTGGTGGAACTCGCAGGAGGGCAGAAAGAGAGACGGCGGCTCTTGGAAAAGCAATAGAGGGTGAGGGGGGGAAAGAGGGAGGAGGAACATTATGGGGTGAAAAAAGCCTCTGTAGCCATCTGCTTTTGTGCCAACAGTTGGTTACTGTAGCAACCAGTAAAAAGTCATTATCTTTAATTTACACTGTGGCAGGTTCAGGTGTTTTCAATTGTATCATTAGCTTTTTTTTCCCTCTCTGCAGTGAGTCACCCATCTTTGGCAGCGCTCCTCCACTTCATTCTAGGCGTCTTTTTTCCGTCCCGTGTCACCCCGTGCACTTTCCTTGTAGTTACCTCAGTGTGTTACTAAGGTGTGTGTATGTGTGTGTCAACAGTTGGCTCCTTTTGTAAGGTTATTCAGCTCCTAGGGCGGCTTAATGCAACTGTGCTTTTAGATAGTGAGGAGTATTGATGGATGACACGAGGAGAGATGGAGCAAAAAAGACAATTTAAAGAGGAAAATGACAGGCACATAAAAATTGAATGGCAGCGGAGACCACACTAGAGGAGGAGGAGGAGGATGGTGAAGAAGAAGTAGAGAGAGTGGTTGTCTATCCCTTTTAACGGGGGCTTATTTCTTTCATGTTAAGGCTTGTCAGGGCGGCAGCATGAAGTGCAGATGAGCGCTCGTAAAGTAGTCCTGTCTGTGTAACATTAGCCCAACCACAAGTGCTAAGCACTTACCAGAAGCTGCTTGTATTAACCTCCTCCTCCTCTCCACCCCCAAGCCTCACTTTCCCTTTTTTCTTCTTCTTACCTCACTTAGCTGGAAACTCCTCTTGTCCTCTCATAATATTTTTCATTGCCTCATTTGTGATTTCAGACACCGGCCTCCCCCTCAGTATACATCCACATCCAACAAACTTTGGCTCTTTGTCTCTGCGGCTCATTTCATTTCTCCTTTATGGCGTGGGACACCCAAGTGTTGAGGAGGTTACATTTACAGGCAGAAAAATACATTCCTTTTTCTTCAAGCCATTCAGACTAAAATACACAGTTTTGTTCCAGTGTCTTTAAACAAAACAAGCCTTCAAAAACAATTTGTAATTTCTGAATCCATTAAAGTATAACAAGCTGTTTCTTTTTTGCCGTCATTGCCCCAGTCGATCAACTCCAGGGTAAAAAAAAGGTCCAATTTAATGAAAAAATAATCACACAAACAAAGCCGGTATTGGGATGCTGTGTGTGTACACCTGTTGTTGAATCTGTGTTGTGCCTCAAACTAGTGGAGAGGCTGTCAGAGGCAGTTGGCAGAGCAGTGTCCAGGCGTAGTTTTTATTACTGCTGGCTGCTTTATTAGCTGTCAAGGAAGCAGGGAAGGAGTGAGAGGATTGACTGGAGATGTGAGCAGAAGTGACACCTATTGACTAGTTTGTCTTGTTGTGATACCGGCATGCTGCGATGATGCTATAACCGGGCTACTGCCTCAACTAGCCCATTAGCAACTCCACTGATGAGAACATGGCCAGAACAGACCCCGTGCTGCGCGGCATCCACGTCCCTGCAGTGACGTACTGTAGCTGTAGCTGGTGGCGCAAGATTTTTTTAAAGAGCGCACCTAAAGGCGTTCACTAAAAATTGGTTTATATTATCTCCCATTCCCCTCCTGGCCCGTCCTTGTTCCTTCATTTTCAGACTTAATTGGTCTCAGGATTCAGCGGCGAACATCTTTCGAGGCTAGAAAAGGTTGTTTTTGAAGAAAAGAGCAGGCCACTTAGAGGGCATGTTCCTGTGTGAGAAGCAAATGTGCTGTATCTATGTTGCAGCATATGGTGGAGGTGTTGGCTGGTTGCTTATAGTGTGTGTGTGTGATGACCATCTGTCACCTGGTAACAGTTAGTCTGATCTCTGGTTGATGTAAGATTCCCCTGTAGGGATCATAACACCTCATTATATGCAAAGCCTGCAGGCTCCTAGTCCAGATGGGAAAGCTTAAGCAGCATTATCGGAAAAATCCGAGCACTGATCAGAAGGTGAATTATTGTGTTGCTTCAAATTTAGAATAATAAATATTTTAATGTAGCTTACTGCGGCTCTTACTTCCGAAATCCCGTGTAGGGGTGTGATAAATCTGCGTGGATAAGTCTCAACAGGTGCTATTTGACGTTATTTATGCTGAGTCGTGGAATCATTCCCCAATATATCGGCTAAAACAGTAAAAGCTGTCTTTCTGCAACCGAGTAATTTATCACCATCAAGACTTCCCTGTGAGTTTAGTCTGTCTGCCACAGTCTCTAAAGCAGCAGAGAGGAAGTGATGAAAATTTAAACTCTGGCGGTTTCTCTCTCCAAGTATGTTCACAGCTTTCCCAACTAGGCCGCCATCTGGGAAACACTCCCAGCAAATCTATTACACACCCACTCCAGCTCTAAGGATGAGGGCCGCGCTGAAAATAGGTTAATAATGACAATTAAATAGAAGGTAGTGTCAGCTGTCGATCCATCGCTCGCAAATCACAGTGTTTTATGCAGACAGCTTTTCCAGCCTGGAGGTAGATTGTGGCTTTGAATAAGTGAGTCATAGAGTCGAGTTATTGTAAATCCAAAATCCTGTTATTTGTCTCGCAAGAACTGCAGCGATTTTCAACTCGAAGCCCTTATGCAGAGGTCAAAAGGCTGTTTTGTTTACAAGAGTTTTTCATCGAGTAGAGAAGTTCTGTTCAGATGTTCAAGTGAATTTCTCCTTCAGCGGGACAAGACCGCAACTCTCACTCTGCTTTATGGGCTTTTTTTATTGAGGAAATCGGTTATGCACAGTAAAAATTTATTTGTAAACAGAGAGGATGTGCTGGAAGCAATTTTCATTTACTCTAATGCAGAAAGCTGGGACCAGTACATTTATGGAAGACATGCAAAGATATTTTTATTTTGTTGGGAAGCTGTTAAAGGTATGAAAACATTCCTTAATCGATAGGGGTGTCCCGATACAATATTGAGATTGGATATCGGTCCGATATCAGCTAAAAAATGAATATCTGATTACAATTATAATTTATTTTATATTTATTTATTTTTTATAATTTATCGGTCTGCATCTAAAATTTCAGATATCAGAACTCTAATACAAGCGGTCCATTCCAGACTCTGCTCTGGCACCTCTATCTAGCAGCACCCAGATCCAGCATGCAGAGCCAAAGTAATCACAACAACAGTGTGTACTAAGGGACAAACAAAGTAGTAATGAGTAGGAGCGATGTCGGCCTTGTGGCAGTATTTTTGTGTGAGTCTGAAAAAGACATTGAAACTGAGTGCTAAACTTGTCATGCACAATTTTGTGCCAATATCGCATCAATATCGGTATCGGGATATATTGAAGGCTACAATATCAATATCGGTCAATATTGAAGGGTACAATATCGGTATCGGTCAATATTAAAGGGTACAATATCGGTATCATATCGGAGGTAAAAAAGTTGTATCGGGACACCCCTATTTAATGATATCAACCACCTGACACATCATTAATGACGGTCACATCAGAAACTTAATATCCGGGTTTTATAACTCCTTCAAATTCCTCTTTTCTAAAAATCTGCTGAATTTTTTCCCCTATATAAACAAAAAACTGGCATTTGTGTGTGATTTGTTTGTCAAATATGCATTTAATATGCCTGTGTTGTCTTTGTAGTTGTCTATATTGGTCTGTGTTGCCAGTGTTTGTTTGTTCTGCAGCGCTGAGTTTGGCATGGAGGACAGGACAGCTGTATTGGATGTCTGAATGTGTGTATACAGTTGTGCTGATCCCTGCAAGCCTTCTAGCAGGGGAGCAGGGATCAGTTGTATGCTAATATCACCGGCAGACAGTCTGCTAGTCTGACAGGGGCTGGGCCGTGAGGTGAGGCACTACCGCAGGAGAGGGCAGAACTGAGAGGGAGAGCAGATAATATAGGGACAGGAAATATAGTGAGAGTTAGACGAGGGCAGGAGGGATTGGAAGAAATGAGGAGTAAGGCTGTTCATGCCTGGCAGAGGGAATTAAGAGAGAGAGAGAGAGAGTAGAGGCCAACAGATGAGCTTTTGTGCCCAAGGAAAACATAGGCTTGTCTGTCTTTCTGAGCGTGCATGTAAAGCCTGAGCTGCTGTTGTTATTGTTTATGTTGTGTAGCTTGTTGCGTAGAGCGCCACGGCGTATTAAAAGTACAGCTCTGGGTCTTTGTTCCACAGAATCCCAGTCAGCGAAGTTGCATTTTGCGGCATCTGGGGCTGCTGCAAGTTATTACTCTCCATTGAATATTCTATTATTCTTTAATTGCTTGCTCTTGTAAAGCCAAAGATATTCAATATGCAATTATATAAACCAGAGGAAAAGCAGAGCTTCACGTTTGAGAGGCAGAAATGTTCAGCACTTGTAGTTTTGCTTCATAAATGAATTGAGCAGTTAATTTACGGTGTTGAATTTTCTCTATCGATCGACAAAACAATAAATCGACTGATGGTTCCGCTCTGTCACCTCCATTTACGAACTCATCTTTATCGCACTCTGAAAGTCAAGAAACGAGGAATAAATTAAAGGGACTCAAATGGTCAATAATTGAACGGCAAACAGCGAGTCGTGTCCGCAGAAACACTGTGGCCTCTCCCTTTCACTGGCCCGCTGTCAGCTCAGAGAGAAATGACCTTATCATTGAAGAAGCCACCACGCTGCGAGCACTTGTGCATGCATGTGTGTTCCTAAGAGCGGATTTATATGGTGCTAGTTCAGATTTATAGCTGTCATTGTCCATGTTTCCAGCACATTATTTTTAGCCGTGCTATCAGTGAGGCCTTCTGGTGCAGTTGAAGAGGTTAAACCGCAGTGACACACTCCTTCCCTGCCCTTCTCGCTCTCTCCTTTCCCTCTCTAAATGGGCTGTCCACTCATTTGAGATCTGTTCTTTATCAAACTTAAACCTTGCTCTTTCCTCTGTCTCGGCTCCGTTATAGTCTTGAATTTCAGATCAGGGCTGCGAACACGGTCTTCTCTGCCCTCTTCCTTCCTGCTCTCACAATTGTTTCTTGACCGATCTCGCACGGCCTTTCTTTGTACCTCTTTTCCTTTCTTCTGCCCCTATCCTGCATCCTTCCTCCCTCTGTCTGCCTGTCCACCTCTCTCCTCAGGGGGTCTAACACTTACTCGCTTTCTATCTGCAGTGCCAGGCGGAGGGAGGAAGTGGAAGTGAACTTATAGCCGGGAGCCATATGGATCATGGCAGTAGCACTTTAAGTTTCTAAAAGCACTGAAAACAGAGGATGTATAACAGATGGGGGGGTGGACTAAATCACATATATACTGTGTAAAATCCTAATGCCCATATGTGTGTGTTTTATGTTCGTATATCTTAGTGCTCATTCAGCACTATGTGGATTTGTTTGCCCCATCTCTGGCCTGTCTTCATGCTTATATCGCCCCTAATGCACAGACAGTCCTCGCTTGTGATCCCGCAGATGGAAAGATGCAAATAGGCAAAGCTAATCCGTAGAGTCCACAATCCCAGCCACAACTGACCTGCCTCTCCTGGATCAAGACCTGGATATGTAATGACTGTAGATATGCAGTTTCTATACCGTAGCTGCTGGGTCGATTGATTCTGGTTATGATGAGCTTTCCCTGGAATAATTTATGACTGCTGGATTTGCTCGCGCGGTTGCGTTGGTATACCTTTGTGCACGTGGCTTCATGTGAAATGCATTAGCAGTGGTGCTGTTGGAGTGTTTATGTTTTCTGCTCACACACACACTGGATGGAAAGTGAGCGAGGAAATTTGTATTTCCTGTTTGCTTTAGTTGAAAGATGGATGTGTCGCATTTATAGAGGAGACAAATGACTTCTGTTTGAGTGGATGCTTTAAATACCCGGCGCAGTGCACTCATGGAAAGTGCTGCATGTGCGGTGTGTACACTTCCTTTTCGAATGAGCATTGAACAGTCATCGTATTTGCGATAATTTTTGACCTTTCTTCACCTTTTTGGGTTTTAAACATTCGTCTCTGTGTTAATATCCTTACTAGGGAGTAGAACCATTTACAGGACAACACCCACCCACATCCCCATCTCCTGCCCACAAACCCCCAGATCCACACTAATGGACAACAAGCCTCCAGAGAGAAGGAGGGAGGAGGGGTGTTGGAGTGAGGGAAGAGTTTGAATGAAAAAAAAACTTGACAGATGGGGAAGAGAAATCTATATGCTGAGGATAATGTTGTGGGTGAGAGCACAGGAAGCGGAGAAATAATAAGGATGAGGGGAACGGAAGTGCGACTGGTTGCAGACTTACATCATGCAGAAGGAGTGAGAAAGAGAGGGAAAACAATTTCTTTTTTGGACTGAAGCGAAGGGAGGGACAGAGAGGGGGTGAGAGAGTTTTTCCCTGCTGCCTCTGTGTCATCATCATCACCATCACAGTGCTCCATGACTATTTCATGACCTTTGTTTCTGTCAGCTCCCAGCTTTACTGAGAGTGTAATACTGTACAACAAGAGGGCCTGCTGGGAAACCAGGCAAGTGAGCCAACTTGGTTATCCTCATAAAGCAGTTTGAGAAAACAGTCGAGAGTTTTGATTTAAGGAATCCCTGGAAAAAGATGCTGGATTCTACTTATATTTTTGAATAAAGGGTCAAAAATGACTTAGTCCATCAAACTTTGCGCTTTGCATTTACTATGGTTGCCATGGCAGCGCATGTTGTTTTTTCTTCCATGTTTGTGATTAGGTATTGTTTTTAACCCACTTGACCACCCACACAGTGCATACTTGGCTGTCCTTAGGGTTCCCCCCACACAACATCTGATCATAAATATTAAACAGAGCAATAATATGATAGTAGTAATGATTTCAAACCAGTGCAATCACAATCTTCTTCCTTGTAGATTTGGGAAGGTAAAATCTTTCTCAACATACTTTATCACACAGGAAAATCTAGAGAGATTTTGGGAACATAAAAAAACGGGTTGTCGCTGACTTAAAGTGAGAAAAGGTGCCCAAAAGTTGACCTAATTATGTTGCAGTGTGTACCAAAAACGATTGAAAACTGACGTTGATTTGAAAAGCTGCGTTTATGTGACATCTAGATTAGGGCTGGACAATTATGGCAAAAAATAATCACAATTATTTTGACTGATGTTGAGATCCTTGTTAATAAACACAATTGTTCGTTGATTTTAAAACGTGAGTATTTATTGAACCACCAAAACTTAACCTTCAATATAACTTAAAAGAACTGACACAAATAAATTAGCTGAAGCCAAATTTGAAATCATGATTAAAATTCGATTAATCGTCCAGCAATAATCTAGAGGGGCTGCAGGCTGAGCTGCTACTTAGCTTTTTTTTTTGTTTTGTATGCTAAACTTGTTTTGGATAAGATATTTTTAGAAAAATTGAAACAGGCCATTCAGTAATGATTGTAATCTTTGATATCCATACAGTTAAAAAATACAAGATAAGTATTTCTTATTCTGTTGTTACTAGAGGTGTACTTGTACTGACCGATACTTAAGCTTGGATGTTGTTATCTGTAATGGACAGAGAGATATTATATCTGCCTCTCTGGTGAATGAAAGCAGACCTGATCATTACTAGAAGCTCTTGAGCAACACTCCTCTGCTCACTCTTCTTCTCTTCTCTGTTATGAACGGAATGCAGCCGTCCCGTGAAGGCTACATGCTCCGCTCTCATGAGCAGTGAACTCAGCCTCTTCCCTGCTGCCCTTTGTAGCACGTGTTATGATGAACTTCACGCCCTGCCGCCCCAGCATTAGCTTCAGGCTGCACTCCAATACCCTACAGATGCATCCTATCTTCCCTCGCCATGTCCCGTCCTTGATACAGTCAGTGACCTAGAAAGGGCTGGTTGGGTCACGGCGAGATTGCTGTCTTGTGTTTGTTTTGACTGTTAATGCATGTGAAAGAAAAGGAAGGAGAAAAGGAAAGAGAGGTTGTGGAGATGTGGTATTTGAGTCTGTCCGGCTAGTATAATGCTGTTTGTGATTAGCAGTGTGATGGGTCAGACCCTGACCTAGAGCTCATACAGGCCCCACCACGCCCTGCGCCTCTGCCCTGAGGGGATTCCAATGTGCAGCTCACATGACCCAGGCCACTGACCCTACTCCCTTTCCCTCCTCTTCACCCCCATCCTCACTGCGTGCACTAACTTCCCAGCCTCCCCCTTCCTCTAATGCCGTCCTCTCCTTCCTACATCTCTTCCACCTCCTCCTGCTCCCTTTCCCTCTCATTTTCCGCTCACCCCCATGTTTCAGGGTCAGAGGCAGATGCAGCACAGGCCCTAACCTATCTCTGCCTCAGCCCTAAACAGGCCTCCAGACAGTGGTATGTAGCTGGACATGCGCACCAGGCATAAAGCCTCAGGGTGAGCTGGGAGACTGGCTGCCTGACTGATCTGCAACTGGACTTTGATAACATGAGTTAAGCGCAGGCAGCTTTTGTAGGTATAGATCTGCAGGAACAGAAAGTATATTCTCTAAAAGACTGTCTGCTCTGTGTGAGGAGCATCACTTCGACTGCCAGAGGACAGGCTGCTCAAATGAGCTGAATTGTGCAGTTGTAGTGTCATATAAATTCTTTGTTTCTGTCAGTATGGCTTGGGCACGGCGCTCAGTCTCATGCAACATTACGCGCTGCCACTATGTTCTAACCGACTGCATCCTCACATCAGTTAAGAGCGAAGTCTGAGCTGTCTGCTCAAGTCTCGCTTTGACGTTTCACTTGGACAGCTCTGGAAAAAAAGAAGAAGAGAAAAACGCATTAAGTCGCCTTTTGTTTGTCACTTCTTCTTGAGGCAGAAAGCATCAGCAGTTTATTTCTTGAGCACACCTGACCTGACCTCTACTCTTAAGTATGTTTATGCGCATTTAGATTAACACACAGTTGCACATATTATAAGAGGATTCTGAGAAAGGTGGGCTTGGTGAGGCAGATGTTAGTTAAGCATCTGTGGGAGTATTAAGTCTGGCTTTCAAAGAGCTTGACATTACTGTATCCAGACCCTTTCACATCTGATCACAAACATGACCCACTTCACACATAACATGATGACAACTGGTTTATAGTATGTGTGGATATCTATTAGTGAGGTCACACTGGGCATTATGTTTTTTTGCTCGTCTCTTTTCAAAGCAGAGGTCTGGTTCAGAACAAGTTTCCTCACTGTTCTTACACAAAGTTTTAAAATTGAATATTACCTTGAATTTATAAACCTTTTTTTGACAATTATCAGGTAATAGGTTATTTTCTGCTTCCATTACCGTTTGTGCTGCCTGCTTTGCTACAAGACTGATAAATTTGAGTGATTAAGGCTGCGAGAAAAGTTGTTTGTGTAATCGCAGTATCTATTTTGCAAGTTTGTTCTTCCACATAGGGATTCTTACCACAGACAATCAAAACTGGATCTGGTTTTTGCCTCGAAAAGCTTTCTGGAAATGCTTTCTTGACATATTTTTCATAAAGAAAGCTGACACAGAGCCAGTATATCTCTCACCATATAATCTTTCTTTGAATATCTGGCAAATACAGCTGACAAATATAAATTAATTGAGATGCATAACTCATAGAATGTTCAGATCTATTGGCATATACACCACAGTGCAAATCAAGCTACTTCATCATGCAACTAATGTACCTCTAATGTAAAGTGCCAGTGAAAATGCATGCAAGATCAGGGTTAACTGCACTAAGCTGTATTAACCAAGGATGGCCTTATGGCGGAAACACAACATTGGTAACAATCTGTGTCAGCTCATCTAGCAGCTACCTCAACAAGCATGCCAGAACAATGCAGTAGGGATGGGCTGATCGACAGAATTTGACCGCTGGTGCAGAAATCACCACCTTCCCTGCAGCAAAGCTTAAAAACTTAATGAGTACTTGGTGGACTTTTGAGTGTGTGAACCTGGTCAGTTATGGGAACAGGAGAAGTATATAGTATATGTAATATGATGACTGTAACAATCTGTTGGACCACATCTAGTGACAGTAGATCCTATTTTCTGTGGCTGATAGCAGTTGAGGCTGTCGTCGGACCACATGTGAATTTTTAACCTGCAGACTCTGGCTCTATAGGAACTACTTCTATCCCTGTTTCTTCACCCACTGAAGACAGCCTGTATTCCCAGACTTACAAGTTATGTGTGAAAAAATACATAAACTTTTTTGACTCTATAGACTTGAATAGAGGACAGAAACCTAACAAGAGAGGACCTTAAGTTAAATGTAACATTTCTCCAAAGTTAAATACTTTTAGTGGCTGTCGAGCACACAGAGCCACACCTGACGATTACACAGACTAGATCTGTGTCTGTGTACCTTGATGCATTTTTCATGCATGTTTTTTTCAACAAATATCAAAACACAAGGTATTCTCTTTGATATTTATTCTCTTTTCTGTTGGCACCAGGGAGAAGCTGCCTCTGTAATGTTAATTCAGTGTCTGATAGGTATTTACTTCAGTAAAACTCTGGGTTTTAAGGCTTTGCCACAACTGCCTGCCTTTAACTCGGATAAGTGTCTCTCAGCTTCCACTTATTCCTCAGAAACGTACTGTATATTTTGTACTCATTATATGGCAGGTGTAAGGTTGCCTTTTATATATACAGTGTGTTCCTCTGAAGAAAGTTTCTTTTCCCTCCGACTATTTCCTTTTCATTGTCTATCCCTGTGGTGTAGCGCTGCTGGACTTTGAAGTTCATCTTTGTGCATCCACAGTTAGCTGTTGTCTGACAAATTCAATTCAGCAGCAGTGAAGGCTTTGTCTGCTTTGTGCTCCCTGTCAAAAGAGCTATTCATGATTAATAGTGGTTTTAATGTCTGTTTTACTACATTAACGCTGCAGTTGTGACATGAAGGGGGTGGTCCTATACTTCAAGTCTGTGCTGACTGTCTCTAAAGATTTCATTTCATCACAAATTGTGCTGACAAAGAGGGCCTTTCCATAAAGAGCGCCCCGATCCCTCATTCTCACTCGCGTTATTTTTAGATCTGATCTGCTGCTGGAATAGATTTTTCTCTGATTGGCCAATGACTCTGTTGTCGGTTATATGTGCGGTTTCTTGGCAACACAACAGCAATTTAAGGTATCTGCCATAGGTAAATACGCCAAGACGACATTAGTGATGGTGCATCAGCCAAGTGATGTTTGTAGAGTGCTGTTTGGTAAGAAACATAGGAAAACATGTTTTTGATGGAAGCGATGGAAGCCAACAGGCAGTGCAGCCTTTTAAAATGCAGATGGCTTTCCCTAGTTGGCCAATTAGTAACTTTAGCTCTGCAACACTTATCTGCTTTCATCTTCTTGTGTGTGTCTTTCATTTGGGGTGAAGGGAGCTTAGCGGGCTTGTTTTCACAAGTGTGTAGCTGGGAGTATGTGCTTGTGTTTGCGTGCACATTCATTTGTCGGTTTTTCTGCGACAGTCAAAACCCCACGTAACTTCGCTCCAGTGCTGTTGGCAGTGAGACATCAAACCACACTGTTAGATATCTGATAATAAGGCCAAACACACATGGAGTCAAAGAACACTGGGATTTAATGTGGAAGGCGCCGCTGTTAGCCTGGCAGGATAAAAACTGAATGAGTTAAATGGGGTAAATATGTTGTGTTACTGAAATGCAGCCTTTCAGCAGCTTTGCCACTGACCTCGATCTTTTTGGGATACATTTAATGAAGAAACAAAGAGCCAAAGATCAAACATTATAAACAGTCCACAGCAGGAATTACAATGACAGATGCAAGAGTTGAGTTTTTTTGTCAGTGTTCATTCAGATTATTAATAACTCTTTCTCTCTCCTCTGTCTTGCAGGTCCAGACCCCAGCCCTGTGAAGCCCCTCTTGCATGGAAACCCTCCTTCCTTGGCAACCCTCTCCTCTCCCTAGAGCCAGCGGCCAGCATGGCAGGATGAGCCTCTGCCAGCGATGATGATGGCCAAAAAGCAAGATGTCCGGGCACCCACCTACAACCTGGTCGTGGTTGGGCTGTCCGGCACGGAGAAAGAGAAAGGCCAATGCGGTGTTGGCAAGTCCTGCCTGTGTAACCGTTTTGTCCGGCCCAGTGCGGATGACTTCTACCTAGACCACACTTCTGTCCTCAGCACTAGTGACTTTGGGGGTCGTGTGGTGAACAATGATCACTTCCTGTTCTGGGGGGAGGCGGGGCGGGCGATGGAAGAGGGTCCAGAATGCCGGATGAACGTGGTGGAGCAGACGGAGTTCATAGACGATCAGACGTTCCAGCCCCACCGAAGCACGGCACTCCAACCTTACATCAAGAGGGCGGCATCCACCAAGCTGGCCTCAGCTGAGAAGCTGATGTACTTTTGCACAGATCAGCTGGGGCTTGAGCAGGACTTTGAGCAGAAGCAGATGCCCGAAGGCAAGCTTATGGTGGATGGCTTTCTACTCTGTGTGGATGTTAGCAGGGGTATGAACAGAAGCTTTGAGGACCAGATGAAGTTTGTTACCAACCTGTACAACCAGCTAGCCAAAACAAAGAAACCTGTGGTGCTGGTTCTCACCAAGTGTGATGAAGGAGTTGAGCGCTATATTAAAGACTCTCACACCTTTGCCCTAGCCAAGAAGAACCTACAGGTGGTAGAAACATCAGCAAGGTCTAATGTCAATGTTGACCTAGCTTTTCTTACACTGGTTCAGCTTATAGACAAGAGCAGGGGAAAACCCAAAATTATCCCTTACTTTGAGGCACTGAAACAGCAGAGTCAACAGATCGCCTCAGCCAAAGACCGCTATGAGTGGCTGGTCAACCGAATTGTCAAGAACCACAATGAGACATGGCCTAATGTCAGTCGCCGCATGCAGTCTGCTCCTGAGTACAAGGAATATGTTTTCCTTGAGGGGACAGCTAAAGCCAAGAAGCTCTTCCAGCAGCACGTGCATAGACTGAAACAAGAGCATATAGAGAAGCGAAGGAAAGCCTACCTAAGTACACTACCACAAGCTTTGTCCGTGCTGCTGCCAGAGTTAGATGAGATAGATCACCTGAGCTGGTCTGGAGTTCAGAAAGTCCTGGAGACAAAGAGAGATTTCTCACAGTGGTTTGTAGTGCTAGATGACACCCCTTGGGAGACGACACCACACATTGACAACATGGAGGATGATCGAATCCCACAAGACCTCCTAGAGACGCCTGCAGCCGAAACCATCTATGAGACCCACCTGGAGCAGCTGAGAAATGAGCGCAAACGGGCTGAGATGAGATGGGAGTTCAAGGAGAAGCTCAGTGTTTCTCCTTTCATCACACCGGGAAAACCGTGGGAGGAGGCCAGGAGCTTCATCATGAATGAAGATTTCTACCAGTGGCTGGATGAGGCTGAATATCTGGATATCTACAACAAACACCAGAAGGAAATCATTGACCGAGCCAAAGAGGACTTTCAGGAACTACTCCTTGAATACTCTGAGCTCTTCTATGAGCTGGAAGTGGATGCCAAGCCCAGTAAAGAGAAAATGGGAGCCATCCAGGAGGTGTTGGGTGAGGAGCAAAGATTTAAAGCCCTGCAGAAGCTACAGGCAGAAAGGGATGCTCTGGTGTTGAAACATATCCACTTTGTTTACCACCCAACGAAGGACACGTGTCCCAACAGCCCACACTGTGTGGACAGTAAGATAGAGCAGATACTGGCCTCTAGGTTCCCTACTCGCTATGCATCATCGGAAAGTTCTAGACTTGAGGGTGGAAGAGCAGAACGAATAAACCTTGTCATCTTAGGGAAAGATGGACTAGCCAGAGAGATGGCGAATGAGATAAGGGCCTTGTGCACCAGTGATGACAGGTACGTGTTAGATGGCAAGTTGTATGAGTTAGCCCTTCGTCCCATCGAGGGTAATGTACGTCTACCAGTCAATTCATTCCACACACCAACCTTCACACCACATGGTTGCCTGTGTCTGTACAACTCAAAGGAATCCCTCTCCTATGTAGTCGAGAGCTTAGAGAAACTTAGGGAGTCAACTATAAGCAGGAGAGAAAGGGAAAACAGCTTAGCCCAACTGCCGCTATCCCTCCTTCTGGTCACTAAGAGGGGGGTGGGCTCCATAGGGGATATTGGGGGGGAGACAGCTCAGACTCTCATCCAACAAGGGCAGCAGGTGGCCGGAAAGCTGCAGTGTGCTTACCTAGATCCTGCCTCTCCAGGCGTGGGCTATGGGCGCAACGTTAATGAGAGGCAGATCAACCAGATGCTGAAGGGCCTATTAGAATCACGGAGAAGCATAGGCAGCAGCTCCCCTCCTTTACCCCCTTCGTCATCTGCCTTCAGAGACTCTCAGTCTCAGCCGATGCTAGAGGCAGACCTGAGGATAGTCATGTGCCTCATGTGTGGAGACACATATGACTTAGACCAGCTCCTTGCTCCCTTCCTGTTGCCCCAGCACTGTCGTCCTGCAGCCAGCCTCAGCAGCGGCACCTCTGTTCTGCTCGATGTCAACATAGGAGGTCAGAGGCAGAATATTGAGCTGTCACTGCTGTCCTTCCATTCCTCATTTTCTCTCCGCAAGACTAGGCTGGTCCATGGCTATATCGCAGTTCACTCTGCTCGCCGTAAGGCCTCCATGGAGACATTATGTGCTTTCCTTTGTGAGGTCCAAGACATCATCCCGGTCCAGTTGCTAGCGGTAGGGGAGAGTCAGATGGAGCTGTCAGACTCAGAGTCAGCAAAGGAGCAGATCAGTCAGGGAGAAGAGCTGGCCCATGAAATAGAAGCAAGGTTCAACACAGTAATATGTGGACATGGTGGAGTGGTAGGGGGGCTTCATAAGATAGACCTTTTCCAACCTTTCCTTAAAGAGGTGGTAGAGAAGCGCACTATTGTAGAGGCCACACACATGTATGATAATGTTGCTGAGGCTTGTACCAATGAGAGTATCAGCCCTCGCTGTGGCTCTCCAAGTCCGGTCAACATTCTCATGGACTCTGAAGACGATATCGATCCATCGTCACCTTACCCAACTCTCAGGGAGGATGGCAGCCTGAGCTCCCATCTGGTCAGCTTCAAGCTTCCAGATCTGGATTCAAGTGATACCTTCTCTGTTATTTCTGAGCTTAGCACCTTTGAGAGTAAGCTTAACAACAAAGTTCCCCCTCAAGTGAAGCCCAAGCCTGTACGCAAGGTCAACCTCGGCCCCTACATGGACCAGCAGGGTGGTACCAACCGCCGCTCTCAAGCTGTCACCTGGGCTCCAGGTAGCGATGGCGGCTATGACCCCTCAGACTACGCTGAGCCTATGGATGCTGTCAGCAAACCTCGACCCACAGAAGAGGAGAATATTTACTCTGTGCCTCATGACAGCACGCAGGGCAAGATTATCACCATTCGCAACGCCAACAAAGGTCATTCTAACGGGAGTGCAGGGGGGAACGGGTCAGACAGCGAGGCTGATAGCAGCTCACTCGAGCGCAGGAGGAAGTTGTCTGCCATTGGGGTAAAGCCGAAGCTTTACAGAGACAGATCTAAACGGCTGGGGAAGTTCAGCAGTTTTAGGACGAGCTTCTCTATAGGCAGTGATGATGAGATGGGTGGTCCTCCAAAGGCCAGCCAGGATGATGGAGGAGCCCAAAAGGACAACTCGATCGAAGAGAGTGAGGACCCAAAAAGGAGGAATATTCTGAAGAGCCTACGGAGAAACACGAAGGTTAGTGTAAAGGTTTTCTTACTCAACTTATAAAAGTATTAGAACTGAAAATGCAAACAAATATAGTTGAAATAAATATTTCAGAACGCATCAGACAGCAAGTTTTATCCCCAAATGTATTTTTACCACAAACAGACAGATACACAAGTATAGAATTTCAAAGGAGGTATTTGACTGTGACTGTGACCACTTTATGACAGCTTTTCTTCCTCATTAGCTCCCAATCATGCATTTAAAGACAAGAGTAGTATAAATTTTCTCTATAAATCCAGTGGCATGCTGGGAAGACTCCTCAGTTTAAGCCAACAAATGACCGGAGGAGAGGGATGATACGACGCTAAAGAGTTTGTACTAATACAGTCTTCCTGAGCCTCACCCTCTCCTGCCAGTTCCAGGTATAGTGTGGTTGAGCTCAGGATAGTCAAAACAGATGGTGGTAGAAAGAGCTTCACAGTTGCCCAGGGACTGCACATTGTAGACTTAATTGAAAGCAATGAAAGTCTACACTTAGGAAGACAGCTTAAAACCTTCCTCCCCTGTGGGACACCCAGACTGCATCTTATATACCGGTGCAACATATAGCCTCAATTTTACAGTACATCACAGAGGGATTTTAAATCTTGTGTTTTCCTGACCAAAATGACCCCTTAAGTGAAAATAGAGGAGCCTAACGAGTATTTATGCTGGAAAGTGTCACTTGTCTAAAGTGTTGAAGTGGGATTTTCATGCATATTGCTTGCTGTGCAGTATATCAGAGCGCTTAACTACTTTATCAGCAGTTTGTATGCACATTTATTTGTTTGGATAAAATATCCATTATCTGCAGTTTAATTACTGCATGGCTGAGAGTCAGTGCCTACTTCCCTTGTTTATCACTATAAGTCATGGAATTATTAATGACTTCAGTATAATCTCTATTTTCTGTAGCTTTGCTCTATACTGTATATATATATATACTGTATAAAGTGACATAATGGTAGAAATTCCTCTGAAAGCTTGCCTCCAGTGTTTTGCTCTGACTGCTCCTAAAGAAGTCCGTAAACAAGCCGAATGATCAGAGGAAAAACAGGCCAACTCCAGCCAGTAAACTTCTACACCAGAGGGCAGAATCTCTTAATGAGTATGGACAGAGCCACAGTTTACACTGCGCTGCTTTATCTGTTATGTCTGTATTCACAGTACTGTGAACTGGAATTGTGGTATGTGACGGTTGATATCATACAACACGTTTTTGCAAACATCATCATCCATCATAAATTTTCACTTTAACTGGAACTTTTTGTCTGGATCAATAATAAATAAATTTTACCAGCTGGTTATGCAATCCTGCAGTTTATGGCACATAAGTGATATGATGATTGACATAGTTATTGCCCAGATGAGACAGTGTTATTTACTATTCAGTGTTGCTGTAATGCAGTCGAGTTTGTGCCAGAGCTCGCCGACGTGTCCCCAAGACTCCAATCTTTCCCTGTCAGTTTGGCTTTCTTCGCTTCCTTCCTCTCATTCTCTTTTATACTCTGTGTTTGTCTTCTCTTCTTGCTGATTCATACTTTCTGCCGCTCACATTCCTGTCACACTCAGTCTCTCTCTTTGCATTATGCGCTCCTCAAATCACTCTTTCCTTTCTTCTTTTTTCTGCTGGATTTTTTTTTTTTTTTTGCTCATGCAGGAATACCCCCTCCCCCTTTCTTATTTCCCTTACCTTCGCATTCCCCTCTCGTGTTAATTTCCATGCTCGTCTCTCGGATATGTCATGATGATGCTTTTGACCTTGCACCGTCGAGCTTATCAGCCCGGTATGCTGCTGTTCCTTCACATACATGGCGCGGTACAGAGGTGCTAGCTGAATAGGAGTTACAGCTGCTTATGTTGTGTGTGTCTGTGATAATTACCATGGCTGTCAGTGGGGTGGAACAGGAGGGGGATGATTAATGTTTTCACACACTCAGCTGTGATGTGCAAGAATGTGTGTGAAGGCTGTCCTTTCACATAGCTCTAAACGGCCTTAACTAAATTATTTTCTTTCTGCAACATCAAACTTCGCTGGCTGTGTAATCACTGCATTTGTACTGCTGGAAAGCGGCCTGGGCCAGGGGTGTGTCAGAGGAAGGCTCGAGGGTTCCCAGTGCCCCCATCTCCTCTTTTAACTCTAATTGGCCACCCGGGTACCCATACTTTAATCCTATGATATAATTGACCTTCTCTCTGGTCAGATCATAGACTTTATATAGACTGGACATTGTCTGGCTCCTTGCTGGGTGAAGCCACTCCGAGAACAGCACCCTCTGGTGACGGGTTGCAGTATAGGTCATAAATCCCACCTCCACTATCCTTATGGAGCTGTGGACAAATTTTCGAAATTTATTACACAGAGTATAGTTTTTTCTTCCCCCTGCTTGCGATGTTGACATGTAGTTACTGTCAGACTGGTTTTCTATGATTGACACCTGATACAGCCTATGGGCGTACGAAGATTGCGTAGCTCACCCCGGGGATACGCTGTTTGAGCCGAGCGTCATCACAGCGACACCCGGTGACTCTCTCGCCAAATGTAATGTGTACAGCTTTACTGCGCAGTGTTGTTGTCAGGAAATGAAGAAAAAAGAGCTTTTCGGCTTCAAATCGATATACTGGCGGAAGGCGGAACCAAGTTGTCCATAGTATATACAGTCTATGCATTTTGTAAGCATTGTGTAGGCAGTGCCTTGGACTACGTCAGTGTTTTGTCCTGTATACAGGGCACATATACTTTCTACCACCCCCATTTTAAAAATCTGGATACGCCCCTGCTCCCTACACACTCTAAATGTTGCAGACGGCCTCATACTCAATCTCCACTAGCTCAGGGCCCAGCAGCTCTAACCCTTTGCCCTGACCTTTTGCTTTGGGCGGGTAAGAGAAAAAGAGAGATTGATGAAGTACCACATGAAACAGTCAACCAGTAAACCTCCATTTATCAAAACGATTCTCCAGAAGATTCAGAGCCAGCAGAGTTTATAACTCGTGTTGTGTCTTTACTGTACAACATCAGATTTTTGCTCGAGAGCGGGTTTGAGGTCCGGACAACCGCAGCACAAGCCATTATGGCTCATTTGTGGTCACAACAAGCTTCATCACTGGTGTTTTTTTGAGCAGCTGCCTTGAAGATAAGGAGTTAGTTATCAATCAGCTGCAGCCTGAAAGCCCCTCAGGAGAACAGCAGTGTTGCTGAGTAATTTGGACGTCTCAGGGAGGAAGTTTGTAGTCGTGACACAGGGTTTGTAGAGTTTTTGTCAAGGTAAACACACAAATTCTGGTTTTTAGTTGTTTTAAAGGTGTCAGTTTGGCTTTATGTTGTTGAAACGCTTTTCTGGACAGAACCCCAGGGTACTGTCGGCTAGTCTAAGTCAAGCCAGGTAGGGAAAAATCATTGAAACTATACTCTGAGCCTGTTTTGAATCCCCCCTTTACCTCAGGCAAAGACCGACTGTGTCTCTGTCCCACTCGCTCTCCCTCAGCGCAAGGCCGGAAACGTTTCCTCTCTCTCTCCCTCTCCTGCAGCTTTTTTCAAACCTCCTCAGCCAGTGAGAGGAATGCTTCAAATTCCTCAGTCACCTAGTTCCAGTCTAGTGTCCTCAAACAAAAAATAAGAGCAGGGGTGGGGGTGTGGGGGGGAATGAAAGGGAAGGAGAAAACACAATCCCGGAAAGAAAATGAAATGGAGCTGGAGGGAAATAAGGGTTTGTTCTTCTTTTGTATTCCTGCTTTGAGTTGCAGCGTGCTGTGTATGTAAACCCTCACCGTGGTGTCTGTGTATGTTATTATTAAGGATGCGTTTTGTTTGTCTTCTGTGGTAGAGGTCTGTTTTGTCTTCTCAGCACTGGCAACGTATCCTGTCTCAGTCAGCATCTAAAAGGAGTGTCCAGAAGGCAAAACTGCAGGGGGAGAAGAGCGTATGAGAGACAGAGAATGGGAACAGGATAGAGACAGTCTGCTAAACCGAGATAGGTTACAGATACACAACACAGTCAGTGTGATAGCACACAAATAAATTATGAGCTGCTACTTGGAGCCACAAAATGTAGTTGGCAGTGAATTATGACAGAACTGCTCTGTGTTACAACAGAGGCTGTCGTCTTGTAGCCTATTGCCTATTGTTCGTACTTCTGCTCTGAATCAATTAAAAAGCACCATGTGGGTGTTTGTGCACTTATCAAATACACTCCAGATGTACATTTGCAGATGTGAGGCCAGTGGCTACACATTTAAGGATGCCTGTACGTTAAGAGTCACAGGGGGGTCGCTCAGGGCAGCGGGGGATAAAGCTGGGAGTAATAAGTGTAGGAATCCTGGTCAGGACTCTTCTCATCAGGGGCTTGTAACAGAAAGATAAGTGGGAAACAGATATTTCAGCGGTTGTTGTTGAGCCTCCTTCAACATCCCAGGGGTTTGGATGGATGAAGTACCGATTCTTCCTGTGAGCCAGGAAGTGCTGTCGAGTTAACTTCGCGACATTTGTTTTCCTGACACCCGAGCATTGAGTTTACAGGTGGTGAGGGGGTGTGGAGGCTCAATTTTTCTAAAGTCCCCTGATTCAAGAGCTCTGGTTACACTAGATTTTGTACGTAGTCATTTTTAGACGACAAGACAGTATAAAAACATGTTTACTGGTAGTCTTCACAAGTTTACTCAAAGATTTTGTGTGAAACATGAAAAAATGATTTCCAGCTTTTTAAAATGATTTTAAAAAAGCAAATATTTTCTGGTTTCAGCTTCTTGAGATTGAGGATTTACTTGTTTTGAAGTCAAACACAAGATTCAGTTTTAAAACTGTTTGGATGGATAAAAGAAGTCATAAAAAGAGTCTTGTGACAGACATTTACCATAACACCATAATGCCCTACCACCAGGATGTAAACAAGCAGTTGTCAGGTTGCACAAATGAGGCGTATTCTCATAGAAAACTAAAATAATTTTAGGATAAAGAAAACTGAAGATAGACTCTCACTGAAGAAGGCTGCAAATAAAAAATGAATTTCAGCATTTCACCTCTTTGTCTTCCTCTGTATCTCTTGACAAGCTGTGATTTGTCTATAATGACTGTAACTGCCTGTGCTATTGGCATACAGACTCACCGGTCCTGCTCGTCTGAAAAGAAGCTCAATAAAAGGCGATAACGTGGCGCTTTTGGAGCCGACTAAACTTGACAAAGATTAACAACAGAATAAACTCACTGAATGCTCAAACACCGACCCGTGCAGTAAAATTCCAGGTGTGATTTGTTGATCCGCTCGATCTTAATTAGTGTGTTCTTGAGCCCCGGTGTGAGTTACTGTGTGCATGTGTGGTATCTAAATGATTGGTGGATTACAGTGAGGCTAGTACACGGAGCAGAGGGCACGCAGAGCTCTCTCTCTCTCTAATGAGCACTCCTCTGCTCTTTTTTTCCTGTGTCTGTTTGTCAGGCCTGCGCTGCTCCCACAGTCTGTGTGACCAGTCGACCATGCAGGCCTGCTTCACCACCCTGCCTGCCAGGGTACAGCCTCTGGGGGCTGACAGACGTACTAGAGATCCAGGCCTCCAGGGCCTTCAAAACATTCCCACTGATCGCCATTAAGGCACAATACAATTACTGCTGATGTACACAGAAAAGCAGAATGGGATAGGGGGATAGGTTAGAGGTCTTTTAATAATGAGTTAAAGAGGAATTAAATAATAAAAAAGAGAGTTAAACTGACACAGAGCTGTAGAAAGATATAGACACAAAAATGCCAGAGGTAAGAGTGCAAGAATGAAGACACCAGGGTGATGAAGGATTTGATGTTTATCAGGCTTTGGATGGAACAGGGGCTCAAGACAGGAATGCGTGATAACTTATCAGTTTAAAGTTTGCAGGAATGTGAAGGATGGGTGTGTGTGCGTGTGCTTGTTCACATTTTTGCTCAAGAAGATGCTAACATGAAAAAGCACAGTCACATTAGAATAAGGTCGTGAGCTTTTCCAAACAAATCAAGTCACTCATTTCAAGAACAATGCCTCCGGGCTGAGAGTCATTTTTATAAATGTTTCTTGTTGTCAGCAGTGACAATGTCAATCAGACTCAAAAATCATGTGAAACTGTTTCTTTTGCTAATCTGCTTTTCTTCTTCTTCCCTTCCCCAGAAACCCAGATCCAAACCCAGGCATTCAATCTCCAAACCCATCGAGAGCAACTACTTTGGCATGCCACTAACCACCGTAGTCAGTCCTGAGAGGCCGATCCCCGTCTTCATTGATAAGTGCATCAGGTTCATTGAAACAACAGGTGAGAGTCTGTTTGACTTCACAGAGAAAGAGCACAGATGCTGAATGACATCCACTCAGGCTTTTGTTTTCAGTCTTTAAAGTAGAAACAGTTTTGAGAATGATTTCAAAGGATCCTCTCTTCTTCCAGGTATGCCATACCTGCCTCATTTAATCTCTTTTTTCTATATTTTTGGCCTTATCTTAATCCTCCTCCCTGGTGGGATTGTTACCTTCAGTGGTCTGCACAGCTAAGAGTGTGATTCCGCCGTCCTCCTTTAGTCACACACTGCCTTTGTGTGCCTGTGCTTTTCTTTTGTGTCTTTCTTACTCTTTGTTCAGGCTCGATAAACGGGAGTGCATGGCTGAGCTTTAGGCTTTTTAGTTTGGCACCACTGGGGACCTAAGCTGAGTTACTTAAACTTTTAGGTTACCAAGAAAGTTTTTTTCACAGGAGAAGAAGCAAATGAAGTCTGTTATGCATATGTTGGACCTGACCATTAACTGCATTAGCTGAATAAGTTCAGGATTTATCTGATTTGTTTGAGCAGCGTATCATTTGTTATTTCTTACCCAGCAATTCCGGTCTGGTTCGTGTGATGCAAATTTCACATGAGAAATTAGAAAATGTAGTACTGAGGTATACTTTAAGAGACTTTATAATAATAATGTTATTTCTCAATACTGTAGAGAAAATGATGTCTGTTGATTTATTCTAAATTGTTAATGTATAGTGTAAAGCATCTTCATTACCATATTTTTGGCACCATAAGGCGCACTTAAAATCCTTTTGGCCTGTCGGAGCACTGCAGCTACCATAGCCTCGCGGAGTTATTGAATGAGTTAAATAAAGTTTGACTTATCTGACTTTTTTTTTTGGCTTAATGCGCTTTATAATCCGGTGCGCCTTATGTATGAAAATAGTCGCGTTCATTGATGGTGCGCCTTATAATCAGGTGCGCCTTATAGTGCGAAAAATACGGTACTCTATCTGATTTAAAGAGTGAATATGTACCTAAGTGTTGATAAATGTATGAAGAGTATATCTGTATAATGTACTTGATATATAGTATAAGGGGTAGGTCTTAATAAGCATTGCTTCTGCCTGCACCCTTTCGGTCATATTATACTAAAATAAATCCTAATCCTAAATATCCTGCACAAATTTACAATCATGTAAACAATACCACTGTAAAATACACAGCAGCAGTTTTGAGCATGATTAGCACAGGCCAGTCTACGAAGCAGCATCAGTCTGACTTTGCAAGCCTCAGCCCAAACATAATCATGTCAGCTAGTTGTGTATAAAGCCAAATGAACGATTAGGTCAATGAGAATTTATTGTTGCACATGTACTTTTAATAGTGTGTCCTCTCCTCTCCTCTCCTTCTTTGATAGAGAAATGTGCTTATAGCTTCTTTTTACCTTGTTCCCCAGTTTCCAAAACCTCCTGCTGGGCTGTTCTGGTGCCCCACTGCCCTCAGTCTGCCACCAGCTGTTACACTCAACCAGAGGCAGCTCGGTGCATAGCCTATGGTTATTTAAAGATCGCTAAAATCGTCTGTCTGTTCTTGGCTCAGGATTTTAGCTGCTAAGGTCACAAGTTAATGACCTTTGTCTCAACTTTCCAAACATCTAATTCTTTAGCTATAGTGAGATTTTTGCACAGGTTTGGTTTACAAGGCTGCTGGATTTAAATTTAGCACATGCATATGCTCTAAAAGTAGTCTTAATTCACTCAAAACAAGCATCTAATGTCTTTCCAAGAAGTTGTGTCTTTTTGACCTGATACTTAAAGGTGGCGGTCTACATTTCTTGAAAGGAAACTCCAAGATATTATGGAAATTTTAGCGCTCATTAAAATCCAGATCGCTGAGGTCGTGACAGAGGCAGTTCTTCTCTTCATATGAATATTTGTGATTCTGTACAGCAAGCTTAATGTCGAGAAAAAAAAACCTTTATCACTGCTTATATATTTTTTTTACCTTTAATAAAGTGAGTCACATCACAGCATGTGAAATCTCTGCTGCGTTTGCTGACGTGCCAAATCATTATCATCATAAATGTCCCAATTAGACATCCTGTATTCATGGGTTTCTGCTGCCTTACAAAACCTTCATCATCATCATCATCCACATGTATATGAGTCAAAGGCTTAAAAGCTCGAGATAAGGCGTTGAGTCAGATTTTACCTCACAGTGTTTGGATGTTGAGTAGGGCGGTCACAGCACACACATCTAGGTAAAAGGGGAAAGATAGAATAAGATAAGATAAAAAACACTTTATTGCGCCTCGTTCTTCTATTGGAAACAGTATGACTCTGCGTTTAGATACGCTGTCGCTGGTGTGTTCAAATATAAGAATAAAAACAGCTCCTCCAGAGGTGTTCTCCACCTCGTATTTCCACTCACTCTTTAAGTGTCGTGCCTCATCCTCTTTCCTCTCTCCTACTGTGTCTCTACTTTCTTCTCCTGATCCAGCCATCTCCCCTTCCCTGTTTCTCCCCGCACTTTGACTTGTCACATTTAATATCTTTCATCTTATTTCCTAACCTATATTTCTCTTTCTCCTATCATCACCTCTTACAATTCACTGCATTTCTCTCCCCCCTTCTTCCTCTTTCCTCCCGTCAGCCTCCTTTCGTGTGTGAGTGTAGGGCGTGTTTTAGCCGGGGGCTTGCCAGGTAATGTTCTGCCACATCGCTCCCTCTGTCCGATCAATATCACGACATGGGAAATTGGAAGAATGTTTGGACTCAGCCCTTTTTCCCCCCTGTAAAGCCTGCTTCTGTAACTGTATTTGTGTGTGTACGTACAGAACACTGAAATATTCACTTTACAGTCTTACACATGCAGTACACAACAACACACACACACAGAATAAGTGTGACAAGAAGGGGAAATGAGCCACAGTGTGTTTTTTTTTTTCATTTCAATTGTGATCGCTGTGAGAAGTGGGGCTTTACATATCCTCTATCTGTGTCTACAATCTGTGAGTATAATGGCACTCTCAGGAAATTACTACACCACGCTGACACTATGTTTGTCGCTATAGTGCGTGCTGATAATGAGTGGCGTTGTGAGGCTGACCCTACAGACCTGCTGATCTGACCTACATCCTTCCCTGCTACAAAAATAGTCACTCACAGCCGGTTTAAAACGGACCCTGCCACTCCTGTGTTTGTTCATATTTATTTTGATGTCGTTTAAAGTCCTGTGGTCTGATCGCTGCCCTCGATCTGTGTGATACCCCTCAGACAAAGTCAAATTGTTCATTCTCACGTCAAAAAACTTTTCAACTATTAAAACAGAAACATTTTCAGGAGGCAAAAGTTCGATATTCCTTTTTCCATCTCCTATTCAGCGGTCTTATTTCTTTGTTGCTTCTCTTAATTCTGCTTCAATACTCAGTCTTTTGTCCTCCAGAATAATAGAAGTGCCTCTCAGTGTTATTTTCATGCATTCTTGTACAAAAGCAGTTTTATAAAATCAATCCATAGTGACTGCTCTTATCTCCCCTCGGTTGTGGCTTTCTCTCAGCGTGGCCGCCGCAGCTTGTTGTTCTGCCTGTTGGTAACCAGGTGATGGATTTGTGTTACTGTGTTGCAGCATATCTGCAGGCTTTAGGAGCCTCCATAGTGACATAAAGGGCAGCACCCAGTCGCTGCCTGTTTCACACAGTATGGTGGACTATGGAGGCAGGCTTCTCGGAGCTACTGCCTACTCTGTAAACCTGTTATAACCCGCCTCCACCTCACCTCCTTTGAACACTGTATCTTATTAAAGCAGTGCCATATGTATTGTCACGGACTTCCTGTCAGTTTATAAGAATAGAACATTTCTGGTGGACCTGAACAATACGAGAGTAGCAGTGTATGATAACATTGTTCAACATAGAAACCAGGATTGTGTTCGTTTTATCCACCAAAATAAACGCCATCACCTTTGCTACCATAATGCTAAACTGCAGGATTTTAATCTAGAAATGAAGATAAAGTTGTGTGTAGGCTGTGCAGGTGAACCAGCAAATGCATGTGAATATTTTAACCTGCAGGGAGAACTGAAGGCTGGTGGTGTTAAATCTGCTAACTCTAGCCACGCTTTGAAATCACGTACCTGCAGACTCTGGTTTGGTATGAAGCTCAGTTCAATAACTTTGACTGTTTTCTTAGTGTTTCTTTACTCTTTGACTAGTTTGATAGTCGAAATTTCAATTTCCATTTAAACAAAAAGGGAAATTAGCCACTTTGAAATGTCCTTAATTCTCTAATTCTCATTTTATCTACTGCTCTTTATGTTTCACAACATACCTGTTAAAAAAGAAAGCACCACTTGTTCACTGAATAAGGTTTTTCTTCTGTATTGCAACAAATGTAGACCTTGAGAGGTGCTCATATCACAATAATTATGAAGGTTTAATTTGCTGCTGAGCCAATTATTTAGGCAATATTTACAGTAACTTTCTAAAGAGATAAAAATAAACGGTGCACCCTCCCTCTCGTAGCTCCCTCTCTATTCCTTTAATCTCATTTAACCTCCATCTTTTATGAGTTTTATTCTTTCAAACACTCCCATCCTTCCATGTATCTCTCCTTATCTTACTACCTTTATTTTTTCCTCTCATCCCCTCTTTCATACCTCTGACCCTCTCTCCTACGTGTCCTCACACTCCCCCACTATCTTCCTCATACTTGGGTGCTTGTCCTATTTTGCCCCTATCTCTCGCTCTCTCTCGCTCTCTCTCCTTACACTGCTGCTACACTACTCCCCTTTTTCCTATCTCCCCTCTCATCCCTGTTTTCCTAGTGTCTGGCTAGAAAAGCCTTTGTGGATAATTGATTGGTAGAAGGAGGAGATCGATGCTGTATGCCTCGACTGAGAGCTCTCTCATTTCCTCCCTGCCTCTCTCTATCTCACCCTCTTTTTCTGCCACTCCCTATCTCCTTTGCTCCCTCCGGATTGCTCTTTGTCTCCCTGAATCACCAGCAAAGTGTGAACCAACAGAGGGTTTTGAGGGTGGGGGTGGGAGCTTCTAGAAAATGATCAACAAGAGAAAAAAAAGCGAGCTTTCTGTTGCACCAGATGTGCTTTTTCAGTCATCGCTGTCCTTATTTGACTTCTTCGTGACTACATTTTAATTATTGTAGGCCAAAAAAGCCACCTCCGCTCACCTGGGCTGCAGCTCCAGCTAGTAGCTACTGCCACAAGGCGATCATGCTCTACTACCCGGATGTAATCCAGCTCAAATGTGCTGCTTTTGTGTTTTTCTCCAGCGAGGAAATAGTTGTTACAGCACAGGAGGAGGTATTAGATTATTCATTCAGATGTCATCAGCTTAAAAAATAACAAAGAAAATCTGAAAGTGCCGCTTAAATCTTTAGAAATTGAATGTCAGGAATCTTAGGTAGTTGTTAAGACTTAGGAATTGTCTTGTGAATGAGATGATTAGATTATATTGGAAGAGATTACTGCTGTACGTAGAGAATAATACCCAACAGGCTTCTTTATTAACCATTAAATCAGCCTCTTCAATCATATCACCAGACTGCACCTGCTGCGAGCCAGCGAGAGACGGCAAAACTGTATTAAAGCTGAAGAAAAAAGAAAAGAGGAAAGCTTAATTGTATTTAAATCATCAGGCTGTGGCATTCCTGCTCTTTTGTTTGCTATTGTTCTAGTGATGGATGGAAAGACTTTGTTGCTGTCACTGTCTGTTTTCTACTTACAGTAACCTGAACTTCTGCAGCTAAAATGTTTGTCTTCACAGGTTATTGTCTGTTCTTCTCAGTTTTCCACAGATTTGGCACCATACTCTACCAGAGTATCTTGTATTGTACATTTCAAAGTAGAAAAATACTTCTCCTCCTGTTTTTTAGACACCAAACTGTAATTGCAGCGCTTCAAATAAACAAGGATGCATCAGGGTATCCTCTGAATTATGGTGTTGGGATAAAAGCGCACAACTTTAGCATTTTCTGAGGTCATTTTGAACCGTGGGGCTCTAAGTGAGTGGGCTCTCTGTAGACCTGCGGGAGTTATTTATGGGTTTAATAAATAGTGCTAATAGTGTCTTTAAATTGAAGGAAACAAAGGAAGAGTCCATGAGGCTGCTTAGTCTGCTGTACCTCTACTTTGCAAATCCATACCCTTGTGTAATGATATATTAAGAGGTGGTTGATCAGTTCCCATAAAGCTTGATACCGTTGGCAAATTGAGCACATGAAACACCGAGCTAACAGCACTTCTCCTCCTTCTTCTGCCAGGATTGAACACGGAGGGCATCTACAGGGTCAGCGGCAACAAGGCAGAGATGGAGAGCATGCAGCGGCAATTTGACCAAGGTCTGTAATTTCCTACTTACCGCACTCCTACATGTATAAGAACACCTTCTCATTCTTTCCTCGGCTGTTAAAGCACAAGGCTCTACGGAGAAAAGGTGATGGAGGTGCTGGTGTGTGTGTCTACATCCATCCATAACAAGCCTGGATACTCTTAATTAACCAGGCAGCGTTCATTCTACCAGGGGAATTGGCCTTGACTTCTTCATAGACATCAGAGCTGCTTCCCTTATCTCCTACCTGCTACCTGTGTGCATGTGTGTGTGTGTGTTGACACGAGTGCATGTACAAGTTTTTCGCCCAATGTGTGTCCCCAAGCATGTGTCTGTCTAGTGTGGGCAGTTAATTACCTCAAGATTGGTTTGGTTAATGAAGCATGCCGCTGCAGAGATGGATTGCAGGGTAAGATGGCCTTTATGGGTACGGGAGTGTGTGTGTATATGTGTGTGTGTGTGTGTGCTTAGTTGAGGTTAAATCTAACTCGCATAATCAGAGTTGAAGCCCGGCATTGAATCACGCTGAGCCTCGGGGACAATGGGACAAGACAATTACAGGTGAAACCACAGCGTAGGTGTCTCTTGGTCACACAGAAAGGCGGCACTTCATCAGCTCCCTGAAGATTCAGATAACTCATTACAGGATGAGGAAGCATCCGAAGCACGGCGCTTTAAAAAAACTCTCAAAATTGGGGACTCGTATTCGACTTCAATAAGACGCCAACCCTTTATCATTTCCTTTTAATTCTTTCTCCTACGCGTGCAACCTTTTGTAGAGTAAAAAGTTTTCAGAAAATGGCTTTTTTAATGAAGTCAACCTCTCACACTCTATCTAGTTTTATTTTTTAAACAACCTCATATCGTCTGTTGTGATTTTTAGATTACTTTCTTTTCTTTCTTTTCCCAGATCACAACCTGGACCTGGTCGAGAAGGACTTCACGATCAACACAGTAGCAGGAGCCATGAAGGCCTTCTTCTCTGAGCTGCCGGAGCCTCTGGTGCCCTACAGTATGCAGGGCGAGCTGGTGGAGGCCTTCAGTAAGTTCTGAGATGGTGCAATTTAAGATGGGGGGACAGGGTGCAGGGATGTGGGGGGAGTTCTTCACCCGCAAAAAATCGAGGCGTATTGGACTCTGCCGTAAATCCTTTTCCCTTCGTTGTGATTTTTCTTTAACCTAACAAGCACAACTCTTGCAATCCAAATCCATCCATGGGGAGGATTGGATTTGCCTCGCACGGTGGAGGAAAAGGGAACGGAGGGGAGAATATTCAAGGCTTCAGGGAAAGGAGGATGTCCGGATGATTGCATGATGGAGGGATGCTGGAGCTCTATGGATGAAGTCATAAAGAAACAGTCATATGTTAGATAAACGAGGCTCTATGCTGCCTCTCTTTTTCTCTTTGTGTCCTGTAATCTGTCGGAACGGAGATTTAAGGCGTAGCTTAGTCTTGCATCGCGCCAGAAAGATTTACCCCCGGGCTGCAAGGCTGCTGTCACTCACAAGCTCTGTGTTTGTGTGTTGGGGTTTTTTTTTCACGGCCCCGGCGAGACCCTTCAGCCATGACAGAGACCTGATAAAGCTGCTGCAGTCAGTGCCGCGATAGAGCAAAAGAAGAAGAAGAAGAGTGAGGTGGAGTTGAGAGACAAGAAAATATAAAATTTCATTTGGCATTTTCAGGAAATGAGTTATTTTACTGACACTTTGTGCAAAGAGAGAAATCAGAGAGGAGCAGGATGGGTTGGTGTTGATGTTAACCCGCGTTGTCATGGTGACGTTACTTTAAATAAGCTGTAGAAAGTTAAGTTTTGATTGCAGATGATGGATGTGGAGCAGGAGGAGCCGGAGCTGTGTTAAGTCATTACGCCTAAAAATCTGTTTTTGATCCACACTGACCTCATCGCGGGAATATAAAGTCAAATTCTCTGATTGTAAATCATGTTTGTGATGTTGGAGGAGAACATCTGCTGGTCTCACTGCTGCTCTCTGCCTCACACACACACACACAGACACACACAGGATGGACTGTGTTAGGCGGTGACGTCAGCTGTTCTGACTCACTTACTGCCATCAGGCTTAACACACCCAGTGCATGTATGTGTGTGATTGTGTGTGCGATCCTTAGGACAATGTGATGGGTGTATGCATGGTATTTCTCCTCTGGGATGTATGTGGTCTTTGTTTCTGCATTTTTTCTGTCTTAAACCGGAGTTCTGAGTGTTTTCAAAGCATGTGCGTGTGTCTCATTCATCTCTTAAGGTTTTAGGATGAAATCACTTTGTCCAGCGCAGATTTTTCCTCGAGCTGAATCCAATTGCTTTCACTACGCTCCTCTTCCGTTCCTCTCCATTGTACCCGTCCCTTCCCTTTTTAATCCTGCTCACCCACACCCCTGACATCTTTTTCCCCCTAATCTTTCCTTTCAGCCTCCTTTCTCTAACCTCTCCCTTTTTTCTCTCCCTCTGCCACCATCCAGAGATCAACGATAGAGAGCAGCGCTTCCAGACGATGAAGGACATTCTGCGCCGCTTCCCCAAGGAGAATTACGAGGTCTTCAAATATGTCATCAGCCACTTGAACAAGTGAGTGAGTGAAAGGGTCAAAGACGGCCTCTGACAACTGTGCTGACTACACCGCTGGTCACACAGTCAAGTGACCTCGCTGTGACATCAGTGAAGCTAGCGCAGTGACAGAATAGAGGTTTTACTCAGGTTTAAACACAAGCGGAGTTAACGCAGCGATGACTTAATCTCTATTTGTGCTCAGATGGCCAAACAAAGAGGATGAACGACAGAGTGCAGCAAAGTGAGCATGCTAGCATTAGCAAGGGGCTTATAGCAACGCAGTGCTGCTGTTGTGGTTGGAGTCTCTGAGGGGAGGGGAGATTTCTTTTAAATATGACAAGTAAGGAGCAGGTTGGTCAATGCCACTCACCTCGGCCTGAGCTCAATGCCTGTCCCTGGATGAGGCTTTAAAAAAACATAAAAATCTTGATGTTCTGATCCAAGGTTCCCAACTCTAAAAAAGAAAGTCCTGCTGCTCTGATATTCTTTGATTTGTACATGTTCAGAGTTTTTTCCACAAAGGTAGCATAAAGTGTGCACACTAAAGTAAATGTAATTTAACTACCTCTTTATGTGCTCTAATAATATCCACTTTTACTCACATTTAAGTCCCATTCAGAGGCTGTTTTCTTGTTAAAAGGTTTTGTAAAAAGTTACACACTGATGTTGTGCGTCTGAAGAGGTAAATAGCCAGTCATAGTACAGGATTTCAGGGTGATGCTGGTGTCACCTGTCGACCATCAGTGCCTCCTACTTTCAGATTTTCTGCATTAATCAGGAATTGATGCGACTGACCTCTGTGTCTTTGTCTTTTCCAGGGTGAGTCAGAGCTACAAGCAGAACCTGATGACCAGTGAGAACCTCTCCATCTGTTTCTGGCCGACCCTGATGAGACCAGACTTCACCACCATGGACGCCCTGACTGCCACCCGCACCTACCAGACAATCATCGAAGGCTTCATCCACCAGTGCGCGTACTTCTTCTACAATCAGCCGCTGGCTGACGGCCTTCCTGGCTCCCCCACCTCCACACTCTCCTCCTCCTCCTCCTCAGCCTACTCCTGTATGGCTGGGGGCTACTCATCCTCGCCAACACCGTCCCCCACTCCCTACGTCCTCCCTGCCACCCCTCCTGTCATCCCACACTATGGCCCCCCTATCCATCACCACCACCACCACCATCACCACCATCATCAACATCAGTCCCCACCCCACTCCCCTCCTCCAACTCCTCAGTCCCCGCTACCAGCACTGCTGCCGCCCTCACTGCACCCCCACCACCCCCCTACGGAACAACACACGCTGTGAACCAGGGATCAAGGGAATAAGGGAGAAAATAAAATAAAAAACAACAAAGAAAATGAGATTCAGAGAGTTTAAAGGAACAAGAGATTTTGAATTTTGGGAGAGTTGAAGTTGATCAATTAAAGGAGCAAAGGAAGTAGAAAGAAAAGTTGGGAGAGATTGAGTGAGATGCAGTATGTACAGGGAGAAATTTACAAGTTTGGGAGATAAAAAGAAGAAGAAGAAGATGCCGGGCATTTGAGCCTTTGTTTCTTTTAGAAAAACAGACACACACACACACACACACACAGCAGAAAAAGGGGAAAAACACTGAACTTGCAGTCTCTTTCTCCCTCCTTGCCACTTTATCCCTTTTTGTCTTTCTACATCTAGACGTGCCCTCCTTGCCTTATAGAAAACCTTCACACAAACACACTGTAGACGAGTGAGACTATGCCAGGAACTCATAAAGGGACTTTGAAATAAAGTGCAGGAGGATTTGAATTCTGTCGTGTTGGAACTGCTCTACACTCAGACTCACACACACAAACACACCAAGTGGCCAGTGTGCCTCCGACAACCATCCTCCTCAATCCCTGCGCCTCTGACTTTACTGGGAATTAAGGCAGGCGGTGCATGTTTTCTTTGCAATCCAACCCACCTGCTGTATCTACCTGGAGAACGTGGCTGTGACAGATATCGAGCAGAGAGCGATTCCTGGAACACATGTTTGTTTATTTCACCGCTGCACATGAGGACTTAAGCAAGAGACACGTGTTGCCACTCACCCGACGGGATGTTCTGTCCTCAGCGTCTCACACATTCCTATCTTTCAACCCCTCACTCAGCCGCACATGCGGACAAATTTCAGCTTCAGCCGTGGCAGAATGCCAAGCTAAGAGGGAAAAAAAATCCAAACTGACTGGATCTGGGAGGAAGCAAATGGGAGCAAAAGATTACGGGGGGTTCTCACACCTTGGGCATTTCAGGAAGTCTCCCGATCTCCTGTTAGCTCTGTCTCTCACAGTTTCAACTTACACCTCAAAATGCTTAAAAAGGGGATGTTTTGATTGGTCTAAATCTTGATTCTCATTATGCTTTCATACTGCCCTGATAATTCTTAACTCTGTTTTTTTATTTGATGAAACCGTAGAGATCTAGGCCCATCACTCAATGAGCGGCCTTGTGTGTCAGTGTCGGTGCCGCTGTCTCGTCTGTCTGTGTGCGCATGAATCCATGCCTTTTAGTTGTACCTGGATTTTCTGAAGTGGGCAGACGCTGGGAATAATTCCAGTGTTGGACCTTTAACTGTCATGTTGCTTCTTTCACGCTGTGGTGTTTATTTTTTGTAAGAGTGAGTCGGCGCTGCAGTTTTCACAGTGAGGACCTTGTTAAAAGAAAAAGAAAAAAAGCACTTTCCTGAGCACTTTGAAGGCACATTTTAAGTTGGAGCTGCCATGACTCGACAGCCACCACTCACTTTATTGTCAGTCCACCCAACTCCCTCCTTCTCTGGGAGCACACCACTGACATCTAGAGGAAGAATTGGGTGCTGCAGCCATAATTTCACCTCACCATTACTGCATGGGCGTAGCACCATTTTCCTACTGTGGTTTTTGTAGCGTCAGATTCTCTTACAGGGTGTAAATGTTCAGATATTTTACCATTGTGTGTCAGGTGACATTAACTCTACAGCTCATGAAGCGTAAGGGTTTAAATAGAAGAAAAACACCATTTAAAAATCTTGTGCACATCGATTGAGATTATATAGATTCAGGCTCTGTAGTCACAAAGCACATGGCTACTTTGCAGTTTAATAGTTATGCAGTGAAAAAAACAAATCCTCTGTCTGTTATTAACCGATGCACTTGTCTCTTTGTCGAGGAGTGCACGTCACCTCCCAGATGCTGTGTATCAGGGGGAAGGGAATAAAGAGGTTGGGACACAGTTTGGCATTATAGGCAGAGAGTAAGAGCTGGAGGGAAGGCACACGCTTTAACAGGATGGAGGCTTTTTATTGTCGGACATAATTGGAAACCACCGCTCCAGGCCTCAGTACACTGTCCTCTTAGGACACGGTAAACACCCTTAGAAAGGAGACTCAAACCTGCTCTCAGTGGGCTAAAAATCTAATTTATGAGAGTGTAACCACTACACCAGACTCCCTCTGCCGTCGGTTTGAAGCCACAACACAACCCCAGTTCTCCCCTGACCAACAGAGACAGTTCGGTTCTAGGAGAGACAGCAGACAGAACAGACAGTCCATTCATCCGTCTGCATGACTGGAATGGAGCATCGCAGAATTCCTCGGCCCCAGACTGCTGTTACCGTAGAAACCAGCGAGATGAGGCTTGAGTTGAGTTGCCGAGCCCTTATCAGGAAGCTTGTGTGTGTGTGTGTATGTGCGCACATTCATGTCTCTGTGTTTGTGTGAGCTCGAGAAAGGGTGTGTGCATGTGAACCTGTGCGTGTTAATGTTAAGCAGATGCTCACCAAGGTCACTTAATTCTTTTTGACACTGAATTGCATCTCTGCATGTCTCCCCAGACTATCATCTCTGCCCAAAAGGAGAAGAAAAACCTTTTAACCAATCACTGAACTCTTAAGGGAGCTTTTATCAGTCTACACTACCTATTTACCTTGTGTGTCTGTGTGTGTAATCAAGGATACCGGAATTAAGAGTGTGTGTGTGTGTGTGTTAGGTGGATGGGTTTGAGCTAACATGCTAGCAAGCTGTGCTTGGCAGACAGCCAGACACCAGCGTGATCCAAACAAACTTGAAGGAGAGGAATGCAGTTCTCCTTGCGGTCATTACCCCACTGTGTAACCCTGTTAGCCCGTCCAGATTACACACACTGATCCTCAGAGAAAGTGTGAGAGAGATTTGGGAGAAAAAAAGGGGAGAGATTTGGGAGGGAGGACAGATAGCAAATGGGTGAATGGGATCATTATTTGGGAGACAGAGGGAGGAAGGAGGGGGTGACCACTGGTACTTGTGTGTGAACGCCGGCCAGTGGCGTTCCCTGTGTATATCAATGTGTTAATACTGAACTGACTGTGAGGCAGCCAAAGACTGTGGAAAAAAGGGTCGAGGGAGAGATGGGAAGCAAAGTGACAGTTTAGAAGAACAATTGAATTTAAAAAAAAATGTGACTTTGGTTCAGTGATAATATGTGGCTGCATTACATTTCTTTTTCTTTTTTGCAACAATGGTGACAGATGTCTGTTAAGTTAAAATGAGAAACAAGCAAAACTATATTCAAATGGTTGTTTATTGGTTTATTAGGGGGTCTAACAGTTTGCCCGTGTTAAATAAAAAAAAAGTTTCTTTTTATGTTTTATTTTAATAATTAAAGAATTCAATGCTTTTTTTAAAAAAACAATTTCTTTGTGAACGATTGAGAGACCAGCCCAGTATAATGCATGATTTCTTCCCGAATAAAGGAAGAGGGCTCTACCGACTCTCACTATTTAAGAGATGATAAAAAAAAATATTAAGAAATTATGGGGGGAGAGAAAATAATAAAGGAAAAAAATAAATGAAGTACTGTAAAGTATAAAGATAACATCAAACAAAAAAAAACTGTCATATTTGCTGAGTATGGTAACTTGTCTCAATGGGAATGGTGTATACAGCAAGGCCTTATGTGATCTGTATCATAGTTAATAAATCAAATCTTGTAAAACTTCTGCGTCTTGTCTCCTTTTACTCATAAGAAACCAGTCAAACAGGAGAGATGATCCTGGTCTAGTCCAAGGTGAAGGTTTAGTCGCCTGTGGAAATCAAAACCATCCTCGAATTATCAGCCTACATGTGAACAGGTGGCGACCGTGTATTCGTGACATCTAGTGGTGAAGTTGTAGAATAGCAGCCTCGTGATGATGATGTAGTATGGTGTTTAACCACAAAGGGAGGTCTGAAATCACATTATAGCCTATCTCAAGTTCAGCAGGGAGGAATTTGGTTCAGGAAACTGCTGAAAAGATCTGAAAGGCTTAACCGCCAAGAGTTAGAGAGTATATCTGAGCACTGTGTGGCTCGCCCTTGCAAAAGACATACAACTTCCTTCACCTTTTTGGGTGGTATCCCTGGTTTTAGTTTCACAGACAATGTTTACACAGACTATCTATTTGTCTGTCTTACACTGAATATTATATTAAACATCTAAATGGAGCATTGCAGTACAGTCTGGTAAAACTGTTATTAAAAGACTCTTCTGTACTATTCTCATCAGTTGTCATCCACCCAACATGAGATAGTCTTTCCACCACAGGCTGTTGCTCTGCCTACTCTGTTTGAAGGAGAACCAGATCCACAGGGGCCCCCAAGGAGGTCACATGCACCCGTGGGACACCCCTGGCTGCAGCGCGACCGGCCCCAGAGGAGCCCAGCCTGTGCCATTTCAGGGTGATGTGAGGACTCTGGCCCCTGTGAGGGCGATGTGAAGGCCTCGCTGCCATTTCATGGTGCCCTCATCTGACCTTTTCATTGAGTCAAACCAAAGGAAATCCATGTCTATGACCTTTGTGGTGCATCTCTCCAGTCTGGCACAGGAAGAGAAAAAAAAGAGCGAGAGAGAGCGTCTGATTGGGAATGAAAAGGGCAGGCCTGTGTGCACACAGGACACATGACCCCTGAACCCTAACCTTTAAGATGTGTCATGAGGGAGAGGGTGGTGTGGGATTTGATTGGAAGTCAAATATGGGGAGCGTCAACATTGCTTGACTGGCCAATTTTGGGAGGGAACTGCTCAAGGTGTCAAGAAGGAAAGACTAAACCGAGTGAGGGGAAATGAAATTAACGAAGTGAAACGCGTTGGTAGTACAATTTAAGCTCCATTCCCTCCTTTTTCTTTCGTTTACTTTTGCTTCCTGACAAATTTCCCTTCTTTTCTTGTGCGTACGCGAACACACCACTAGGCGGCTGACTTGTCCCACGTTACCCATCGACCGCTGCTCTGCTGTATCCGGGTAAGAGGAGGCAAACGCAGAGCAGGGACCTTAATTGATTGGGTCAAGGTTTGGATGTCAACAGTGAGACGACGTTTTAATCCCGCGCTCGCTGAGAGATGAACGCGTGAGACGAGTATCTGAAGGCTTTTCTCATTGATGTGGAGCTTCCGCCTCCTCCCCCATCTCCTCCTCCCTTACAGTTTGAAGTTGGAGGAGGAAAAAGGTTTGACTAAACTCCAGAGAGTGTGTGAGGAAGGGTGAGGAGGGGAGGGGAAAGTAAGCCACGGAATAAAGACAAAGAAGTTAATTTGAAGTCATTGTTGCTCCGTATTAGAGGCGTGAGGCGCTTCTTTAGCGAGAAGCATGACTAAAAAAAAGTTCAGGGGTAGACAGAGGAGGAGGAAGGGGACATATATAGAGAAAAAGAGACTGCTCTTATGATGAGTCGAGGCACGTATCTCCGCTCAACCGTGTCTTTCTGGGCTCGGAGCTCGCAGCTGCGGCGGCGGGTATTGAATTCAGATGCGGCCTGTCTCTCCGCTCCGGTCGCTACAGGTGGAAATGCTCTTATCAATACGGACTGTCCGAGCCTGACTGCGGGCCGATCCGTCTCATTGATGATTTTTAGGTGCCCCTGCCCTCCCTCTCCTCCCCGAGGAGCCCATTGATTAATGTCTGGGTCACACTGGTATTTCCATATTGATACCTCGATTGATGACGACGCCCCAGGAACAAGCCGTATTGACCAGCTGGAAAGTGATACGTTTCAAACTGTTTGGGGGATGTATTTATGCATAATGACTATAATGGTTAGATACAGGTGGAGGTGGATTATTCTTAAATGGGTTGCATAAACCAATCACTGTTACATTATCATAATTTAATGTCTTTATTTCGAACAAATATTCTTTATTACTGGTTGGAAATGTAGCCTATTGATCACCAGACAAAGGTAATATTACAGTAACACAAATAGGAGGACAGATAACATAACATGTATAAATGAAATCAAATAGAAAGCACCATATCTTCATATAATTGTAGAGTGGAGTGACTGGACCATCCAAATATTCTTTATTACTGGTTGAAATTGTGGCCTATTGATCACCAGACAAAGGTAATCTTACAGTAACATAAGGACGGATGTGAAAGGTAGTTAAAGCTGGGGAAAGATGAGTAGATATAACGTGTATAAATGAAATCAAATAGAAAGCATCATGTCTTCATAATTATAGAGTGGAGTGAGTAAAATTTCACCACAGGTTTTACTCAAATGCACCTTGACGGTGAGGTTCAAACTCTGGAGTCAGCCTCCCTCAGGATGTGGCAAATCTGTAAAGCCTGGAATAAGGTAGTTGACTCATAACACACACAAATTGAGGCTTTTTAAAAACGTGCTATAGGAAACTCCTGCAGAAATTACCCATCTGTGTGAGTTCGTAATAAAGCACAGAGAAAAGCATTCCTCCTCAATTCTATCAGCAGCTTAGTCATATGCAGCTTTTGGAAAAGGATGCAAAGAGAGAGGTCAAAGGAGTTCTGGGGGTCACAAGTTTGGATCTGAAAAACAAAGTTTATTAACTCTTGAAAAAGAAACTTTTGTCTTATAGTTGCAAAAATGTGCTCAAATAATTGTGCAGAATCAGGCAGAGAACATAAGGGATGTGGACTTTAAGCAGCTAAATAATTACTGAATACTGCTTTAGTCACTAACAGCACATGCAAGTCAGACAAGACTGAATAGAGCTTAAGTAGTGCTGAATCATCCATACAAAACTTTCTGCTGCAAAGTAAAAAAAAATACCCAGGATCTGAAAAGCAAGTTTACCATATGGCACAATATGATGGTACAATAAGAGGTCAAGACAACACTGGACAAGGAAAAACTGTGTCTGCTAATTGGCATGCAGCCTAAAGTGATGTAAATGTAGTTTTTTAAAACATTTTTGGGAGGCGTGTACAGATTTAGTCCAGCTCTGCACTGCTCTGTGAATATATTTCTTTGATATTTCCACGCCGTCTTTGTTAAAAGTGTCTAGTTTTTTCTTCATGAGGTCAAGAGCACACACTGCATAATGCAGAACAACTCCACCGAGAGCCCAGACTTGTGAACCCAATTTTGCAGACACCCTAATTTAAAGGACAGGGAGACAACAACATGATTCTGTGGGACTTGTTCTGCTTGTTGTGGAGATTACTTCAGAGGCAGAGGGCATTGTGTGGAGAGGATAGTCAGTGAGGAAAAAAATAAAGCATCAAGCAGAACTGATACCACTTTACGCTTTTGGGGTCAGTGGTCGAAATGGGTGCTCGGCCTCCAGGTCCCCATGACACGGATCAGGAGCTCCGATGTATATCTGCTGATTACATCTCCTGGAGTGGAAAACATGCAAATAATAAATGTATGAGCAACGTGCTTGTTTTTTTGCTTGATTAATTATGCCGTTTAATTCCAGATCCACCACGCCGCTCCGCCGTATAATTTCCCAGTGGTCTTGGCTGTTTCTTCTCTCACATGCGCTCTCTTTTTTTTTCCTCATTGCAAAATGAATCATGGATCCGACCGTCTGTACCCGGGGGAGAGCGGCGAGCTGGCGAATGGGCTGACCAATCATGAGCATCAGAGGCAGACATACAGACGGAGGGGGCCTTTTGTTGAACGCTTCACTCATCAAGTTAGAAGACAACTACCGATTTGGCCTGAAGGAAATTAAAAGATGGAGTATAAGGAGACAAAATAACTAACTTCATCAGTATTTATCCGTTTTCTCTCTGTTGTTACAATAAATCTTCTCTTTGCACGGCAGCTTATCCAATCAGGCCGGTCAGTGTGTGTTTATCTGAGTGGGTGGCAGACTTTCAGCGCCATTCATAATGTCAAGTGGGACCATGACTGCTCTTCTATTCCCAGCCTGGCCAGCCCTCGTTCAGCCTCCTGACAGTTCCAGGTTAGCTCTCTCCCCTCTCTTCCCCGGCCCTCCTCTTTTCTCCCCTCCAGCCTTCCTCTGCAGCTCTCCCAGGGGTCCCACTGAGAATACTGCTCAGATCCAGGCCTCTGAGCCCCAAAGCCGGCCCTAATCCTCCGCATCGATCGCCCTGAGAATTTCCTCCCCAGCACAGCAGGCCCGGCTCCCCGGCGCTCACACTCCTCGACCCTGAACAGGCAGCACTTCTCAGCTAGAGAGGCGGAGAAAATAGGGTCACACACATTACCTGTGTCTTCTCAACAGATGGATCTAGTTGATACGATGTGTGTTATTAGGTGGTTATAGCAGAAGGCACGTCCCTCTCGAGAGCGCTTGTGGTGTTGCTGTTCCAAATTTAGTCGGACTTGGCAGATATCAGCTCAATAAACATCTCAGTTTTTCTCAAACTGAGCTGTCTACACAGTCTGACTACAAGTTGCAGTCAGAAAGCTGGACTGGATTGTTTTTCCAATTTATTTCTCTCCTTACCAGGGTCATTGTACCCTCCTGAATGCTCAGGGTTAGAAAGGTTGCAGGGTAGCTCAATTTTCAGTAGCTCAGTGTTATGAGAACTTATTAGAAAGTGGTGAGAGAAGTAAAAACAGTTTGTTAAAGGCGATGACTAAATGGTTAATTTAGCCCTTTGATTTAAGGAGTAATGGCTGGGATTGACCTGAAGTTCTGGATAAAGTTTGAAACAGTTGAAACTAGGAAATGTTAAAATTGTAAACCAAAAATAAAGTTTGACAAAAACAGCAACGTGCAAACTTGAACCCAGTTAGTTGGTCACTGGTTTAGATCTTCGGGCTTCAGTAACGTCAAAAGTAGCCACGTTTACATGGGCAAAATTTCTCGATCGGATTAAAAATATGAGGGATCGGATAATCTGAATCCACTGTTTATACGGGTTCATAATTAAATAATCTGATCATGATGTTTATGCATGCACCAAGTTTAATTCAGATTAAGGGCATTTTTTGCTAAAACAACCGCAGAAGAAGAGTTGTATTTACGCCTGTGCTGTCAACAAATGCAGTAGTAAATAATGCATCAGATATCATATAGCACTTCATTAGAGACCCTCAAAGTGTTTGACCCTGAATACATCATTCATTGCGCCTATGGACTCTCCGACCACCAACACACAACACTCATACACCAGTGGAGGACACACACTGGGAGCAAGGTGGGTTAAGTATCTTGCCCAAGGAGCAGTCTCCTGAGCTACTGCCACCCAAAGTGGCACACTCCATCCAACTCAAGAGTTTTCCCCCTGTTAAATGTTGTCACTAGATGGCGCCCTTGCGTACTTATTTTACTGTTCTGTCAAAGGTTGCACTGTGCGTGCAGATGTGACATCATTACGCTGTATGTACGCCGTGTTATGTTACCGGAAGAGCAGACACGGCACCTGCGGTTTTGTTTTAAGCCAGAGTGTTAATAATGAGACCTCCTGTACCGGCCTCAATAAATAAACCCAAGACTAAAGAATGAAGATGGAGTCAGGTAAGAGAGTCACGATCGGAATTAAGTGTTTATATGGACGTTTCGGAATAACGATCGGCATAAACCAGCCCCCTCGATCGGAATACAATTTCTTTCCGATTGAGCCGAATTGGATCAGAATCTTCCAAATGACGCATTTATTTTTATTCCGATCGGGCATTTATTCCGACTATTTATGCCCATGTAAACGCAGCTACTTTGAGACATCTTTAAGAACCATCAAACTCCAGATAATGATAGTATACAGCTTTGGTCCAGTCGCCTCTAAGTAGATGGTGAGATCACGCTAAAGTTGGTTACAGCGTCAGTGCTAATGCTAACGCTAACAAACATACAGAGTAAAATGAATCCCCGGTGTTCTCATTGAAAGGAAGATCTCGGCGAGTTCACCTGATAAGCCCGTGGAGTTACAGCAAACTCAAACACCTGTGAACCTCCGCTCTTCTTTGAAGCGCGCTGCTTTGGTTTCACATATAAAGCTCATTGTCGAAACCAGCAGCTCTCTAAGAACCTAAAACGCAGATCTCCTGGCATAAAGACAGGCTGTATCTCCATCCTCTATGCTGCTACCGATGGAGTAATAGGAGGTGGTGTAGCTGTACATCTCTGCTCCAACATGAGAAAGCATCATTACTGAAGGCCTCTTGGGAAAGCTCCCAACCAACAGTCTATCCCGTGTAACATACTAGTTCATAATTTATTTACGCAGCGAGCTTCCCCTGGACTCTGCTGTGTGTTTTACTGCAAGAGTGGAGGTATTTGAGCGGTATCTTCCCATATCTCTTTCCACAAGAAGACACAAGAAGTAAGACTGTGTAACCAGAACAATATTAGATGATTAAACCTCAGACATTTTAAACACATTTGCTGTGTGGTTGGCATGCTAAGTCCAACCCAATGATGAATGTGAGGGAAGAAATCTGGAACATTTGGCCCCGTCAAACTGCTGCTCTGCGGACCAGTGAGAGGATCTCTGTCTATACTGGCATTAAGAGCCAGTACAGATGGTAATGTATCAATACTCCGGTTTAAACAGGGCTCAGAGCCATGCTCCTAAATCAACCCCAGGGATTTTTTTGGCCAAGTCTGTTTCTAGCTCTCCTCGGGTACATTAACAAACTCGAAAAACTTCTTGTTCCGAGCATCATCATAATATTCTGCAGATCCATCTTTTATCTGCGTGTGGATTTGAAATTACTGGGGATGAATCGCACTATTTACCCTTCACTTTCTCTGTCTATCTCCTTCAGCCTCTTTATACTGTCATTCATTAGCTTTTTTCTACCTGAGCTGACAGCACACCTTTAGCCTTTACTCACACATACACACACATACACACCCCATTTCTGCTGCTTCTCCCTCCATCTCCTCGTTCCCAGCCCTCCACACTTCACTGCGCCCGTCTTTCCTTTTGTATCTCTCTCTTTTCCTGCCCTTTCCTCACGCCTGCCTCCTTCCTTCCCTCTCGCTCCCCTCTTCCTATTTTACCCTTGCTCTGCCTGCTCCCCCCTTGTCCACTCCCTCCCTCACTCCTTTCCTCTCCTCTCTCCCTCATTCTCTTTATTAATTTATTGGGTTGTTATTCTCCTTGCCTGGCTCTGCTAATGAAGGCAGGATGCAGATGAGGGCGAAGGTCGTCTCCGTAGCGATCGACCCCACCGCCCCGCAGCATGGCACTCTGACTGGCACAGGTCAGTGGCAGCTGTCAGTCAAAGCAGAAGCGTGCACATATGCATGCACGTGCACACATTCACTCACACTCACACACACTCAGACACATTCATACATATAGATATGAGCAGATTTACTTAACAATGAACACTTGAACAGCCACTCACATTAGACTTTGGAGCATTTATGTCATACTCCCTTTTTTTTCGCAGTCTCTGACCATTTTACTTAATGAGCAAGTGTAATAGAGAGGGCAGACATGACATGAACTCTCACTGTAGTCTGTGTGGTTTGAGATTTCTTAACAGAGAGAGACTTTTTAGAGACTTAATGTTCGATTTTTACACAAGAAAAACAACGACACATTTGTGTAGGGACATGGAAATGATCAGAAGTTTGACTTGCATGACTACCCGTTGGATTGTTTATTAGATCCCGCTAAAGTAGTTAACCACGTAGATACAAACAGGATAGACATTGAGGCGTTGTATTGTAAAATACACTGTATTGGCAGTAAATCTGTGCCGCTTTATACAATTCAACAACTCCACCATAAACTTCAACCTTCGAAATAATCATAAAGATAAATCAGCTCATTTCGTAAAGATGAAACCCTTCATAAAAGGAGGATTTATTAGAGAGATGTTGAATTAGACTTCAATGGTTTTAACTTATAAAAAGAAAACTAAAGTTTAATCTATCGTCTCTGTCAGCTGGTCGAGTGTGCAGTCTGTGTCGTGGATCCAGGCAGGAGAGGCTGAACAACAACTTTTGGATGGACTATTGCACAGGCATGCCAAGGTGATGAATATTCAGGACTTTGTTGAACGCTTAAGTTTTCCTCAAGCATAACCATGGAGTTGTTGTTTTATGAATAATCATAATGCTTAATATAAACCCTCCTTTTATAATGCATCATGAGCGCTTTTATTAAGCCTTAAAAATGCATCTATGAGGCTTTATAACGACCTTTGTGGGTGATTATATGTATCCATAACAGCTTATTGCGACGTTTATGAAGTGCTTCTTGCAGTGAGTGTAATGCCTAAACTTGGGCATATCCGTCACATAACCATCAGTATCCGGCTGGTACCAGACGAGATCAAAACCTCTGCCATATCAAACACCAAATGAGTCCAAAAGGCATCACCCCAACCCATATAAATACTAAGATACTTGAAGACAGCCTTTCATTTCAAGCATTATCCCACACATCGGCATATCCTCAGGTTATAGCCAAGTGTCTAACCCCTGACACGCCGTTCATTAGTCTTGACTTGCTTAACACCTTTAAATTGTTCGTCCGTGCATCCTGTTTCTCAGCGCTTGTAGCATTTGCAACCTCTGCTCTTCATCACAGCACGTCAAGAGATTTTGTGTGCGAGTGTGAGTGTTTTTGTAGATGCACTCTGCGCACCGGCATTATGTATGCATGTTGATACTGTCCATGGTTATTGCTGCGGGTTTATTTGTGTGCTCAGCCGTGTTCTTGAGTGTGCTCACCTGCATCTTGGTGTTTCTGAATGTGCATGGACGAACAGCGGCTTCACACACACACATGCACACACATGCACACACACATCTCTATTAGCAGTATAGTAGTGTTAACAGTGTTATGCCATGCGTGAACCTCCCCACCTTTCCCTCATATCTATGCAAAGCTGGGGTCCTGTCAATCAGTCACCTTGGTGACACAGAGCCCCACCTCCCCAATTAGAGCTGACAGGGCAGGATTAGGAGGGGGGCGGGCCCCCGCCGACCTGCCTACGTGTCAATCACGCGCCGGGCATCCACACGCCTGTTTACTGTCAGATCCCATCTCCGTCTGTCAGACTGCACGGCAACCGTCGCCCAGGGAGGAGAGAAGGAGGGTGGGGGAAGGCGGAGAGGGGGGAGGAGGAGATCTGATCGGAATTAACTATGCTTCTCCCCACAGACCGGCCGTGCTTTTAATTCATGAAAGGGATGAGAGGAAAGTGGGAAGAGAGAGGGAGTGATAGAGGGAGGAGAGCGTTTAAAACCCAGAGCAGGGCCTTCTTTAGAAGTTTTCAGAGTGATGTTTCTTCTCTCCCTGACAATCACTTTTCTTCTCTGGCTGACTCTCCCTCCTGTCTTTCTCTCTGCCTTTCAGAGGTGGGCTGTATGTCGACGCACAGCTGCTGAGATTTATCAGCGGCCTCACTCTCGCTCTCTCTGAAGTTATTTGACCCTGGGTTTTTAAAGTCGCACAGATATCTATTAGTGTGTTTTAGTTTGAGATTTAAGGTCAATTTATTTAGCTGCTCACATGCTTATGAAAATGCGAGTCTCTGTCAGGGTTCGTGTCTGGGGATGAGGGTCCTGCCTACACACCTACAGTATATGAATACATAATGCTGTTATGCTCCTCAGTCTGCTGCTGCTGCGGCTTTAAAGCAGTGTCATGGGTGCAGAGTTTACACAATGCTAATGTGGGTGTGTTTGCCTGTGTATTTGAGGCTCTCTGCTCCCTGGTGTGTGTACATTTCTTCTTTTTCAGGGTCTCTGGTGGTGGCCTCACTTTGACCCTGGTGCCCTCACTCTAATCCTTCAGCAAATGAGGGCTGTGTGGGGCTGAGGGAGGTGTTTGGGGGCTGCACCAAGCCACAGTTTTAGGATTAGAGGAGCGGAGTGAAGGTCTTGGGGTTAGGAGGAATGAAGTAGAGGGAAACAATAGATTGTACCGGGGGAAAAGAGGAGGAAATGTATGGACTCTGTATGGTTTTATGGGATATCTCATTACTTGCAACATGCCGGTCTGTTTAATTTAGTCGATAGGTAGATCATAGCCCAAAAAAAGGTGGAAGATAACTTTAGTTTTTAGGTGTTTGTAAATCAACAAAGGTGGCAGAACTTGAAACATCATATATTTGGATGATGCTAAAAAAGTTTGAAGTTTGTTGTTTGACGAATTGTAGCAGAAACTACTGTACGTCTCAAAAAGTGGGAAACTTTGGAGATTTATTATTACCCAACTGTGTGAAATTCTGGTTTCTGTTTGGTCAAACAACTGTAGTTAATTCTCAAATCCAACAAATCCTGTGAAAAATATATAGTTTTAGACGAAACTGATGCAGGAGAAGTGAATTCAAAATTCTGAAGTTGTAGTTTTAAGAATGAGCTGGAATTCAGCCACATTTTTCCCTGTTATTTGATGCAATCTCATCATAAAATCATTGAGTATTTCTGCTTTAAAGACAGAAAAGTATCAGAATATTTTATTTATTCCAGATCCAGTTGAACATTAAAAACCCTCTTCACATTTTCTGTTGTTGACATCAAATATTTAAACCCTTTTTTGAAGCCTTGGTGAAGGTGTAAGCTCCCCGAGTTTCTAGTTATCTTTATTTCTTGCTCTGCTATCTCATAAATATTTCTTTAACATTCAGTTGGCATGATTGTCGAGGTGAATTAATATTTGACAGTTTATTTTGAATAAACTGTTTCTCAGCTTCGCCGCAACCCGCCGCTGACAGCTGTACACGTGTATGTCATTTTTGCTGATAGCTGTATGTTCAGTATTTGTTGTTACCAGGCACATGTGGGTGGAACAAGTTTGCGTTTGTGTGTGTGTGTGAGTGTGCGTATTTGCATTAGACATGCGTTCCATGCTTGTGTCTGAGACGCAGCTCAGGTGTCTGTTGGTGTCTGCTGAACGACCTCGCTGCAGGGAACAGGCTATCAGGCTGAGAGGGAGGCTATCATGTTAATTACTTTACACACACCCCGCCAGCCAAGCGTGCAACACAACTGCTGAGTTCACACACACGCACAAACACACTCACACACGTACGTACACTCCAGCGCATGCACGGACACACGAAAATCATCCGTCTTTCTTTCATTTTGTCGTTTTTCTGTCTTCCCACTCGCGTTGTTTGAAGGCCTTGGACATCAATTCCCTTTTGCTTTCAAGAAAGATTGTTTTATATTCTAATCAATTCAACTCCGTCCTGTGAAATTAATTGACATTCATTCAATGATTTTTAAATTCCTCTGAGCCTCTTCTTTTGTTTCAGCCTGTCAGTGAGCTGCAAGTGAGATCGGGCTAAATGTTTTGTCATCTCACACTCCGGGGGTAAGCCAGCTCCAAAACGTGAGCCTGAGGTCAGCTTAACCTCTGCGCTATCTCGTCTTATGCCCTCTATGCTGCGCGTGAAAGTGGCGAAGGGGCAACAATACAGATCAACAATCGCAAACTCAGGGCTCAGTCTGTCCGTGGTCGTCTTCATAAGTCTCCTTGGGAGGGATCCTCTCTCCTCGGCGTGGTCCGGCTCTCTTAGGCCAGGGAAACAGAGGAGTGGTATTGGCTGGGGCAGGCTGATGCCTTTAGTTAAATGATGCTGGCACGCAGAGGGATTGCTTTGGGAAGTTGTCATCCATCATGATTTCAGAATGACTCAAAAGCAGCACTCTGCTTTTGGGGTTACGGTCTGGGATCCATGATTGATGTGGAGTGGATGTGTGTAATAGAAGCAGGGGAGAAAAATTCGGTGGGTATTTGCGCGCTAAACGTAAATTAAAAACGGCAGGAAGTTGGAGAAGTTTGCTTAATTTTCCCTTTGTTAAGGAAGTTAATGGGAGCTCCTCTAATTAAAGCTACTCCAAATCAGATAATAATGATCAAGGTAACAATTTGTGAATCCTACCATGTGGCAAAATGTCTAT